CCCCGGCCCCCGGCCCCGTCCCGCAGCCCGGGCAGGACCCGCCCCGCCCCGCCACCGGCCCCGGGCCGACACCGCGGGGACCGAGCCCCGGGGACCGGCACCGCCGGGCACCGACCCCGGGAGCGCTCCGTGCCCGCCGGCCCCCCCCGGGCAGCCGCCGCCCGGTGCCCACCACCCGGTGCCCGGTGCCCGCCGCCCGCGCTCACCGCTGCCCGCCGCCGGGGCGTCCCACGGGGGGTGCCGGGAGGCGGCGCCGAGCTGCAGGTAGAGCCCCAGGTAGTGGAAAATCCCCAGGGCCAGCGCCAGGGCCCCCATCTTGCCGCGGGCGCGTCCGTCCCGGGGGCGGCGGCGCCGCCGGGCCGAGCCCTGTCCCCGGGGCTGCGCCGCGGTCCCGGCGCCGCCGCGCTGCGGAGCTCTTCCCTCGCGCGGAGGGCGCCGCGCGGCGAGGCGGTGCCGCGGCTCGCCCGGAGCCTCCCCCGCCCGGCGGAGGGATCCCGGCCCCGCGCACACCCCCAAAGTTTTTTCCCACGCTCCATTCTTAAAGTGCGCGGGGCGGGGCCGGGCCCCACGCGCCCCACGCGCGGCCCCGCGGGGGCTTCCCCGCGCCCCCCCCGCACCCCCCCCCCCGCGGGCGGCTCCCGGCACAGAGCAGGAGCGGGGCCCGGCCCGGAGCCCCCCCCCCCGGCACGGAGCTGCCCCCACGCGCGGGGGGGGGGTCGCGTCCCGCAGCCCGGCCTCACCCCTCCGCGGAGCCGCCCCCGGGTGGGGAATGGGGCCGGGGGCGCAGCCACGTTCCCGGGGTGCCCCCGGCAGCCTCGCCCCCACCAGGCACGACCCCGAACTTCTGAGCCCTGCAGACCCGGGGGCCAAACCCCCCCCCCCCCGAGCCCACGGGCGCCGCCCCCCGCCTGTGGCAGATCCGAATCAGGCCCAGGCCGGGGGGGGCGCGCCCCCTGCAATGCCCCCCCCTGGGGCAAACAGCACGGAACGCGAGGAGGAGCCCGCAGGCAGCGCCCCTCAGCCTGGGCACGGAGCTGCACCGCCGGCAGGGAGGCAGAGCCGCAGCCCCCCCCCCCCCGCACGATGTTATCTGCGCACCGCACGGCCATCGGAGGGGGATTTGCTGTCCAGATAAACAGCCAAAATCAGATTATTTCGGGTGTTTCCTGCCACAAGGAGACAGACGCTGGCTACAAAGAGATTCTTCAAATTGGACCTGAAAACCCCGACGGTTTTTCTTCCCCCTGCCCCCAGCGGGGTTCCTCCAGCAGCGTTTTGCACATCAGGGCCCCGCCAGGCGGGGGCTGCGGGGTCGGCGTGGGAAGAGGTGGGCGCCCCACGGCGGGGGCTGCGCTGCCGGGGGCTGGCCTGCAAATCAATAGTTTTAAAGGAGTTCTACGTGTGCAGCGTTTTCCGCATGTCAAAATCCAACCCACATAAGAGCAGACCAGAGAGCATTGATCTCTGCTCAAGTTCATTACTCCCTCTAGAGTTAAAAGCGGGGGGAAGGAGAGCGCGAGCGCGGTGCTGGATGAGCCGGGGCTGCTGGCACCACGCAGCCGGCGGCTCCGAGGGTCCCAGCTGGTGACACCCCAAGTGCAGGGGCACCAGGGGGCTCGGGGCTTCCCCCCAAAAAAGCTCCAGGCAGCCCCTGCTATGCTGGGAGGGGGCTGCGGCCGATGGCAGGAGGGGCTGGGGGGCCGCTTGTCCCCTCCAAGGCCATGTTCAGGGGGAGAGCGGCCAAGCCCCGCTGCCAGCCCCATCTCCCTGGGGGTGGTGGGCAGCAGCAGGGTCCCTCAGGCCCAGAGTCGAGTGCAGGAGGACGAAGCAGCAAAGGCCAAGCAGGCAGCGAGTCCCTGGGGGTCAGGCAACACGAGCTCACGGCCCAGGGTCCCTGCTCACCTTCCTTCCCATCAGCAGCCCACTGCCAAGCTCCATCCGCACAGTGCCCCCGTAACACAGGGAGCCGACACCAAGATTTCCCCAAGCACCAAGCCGCTGCGGTCATGGGAGCAGGAAATAACCACGGGCACGGGGCCAGCCCCACACAGAGGGAGCGCCTGTCCCGGGGGTCCCTGGTCCCCCCCTGTGCTGAGGGTGCACAGCTACACCTTGGTGCTGAACCTGCCAGGGTTCTTCCCTCGTATAATCAAATACATTTAAATCACACCACGAGGAAGCAAGGAGAACATAAATTTCTCTCGGAGCTGGGAACATCTCCAGCTGCAGAGCCGGAATTAAGTTCCATTTCCAGCTGATTTTCTGCCGCCACAGCAGGATGATGAACTGACAATAAGTCTTCTGTGCACTGGCCCAGCAGAAGGAGGAAAGGGGAGAGCCAAGCGTCCTCGCATCTTGTGCACACTTGGAAGATTTCATTTTCCTCCTCAATTTTAATTCATCAGTGAGAAGGACCAGACCAGATGCTGTCTGCTATTGCAGCCACACAGCCCTGATGAGCCCGAGTGTCTGAAACGGAGAGGAGGGAAGGGCGCTCACAGGCTGAACGAGAGCAGAGCCAGCGGCTCCCCGGCTCTCTGGATGCTGGCGCTCGCTGCATGAATCGGTGTTATCTGCATGTCTGCTGTTTCTCTAAAATAGCTCACAACTCCCTTGCAGGGTTCCTGTTCCAGGGGAACATGCCCAGGGACTTGCTCTCAAGGATGAAGCATTCCTTATCTCCATTCATGCCAGGTTTGCTGCCTGCTATTTAATTTCACATGCGCCACCCATCCTGCTCGGTGGGCACCTGCAACAGGAGATGCAGTGACCGCTTCCAGAGCAGCGGGGTGCAGACCCACCTGGGAACACGGCTCCTGCACCCCTGGGACAGGCGTGTGCATTTCCCCTGACCACGTGTGCTCAGGTTGAAATGAAGCTTTGCAAAGGGCCGGGCAGGAGGTGCCCAGGGCCCAGCACCCTCAGCAGCTGCACTGCGGCACCTCCAGGGCCCTGGGCAGCCCCAGGGGGCACAGGGCAGGGAGGGGACGCCTGGTGCACGTGCACAGGGTGCTCCCCTGGGAGGACACCCAGCGGGCACTGAGGGGGCAACCCAGCAACTGCACCTTCTGCTTACAGCATCCAAAATATAACAGATCAGCTGCTGGGGTGCTGGGAGTCACCTCGTGAATTATTCTGAAGTCCAGACTCAGAGCTGGCCGAGAGGAAGAGGACAAAGAGGTGCCATTAGTGGGAACTGGGTGGCACCCGACGGGCACTAAGCGAGGCAGGGATCCTGGAGGCAGGGGGCAGCTGCCCCTGCCCCTCGGCACCCTCCTGTTTTGCTCCTTGTGCCAGGGGTCCTGCGAGCACCCGGCACGTCCAGGAGAGCTGGGGGCGAAGGCAGGCACAGCCCTGCGGGGGGGGGAAGCCTGGGTGCCAGCGGCTGCCTCGCACCCTGCACTCCGGGGAGCGCAGCGGGCTGCTCGTCTCTCTGACGGGCAGAGTAAATGCCCTGCACACTGAGAGCCAGCTCCGTCCTGATACCTGCTTAGAGACTTGACAATCCCTGTATAAAAGGATTTCCTTCCACAGCTGAAGTTTGACATTCCTGCATTATTAGATTATTTGCAAAGGTCTGCCTGCGCTGCAGGAAAACAATGCTACCAACATCCGAAATTACAACCTGCTCCTCCACAAATCATCCACGAGGCAATAAGCCAGGGAGACAGCGCGCGTTTGGAGCAGGCAGATGTTAAAAAGGAGCGAGGGGAGGAGGGCAGGGCAGGGCCAGAGCTTGGACGGGCGAGCAGCACTGCAGTGCCTGTAAGCAGCAGCCCCAGGGGGTCGGGGGGGGGCACCCAGGAACGTGAGAGGGGGGCTGGGGTCCGGTGCTGCCGCTGCCCCCGTGCCCTGCCCCGCAGCGGGAGAGCGTCCCTGCGGCACCGAGCCGGCAGCAAGCAGCAGCACCAAGCAAGGGCTGCAGGGAGTCACAGATCTCTGCCCAGAGCTGCCCCCACGCTAGGCAGGATTACCCAAAGTATAAAATTCAGGAGAAAATTACTTGGAAAGAATTATTACTTTAGAGAACAATTCATGCTCGTTTCCAGCCCATTAACTCCTTCCTCCTCTGCAAAACCCACCATCAGTTTCCCAATGGAGAGGAGCGCTGTCACAGCTGTCAATCATTTCTGCAATGGTTCCCTGTCCCCAAACCATTGTTTAAAGGACCAAAAAAAAAAAAAAAGGTGAAGGGAAAAACAAAACACCCCTTTCCCCCTCCTTATTATTGACTGTTATAAGAGAACAGCAGTTCCTGAAATCCAGGTCTCATAAAAAATTTTAAAAAATCAATAACTTTAGTGACTTATTTGTGCTGCGGAAGGTTTGTTTCCCAATTTTGACAGTGTCTCTTCCTATTTAGTGTCACCTGGGTCTCTCCACCAGGATGTCAGGAGAGATTCCTCAGCCGTGATTTGAGCTTGTCTCTCCCCGTTTAGAGCAGCTCAGGTGGGAGCGGGGCTGAAGATGGATCCAGCCGCGCCGCGGGGCCCCTGCCAGCTCCTGCTGCTCCCCCCCCAGGGAAGCCACGGGCTCTGCAGCTGGGGCTTGGACCCCCCCCCTGGTGCCACCATCAGGGGCTGCAGCCCCATCATGGCCATGGAGCCGGCACCCAGGGGCTCTTCCCAGCCAGCTGCCCCCCGTTGCCTCCTGCTCGCTCGCCCACCCCCAGCCCCAGCCCCAGCCCCTGCCCCTGCCCACGCAGCGCTGGGCGCTCAGCACCCCTCCCGCAGGGGCTGCGGGGATGGGGGGTGCGGAGCTGCTGCCGCAGAGCGCCCACCCTCCCCTTCCATTCGGGCTGCGAGTTTCCTGCCTCCCCATCACCAGAGTGCCTCATCAATCACGTTCCTTCTAATTAACTTCTAATTTACCTCTTTAGTCAAATCTGTTTACAATCAGAGACAAGAAACCCCAGCCCCGCGCCGTGCCATGCGGATCGCTTCCTCCCCCCTCGCGCTCGGCTGCCCCCGCACCGCGGCCCCGCAGCGCCCAGCGGGGTCCAGCTCAGGGCCCGAGCCCATCCCCTAACCAAGGCTGCCCACTGCAGCGTCCCTGCGCCAGGGGACCCCAGCAAAACGCAAGCCCCAGTGCCCAGCCCCAGGCCCCAAGGGGGACACGGGGGCTCCATGCGCCTGCCTGGGGCTCGGAGGCGCAGACGAAGCTGCCTGGTGGGGACACGTTCGGGGCCACCTCCCATCGCTGCAGTGGGGACGTGCTTGGGGCCACCTCCAGCAGCTCGGGGGCTGCTCAGCCTCCCCCCCTCCCTGTAAGCACATCCAAACCCAAAGCCAACAACCACGATGCTGCCCCCGAACTTCAACCCCTGGTCCAAAATATCAGAAGCTAAGCCAGGGAACAAACCCGACGTTGTACAACCCACCGATAAGAAAACCTGTTATTAGCTCAACCCTTTAATCCTCCCCCAATTCCAATAACCGCATTTTTCACAGCTGCTCAGGCTCCTGGTGCCGGTCTTCATACCTCCGAGGCGTCTCTGTGCTGCTCAACATGGCAGCAAAAATGAGCTGGCCTGCAGCAGCAGCAGCACATTTAGCTGAATAATTATCTTAATTAATAACAGAGGGCCCAGGTGGGCACCCAGCCCATCCGAACACCAAGCCAGAGGACCCGGCTCCTCGCAGCAGGGCAGCCCCAGCCCCTGCCACCGCCCTGCAGCAGGGGATGGAGGTGAGCTCCCTGCCCCAGGCACTGCGCAGGGGGCACTGCAAGGCTGCCCTGCTTTGCTGGGGGGGTTTAGGAGATTGGGGGTTTCACACGTCCCGGGCAGGGCGCTGCCTCCAGACCCTGTGGCACGCAGAGATCACCAGGATCCTAACGTGTGTGCAGCGGGGCTCCTGGCTTCTGAAATCCTTAGGAGATTAGGAGGAGAGAATTCATCATCTGTCTTGTAAAAGCCTGACTTGTAATAACAAGCTCTGTGCTAATTCCTCAGCAACATCTGGAACATCCTTATCTATCAGGAGAGAGACACAAAGACTGCGTCGTGCTCAGGTAAGCACTGGCATTTTGGCTTTTCATAATCCCCTCCAACGTCTCTCCGGCAGCTCAGGGAGAAAAAGAGCTACAGAAAGCACCCTGACAGCGGGCCCGTGCTGCTGGGAGCCGGCTGAGCCAACCCCAGGGAAGGGACAAGGGCACTGCTGGGCCAGCAGGACAGGGCTGCCAGGGCAGGGGGAGCCTCCCCGCACACCCAGAGCCATCGTCTCGGAGCACCAGGGCGCTGCTGAGCCCCTGCACCCGCAGGCAGCTCCCCCGAGGTGCCAAGTGAACCCACCACAGCTCCACACCGATTCCTTTCAGTGAACTACCCAGAGACTTACAGGCTTTGGGGAAGCACTTTGAAGAGCTCACAAATTACAAAAGGGGGAAAAAAAAAAAAACCACAATCAAAGAAAAGCTGCCTCCTAAAGCAGGAACATTCATTACAAGCAGCCCAAGCTTCCTCCGGCAGCGCTGCTCCTGGGAAGCTGGCGGCCCAGCCACTGGAGCAGGGAATTATTTTCAGCCCAGTCTCCATATTTAGTAACTCAGCTACAACATCTAGAATGGAAAATATTAAAGGAAGAGAAATTTACTTCCAGAAAGCAAAACTCCAGCCAGAGCAGTACGGGGGAGGCGTTTTCACTCCTGCCAGAGCCACGGCTGGAGAGCCCCCGTCCGCTGGGAGCAGAGCCCAGCGCTGAGCGTGCACAGCACCAGGACTGCCAGCACCTCACGGCGTGCAGCAGCCGGGCACACACACAGCAAACTGGGTGAGGTCACGTTAAAAGATGGCATATTTGGATTTAAAACAAAAAGCATAACGCAAAACCTTAGCTTGTACTCAAGTAGATTCTATTACTATTTTCAAGAACCTTCCCTACCTCCCCCCTCCAATGTGTGCTCCCCTACTTTACAAAATTGCTTCACGTTCATTAAGTTCCTCCTCCTATTCTGCCTCAAAACTCCTTGTTTGTGTCACCTCCCTTTCTCCTCTGCTTTTCAAATGCAGGTGTGCAGTGGGACAAGGAACTTGCCAGGAGGAAGACCCAAAGACCAGCTTTGAGTCCAAGTGCACTGCCCGTGGTGTGGAAGGGAAGAAGTCCAAGATTCGTGTAAAGTCAAAAACTAAAAGGGATGGGGGAATGGAGAAGGGGGTAGGTGGTGAAAATAATTTAAGAAAAGAAATGAGGAATTCAAACAAAGCTTGAAAAAGTGTTTTCGCACGTTCCTTTGGCTGCTGAAACCACAACTTCCACGCCGATCCCCCAAACTGCATTTGATGCCACCCAGGCCAGCAGCGCCTGCTGCAGTCATGATTGAAGGCAGCCTTTAAGCTTCCCTGACAATGCATTTTTCTTGGAGATAAAAAATGAATGCTGCCAGCATGCAAATCTCTCTAAATTAGGCAGGGCCCAGCTTACTGGAGCTGTGATGTTTTGTGATGACAATCATTAACTTTAGCAGAAGAAAAAAGGATGCAGGAAAATCGTCTGAGCCACCTCCCGTCCCAGCTGGGAGTCCCTGCTCGGGGAAGCTGTGAGATTCGGCAGGCTGGCATCTGAAATTACCTGCAAGTGCAGAAGGGCAACAGAAAAATGAGCTGTGGCCTGTTTCATTGCGATCAATAAGTCAGCCAGAGGCAAATCACTTGGTCTTTCTGCAGCTTTCTGCACCTGGAAGAGCTGGCATTAGTGGGGCTCTCCCCTTTCTATTGGTGGACTTAGTGCTGCTATAAAAGCCAGACTCCCAGTTCAAGACTCAGAATACTGATTTTCTGCAGAGCATGTACAGCCAAGTCCTGAAGCAGACCGTGAAAAGAAAAGTTGATGGCATTTGGGTGTTTTATTGACCATTTACCTTCCCCACTCATTTTGAGTGGAACCTGGACAGAACCTCCCCGATGTCCCCTTCAGGAGGGGTGAGAGCTGACCAACCTGTGCCAAAACTTGCCTTTGCTTCTGACTCACCCTGGGGAAGATTTAGCAGGAATGGTTAAAGTGGTTGTAGTTCCTGGTTTGTGCTCTGGCAGAGACCAACAACCCGCTGAAGAACAGCTGAACTGGACACACCCTAACCCAACTCCTCAACCTCCCCACTGAAGTGGGCTGTATGTTCTCCTTCGTGCACTGGGCTGGAGTAACATACTATGGTCGTCTTGAGCTATCTGTGCTTCCTCTTTACCCTGCTTCTAAGCATCATACTGTCATATTGTTTTGTGCTCTGATCACTGCTGTTGGACCTTTGGGAAAAAAATGGAAACATCTTTGAGATACCCTACTGCAAGGTAAGCACCTATAGTCACACTCATAGTAGGACTTAAATAACAAACAAAGAATTAAAAAAAAAAAGCAAACTATATTTAATATCTCCAAAATCCCATTTAGAATAGTTTCATAGAAACATTGTTTTTTATCGTGCAATCAGGGCTGGAAGAGGGCAGCAAAAGAAGAGAGCCAGACGCTGCATCCTCCTAGGGAAATACAGAATTCAGCCGCCAGGTCCTCAGAAATTCTCCAGCAGGTCCATGATCCGCTTCTGCTCACTCTCCCGGAACTCCTGGTTCTTCCCATCCCCAATGTTCTCTGCATACTCTGTGGGAGAGAAAGCAGACAGAAAAACAGACGTTGAGTAAGACACTAATGACCAATGGCCAACTTCTCTTACAGAGGTACCACAGCAGAATCTAAATCTGTGTCCACTGCCAGCAACTGCAGTGGGAATTTATGTAAGGAGCACTGATGGATTTTTTCCCCCAGTCTCCAGGGTTAAAGCTTTGCATAATAAACACCTACTGACCCCTCATTAACATTTTGCAGCAAACAGACTACAGCAAAAACATGCTGCTCTCATCATGAAGCACCACGAGAAGCAAGCAGACGCTCACCAACGTTACCCTTTCCCCAGAGTCTGACCACGACGAGAGCTGACGGCGTTCTTCCCAACCCCTGCACAGGAGGAGCCCCCTGGCAGCTGTTTAGACTGGAGAGCTGGAGCGCTCACCACTTTCAGACCAAGAAACTCGGAACAGCTCTGGACATCAGTAGCTTTCCAGGTCTCCTTTAACACCATGCATCATCCAGGAAGGTCAGGCAGGAGCCAGTACACAGCTGTTACACTTCCCTAACTTCAGGTTTAACGTGTCTGTTTCCCAAGCACCCTGAACTGGGATTTTTGTAAAACTAGTAAAGTGGAGATCATTCCTGAATCTACAAGTGCTTTTAATCCATATGGAAGGAAACACACCAATTAAGATTTCACTACAAAGCAAACTCCCTGTCTTCAACCTAGACCCCAATCAAGGTCTTGCTTACCCATGCACATGGCCAAACACTGCACAGCAGAGATTCCCTCTGCAGCTCTCCTTCCTGACATTCGTTTCAAGCTGGCAGCTCTCATTCCCTTGCAACCCTGCTCCTTCCTGCTAACAGAACCTACATATTCAAAGATGGCTTAAAAAGAAAAACTAAAAAGCAGATTCTGAGCTGCAAAAGCAAGGACCTGAACAAATCTTAGTAAATCAGGAGCAGACTGCTTGGTTAGACACTGCTTTCCAGCCTCCGCCTTCTCTCATTCTTTCCCTTCTTCCTAAACAAACAGAACAGCTTGTATTCAGCATCTGAATAGTAACTTGCTGTAGAAAGTTTGCTTTAATATTTATACGTTCAGCACTGCTACATGCCTCTGAGCTCCATCAAAGCCTTTATTATAAGAGCACTGAAAGGAGTGAGGACAGGGAGAAGTTAGCTGATGTGGGAGTCTCCCCCCATGTGTGTACTCTCTCTCTCTCTCTCCATGTACAAAAAGCAGAATTCTTTGCCAAGGCCTCTGGGAGAAATCCTTTTAATATTTATGAACTGCTTCAGTACCTGTAACAAGAGCAGGTGGAAAACACCAAGGTTTGCTGCAAGTCAACCTGTCTGCCTCTCAGTCCTGGAGAAGGGGGACGAGCGCAGGGAATTCTGCCTTCAGAGGGCGGAAAAGCTTCTCCCCCACACGGATCGCAGGCAGCGAGCTCGTGGAGCTGCTCATTGCAGCTGCTGGAGCACTCGGTGAGCCACCTGCACAGCAGCCAGCTGCAGAAGGGCAGGGCCCCGGGGGCGAAGGGCTGCATGGCAGGGACCGTAACCTGTGTCCTCCTGTGCTGGAGGAGGAACGCAGCGCGGCAGACACAGGGTTGCTTTCCCAGGAGAACAAGCTGCAGAGCCCAGGCGTTTAGCTCAGGTTCTCCTGTCCCCTTCGGGCAGTATCAGAGCGCTTTCTGTCGAACAGCATCGGCCCCCCCGGGGAGCACGGCGAGGAGCAGGCTCTGTCCCCAAACGAGACCTTTCCTGTGCTTTGTCAGACTAAGTGCCTCTGAAACAGATGCAGCGACTGCAACTGCCTTTGTTTATTGCAGCCCAAGGGCAACGCTTTCCTGGCTGCCGCTACATCCTGACAGCTCCGAGCACCCAAGCGAAAGGAAAGGAAAGGAGAGGAGGGACTCCTCCAGCTGGCTGCCTGCTGGCACAGCCCCGAGGGCCCCGGGGGTGCACCCGGCGGGCAGGGCTCTGCAGGGTGGCCGCAGGCAGGGGGCTGGTGGCCCAGCCGTGCTGTTTGCCCACCAGGCACTGAACCACAGCACAAGCGGTGGAGCTGCCACTAATGCCACTGCCCCTCTATTGTCCCAGTAAGACAGCAAAAACAAGCCACGAGGAATTCCTCTCGTCTTTTGCAAAAGCTCAGCATTTTTCCTCCTAAATATTTAGGTTTCTTAAGACTAAAAACCCCACGACTCCCACGGCAGACTGTTTACTGGGCTACCAACAGTTGGTAATTTGAAAAGACCAGATAAAGCCCCCAGAACCAGGTTTAAGAAAAAATCATCCAATGAGATTTTACGTATTTACTTTCTTATTTAAAATTCTACCGCTTCAGTGAGACAGCAAAAATCAAACGTAGGCTCCCTCTGCCAACAGTTAAACAGAGCTTACACGTCTCTGTAGCTACACAAAGGGAAGGGACCTAAGATTGGTTTCTGCTTCATTAGACAAAATACAATGGTTACAGAACAGTAAAAATCAATAGGGAAATATTGAAGCTTGTAATGGATATTGGAAGCCATAAAGCCTGCACATACCAAGGGACCACAAACGCCAAATTTAGCATCGTCCTTAAAACACACTTACCTTCCCTTTGTGATTACACACGCTAACGGGTTTGGGTCGGATTTCGGTGGGTATCCCACCCAGCACCTCCCTGACGTGCCCGCTACCTGACCTAAGCCCAAGGCTTAACCAGGCCTCGGGTGCCTGTGCCAGGCGAGGAGCCTCAGAGCCACCCACACACCTCCAAGGCCTGCGCCGAGCAGCACTGCCTGGGGAGGTGTGTGCCTCGCTCCTTCGGCTGGGGGAGACGCAGACCAAACGTCCCCTGATGGGAGCAGCCTCCCTGCAAAGCGCCCTCCCAGCCAGCGCACAGCGCTCAGCCGTGTTCTTCCTAAAAACAAGCCAACCGTCCCACTGCAAGCAGCGCCTGGTCTGCAAGGAAGAGGAACTGGGGGAGGACTGGTCAGCCTGCAGAAATGCATTTAATGAGCCTTTGGTTATTCCCTGCCCACTCCTCCCCCCCGAAAGTCCTGCCGTAAGGAAGCAGTCCTGCTTCCGCACTTGCATCAGAAATGATTCTGAGCAACCCCAAGGGATCCATCAGCTGTCAGGTTGCCAGAGAAACATGGAGAATATGTAGGCCATAAAAACCTAACTAAAAAACCAAGCACCTAATTAGTATGCGAAAATAGAAAATAAAAACTGAACAAGAGCAAAACACTGAAAAAAAAAGTAAAAATCAAGCAGCCCTCAACTGTCCTGAGAGCAGCCGGAAGCTGGATTAGGAATGGTTCAGTGCTGAAGGCTCCCAACATCTCAGTCACTCTGAATATAATCTCCTACGCTCCTCATGCCAGGTAATTTCAGAAATCCCCCAGTGGCCTACAGCCTACAGGCAGGCTTCCAGGGTCCAACACCAAGCCAGTACTTCAGACAGGCAATGGAACAGCTCTTCTGGAGAGGCAAATGCTTACCTGCGGTGTAACTTGATAAAAGCTGGTGGATCCACACTGAGGAGATACTGGAACATAAGGGTGTAAGTCCTAACCAAGACTAAATGTCAGCAGCACAGACTGCAGGTGAGCTCTGTACTAGTCCTACCTGCCAGGAACCTTTTGGCTCCCCGTTCCAGTGCTTCATGAGGGCCCACCAACAAATTCATTTCTGAAGCTATTGACAGCTGTGAAGGCACAAGTCCCTAAAACTGACAAGTGTGACAGCCGGGGAAGAGCTGAAAGACAGCCCCAAATACTGTATCCATCACCTGTATTATTAACATGCCATTTAAGGTCTCCTTAGGAAGTGCACGTATCCCTGCTGGGACTCCTGAAATTGCTGTACAATCTGCACTTTCCATAAGCAGCTTGCAAGACACGATAAAGCCATAGAGAAAGTTTCACAATGCAAGTCACTGTCCTGTGACAAAAAAATCAGATGAAATTTTAATGCAGCTGCCCTTCAGTTCAGGAAGGGAAGCTCAGTATGTAAATCAACACGCCACGGGAGCGAACATGAGGCGTGCGTGCAGACAAATCTCCCTGGGTACCTGGGGCCCAGGTCAGGTGTGGGAATCTGAACACGGTTGTGTGTCACGTCCTAAGCTGCAAGTGGGCAGTTTGGAGGCAGGAATTGTTAAGTATCATAATTGAAAGCAGAAAAGACATCCTATCCAGTCCCACTCCCCTCCCCGTTCATCAGCAGGCATCAGCTTGAACTTGCTGGGAAAGGACAAGGGCCAAAGATCGCCGATAGCCGCAGGTTGTCTCGGTGTCAGAAAATCACTCCTATTTTTTATACCAGCTATCTTTCTCATCTCCTCTCTTTCCTGCATATGTGAAGGGAGAAAAACAACAGGATCTGCAAGGGAAAAAAGGCTGCCTCTACCTCCCACTGCTGAAGGGAAAAAAGAAAAGGCCAGGAGCACATCATTGTTATTCCCTAGGAAAGCGGAGACATCAAAACAACGCAACCCAGAGCCCAGCACCCCAGAGATGCAGCTGACTTTCCTTCCTCTTCAGAAGAGAGAGCTCCTTACTCTTCACCGAGAGCAGCACAGCCTCTCAAGAGCAGACACGGCCCCACACAACCCTCTGCTAAAACAGGAGAGGCTTCTCCCGGGGCAGCAGATCAGCGCTGCTCCAGCCACGTCTCACAGCTCGGGGGGGCTGCGGGGGGAGTCCTGAGCCCTGTCCTCCCCTTCCCCTGTCCAATGGCTGCTTCTGCTGAAGGACAGCAGGCTCCAGATGAGAGCCACAGCTTCAAATAAGCACTGCTCTAATTCAACATAAGCATTCAAAATAACAAGCAGTACTTTAGAACCAGGATTGCAAATCACAACAGCTACGTTTTAAAGCTACAGAGGATACTTTAATGCTATAATCCATATTAATCTGACACTAAGAGCAAGACAAATACACCGTGGATACTAATACGGTGCAGATGGTAAAGTACAGGACCATGTTAATGAAAGATGAGACTCCACTGTTCCTCCCTCTAGCATGCACATGCACTTCCCTTAAATATTTACTCTAGTGTTAAAGTCAGCAGCAAGTCCCAGCCAGTCTGCAGCTGATGGTGTTACGTGACAGCAGCCAACAGCGAGCATCCTCACCCCAAGGTGAGGCACGCCTCTTATCCCAGTGATTCCAGCCCTGCCCAGACCTCAGAACATAACTGCTGCATGAAGCTGCTCATGAACTCAAGGAGAATTACATGCAAAGGCTCATCCTACCAAGTGATGACCATGCTGATCCTGATAAAGAACGAGACACGCGTAGGAATAGCTGAACTCACCCTTCAGAATGTGTCGAACAATTTTAATGGAGCTGCCCCTCATGTTCAGAATCTGATGAACTCTTTGACGAATCTGATCAGGGACAGGAAACAGAAGAAAGTAATCTTCAACAACAGAAAGCCATGCACAACCCCACTTTTTGCAACTTTCTTTGAGGTGCAAGCAGAAACCCCAAGTACCACAAAACCCAACTCAGCCTTGCTAGCCCACAGTCCCAGAGCACCCACTTAAAAGCCTTCAGGAAGACGTGGCACAGGTACAAGTCACCACATAAAGTCACAAATGCGTTGGTGACAGCAGAGGAGCAGTATTTTGCTTAGTTCAGGAAAAGTCACCTGCTGCAGCCTGTGCTTTCGAGAAGCCTTCTGAGAGAACATCCTCTTCTGCTGCTCTCAGCAGTGGTACAAATTGGGCCTTTCCATTTCAAGCTGTGACCTTGCTTATGGCAGGCTGTGTGAGCTCAGTGATAACCATCAGCTTCTGTACCTACCGTTGCCCTCCCAACTGCTGTAAGTTCACGAAGTTGCATGGACACAAGCACAATAAGTTTCCCCCCAGAAAAGGAATTACAGAAAGAGAGGATTAAGAGGTAATATCTGCAAGGATTTATTGCCTTGTTTGTATCATGGATGGAAACACAGGTGATCTGCCAACCTTGGATATAGCTTTACCTGGGGAACATTGGCATTACAGATCTCTGCCATGATGTAACAAATGAGCTGTAGAACAAAGAGACCAGCATCCAGGCGACGAAGATAGAATTCATCTTCCATGTCATCATCTATTATCTCTCCGCGACGTACCATGTCCTGTAAAGCAGTGCAAAGAAAAGGGTGTCGAGACTGGCTCTCAAAGTACTTCCCATTAGTAGTGGCAAAACACTGGTGATAATTGTGGTTTCTTAAACGCTTTGCTCCCCCAAAATATGAACATCCATCCATTTCTCACCAAAGAAATACTACTTTTAATAATTCATTTAAATTCACAAAACATTTCATTCAATTTTGAGCAAGGTTTTGCTGTTGCTGGTTGTGAAGTGTGTCCACCTGCAAATGTAAATATTAATGTAAAAATACAAACTGCACTCCTAAACTGAGTGATTACAGCCCGTGAATGTGAAACAAACCAGTGTTTTACTACTAGCAAGTTTTGTCAAAACGGAACAAAACCCATGTTCTCCTACTGGCCATCTGAGGGTGCTGGTAAGCAGTGCAGAACACAACTCCAGCCAGCTCAAAGACCTACCAGGCTTCCAACTCCATCACCAGCTGACGAATGAGAAACCAGGTCTCAAAATTCTGCACAAGTGAAATTTTACCATTCCCAGCCCTGACCTTCCAACAGCGTTTGGCAGGAAGCCTGAGAGGGCCAAGCCTCCAGCTGCAGCACGCTGCCAGGAGAGCTCTGGTTCCTGGGGCAATGGCTGAGGGCTCTCGCTGCTTCTCCAAACACTGCCAGAACTTTCTCAGAACGGTGTTTCACCAGAGACACCTGCCCAAACGGAGCCCAAAGGCAGAATGCAAGAGGCCACTCCACCCTTCTGGTTCGGACAGAGCACTTTGTTCAAAGCACTGGCAAGAACAGCCTGGCAATAAATTCTGATCAGTTTTGTCTGGGGAAAGGCCCACTCCACCCAGAGTGAACCCACCCATACTCTTCACGGAGACCAACAGACCAGAATAACTGATGTCATGCATGACCTTTTGTGTTTTGGGGGTTTGTTTTTTGGTTTTGTTTTTAAATCAAGGAAACAGCTTGTCAGACGCTGCTAGCTTGCTGCAGCTCGGGTTACTCATTATGCAGCAGTGTGGCAGGTGGGCACACACCAGCAGAGCAATATTTTCTCATTAGAGCCATCACCAGCGAGCACGGTACCCGTAACGCTCACCGAGCACTTTCTCCACATGCACATGCTCTAAGTGAACACACACAAGGTGACCAGCACCAAAGCTGATTTAAGCTACCACATTTTCCTGTTTTATCAAGCCAAAGCCTTTCATCTAATTATAGGTGGAGTATTTTAGGCACAAGAAGGAAAACTAATCCTGTACACTTCTCACTGGAGAGTGCAATAAATGCTCACTATACGGAAATCTGATTAAGTGACTTAGAAATGCAGCTGTTTATTGCTGCCTCCCAAAAGTCAGAGAAGAAAGCACATGTAATGAAATATTTTTCCTTTCCTCCTAGGAATCTAGCTTGCCAATGAAAGAACAAGTTTAAAAAGCAATGCCTAATTACCAATGTCATAAGACAACCACATTGGCTACCCTGCAGGGTGCTTTAGCATCAGATCCTTTAGGCTCCAGTATTTGCAAACTGTGATTTACTCCATGCTTCCAAAATCATGGGCACAGGCATGACTGCACAAAGCTTGCGTGCAAGCTCCTGCCAGTAAAAAGAAATCCAATTTTGTGCAAGGAGCAACATTCCCCACCTACATCAATGCCAAATTAAATGAATCTGGTCAAATCTGGTCTCTAAAACCAACCATTGCACCTGGCAAGCCAGAGATAGGCAGCTACTCACTGAAACAGCCAAAAACCCCATGTGAGAAAAAAAGACAAGTCACTCAATTCCCAAAACTCAGTGCTAAATTCCTGAACAGAAAAATATCAACAGGCAAGGATTTTGAATCGCCAGAGCAGGAAACAAAGACCATTCCTGTTCTGTATTCTGATCCAAGCACGGTGATCACAGGAGCAGGATCCAGGCAACTGTCGCCTTGATTACACAGCGAAGGCAGCAGTTACAACAGCCCCTCTCGGCACAGAAGCGAGATTATTTTGCACCAGTGAATTAAGCAGATACAAATTAGAAGACAAATACAGTCTGAGGTACCTTTTCACAGCCCTCTTTTTTTTTTTTTAAAAAAAAAAAGAGAACCAAACTTTAAATGCTAATCTGCCTCCCAGTACAGTACCAAGCAGCCACCTTTCCACTTTGTCTCTCTTTCAAAGCTGTCAAGTTGCTAACCTCCAAATGAGCACTCAGATGCCATTTCTAATCTGCCAACAATATGTGCTGAGATGCCCCTTGCTGATGGGAGAAGACAGCAATGAGATGGGCTTCTGTGAAGCTAAAATGAGCTTCTCTCGCACTAATGAGGCAGGACTGACAGGCCTCAAGGTGTCAAGCAAAGACCTAAACCTAGAGATACAACGGATCTGCCGATCTGTGCCAGAGACCACATCTGCTCCACAGCCACCGGACTGGGGCCCAGAAGATTCCCTGCATCCTCCTTCCTTACATCTCATTCACCTCTCCCAGCAAACCCCAGCGAGGCAGTGCTTCCAGCAGGAAAGCTAGAAGCTCACCCCAGCCTGCTGGCCATTTCCCAGGAAAGCTCCCAGCGCAGGCAGCCTCAACTCGGCCACACTGAAAAATCCGCACACTCTCCCGTGACCTCCGGTGTGCTCTTTCCACGGGGCACTGACACCTCCCCGGCCACCACCAGCTCCTGCTTTCAGTACAGGTCCAGGCAATTCACCCGTCACTCTGACCTGGACTTGAACGCTGGGCTAATACCAGCCAGGAGCCGCTAGGAGTTCCACCTCTCCCTTTCAAGGATGGAATCACTTAACTGTAGCACAATTAGCATGTAATTTGTAAGTCATTATAGCGCAAAGTATCTGCTGAGAATATTTTACTGAATAAACCCGTGAGCATCATTTTCCACTGAACTATAAAAATATTAAACCATCCTCGTCTGCTCCTGCCATTTTTAGGGATCGCTAAGGCTATTGCTGCCTGCCTATAATTATGCCTCATTTTAGAGGGAGTTGAAAGCCACAGTTTTGCACCTTTTCCTACAGAAAGGATTAAAGAATTTGAGACAGGGACAAGATCCTTACTGGGTTTCATTACCTAAAAACTCTGAGAAGAGTGCTAGGACAGGCACCAGGTGTTAGAGACAAATGCTCATGGACTTTGCTCCTGGGTTTCAGGTAGCAATCAGGGTAATCATGAAGTTATCACCTCTGATCACTTCTGAACAGATCCCACAGCAGCAAATGGCTGGTTAACGCTGAGACGATGGGAGGCTCTCCCTCTGGACCGTACCCTCTTTCATTGTCCAGATTCACAGTGCAGCTTCATAATAATTGTTCTTCTTCAGAAACAGCTGGCTTAAGAAATTCCTCCCTTCCCTTCTGTTCTCAACTATTTCCACGCCTTCACTGCCACAGTCTGAAGGGCTGAGCTATAAACCAGATCACAAAAATAAGCTAAGCTAAAAGAAAAAAAAAAAAAAAAAAAAAAAAAAAAGGAAAAGAACAGCAAGAGCAGGAGCTTCTTATGCCAGCTGCACTACTAAAGATAAAACTTCAGGTATGATACCTTCAATCATTCTTTGTGTAATCATGTTTCCACTTCTTGTAATGCCAGACTTACACCAGGATACTCTGTCCATCAGACTTGAATCTCTCTTTTCAGTATAGGCTGAACGTGTACAAATTCATCAGGCATCTTTTTTTCCTTTGGGGCAGGGAGAAAGGAAAGGATTCGTATTCCAGATTTTTTTGGGTACTGTGCCCTCCACTGCAAGAGGAAGGTCAAAACCCCCCGGGTGACAAAGCTCAGCTTCTAAAGGACCAAGCGTTCAAACCATCCACTTCAATGATTCATGTGCAACAACTACAAACGTTAAAGCAGCCATAGATCCTGTCAAAGCTAGATAATTCCCTGACCTGACAGGCACAATGATGGCTTTTGCCTACTTCTCCGTGAGGAAACCGCTTGAGCCACTTCAGATCTCAGCAGACCGTTTCCCATTGACCATTTTAGGATGCTAAAAAGCAAAGCAATCAGTAACTCCAGAAGTGTTGAGGTTTGTTCCTTGCTTGGAATGTCGTATTTCGTACACTGTGCCCAATGCTCTAACCTGCTGGGAGATACAGCAAGAAGTAGTAGCGCAGTGACATGCTTAATATCATCTGTGCTGCCTCGAGATGATCGGGATTGCAATTGGACAAATTTCTAGTCCAGCCCTGTCCAGATTTCTAACCTCCTAATCTTTACTACCAGGCTCGGAACAGCTCTGCTTTGAAAAACCAATGTCCTTCACATGCAAAGTACAAATCTGCTTCTCAGAGGTGACATGAGCAAATCTCAGAGAAATGCTTTGATATTTTCTGTTGAAATATATTGCAGAAGGTCAAAGCACATATGGGATGTTTCTGCCAAATCCTATTATTAGCACTAATAGGAGGAAGAACTGAGATCCATTTATTCCAGCCATTCCAGCCTACAGAGCACTGCACTGGGGCAAAAGCACACTGGCCTTCTGGAGACAGGAGGAAAGTCTGAGTTCTTGTGCTTTCTCTTCTGGTTTATCAGTAAACATGAATGGGTTGTAATTAATTAAATTGCTTCTACACAAGCTTCTTCACACTCCAACTCCCTTCACCCCTGCTCTGTTGGCTGTTTGCTACAAGTGTTAATAATATTTAGAGCCAACTTCAAGACCTTTTTGATAAAGGGCACATGCATACAGTAGTTCTGCTCATTTCAGGTAAGGGCTCTATACAGCAGCTGCCCATACACCGAGATTTCAGCCAGAAAAATCAGCTCTGCTTTTTGATTTCTAACACCCACACACCAACACCGAAACCTAGAGAATAAATAATTTCTTGTTCTGTTTCGAGGTGGATGACTGGAGCGTGGAGGGATAGCAGGAAAGGGTAAAGGCTGTTTTTCTTCGGGCCACTGTTCATTTGTGAAGCTGCAGCTGTCCATATGGAGTCTGGATGCTGGCAGCAAAAGCAGCTCCATTCATCACTCAGCCTTTTGCCTTTTTGAGCAGCAGCATCACCGCTGAGCTCTGATGCCCCCAAAATGTTTGGCAGCGCCTGGAGAAACAGCCTTGGCAGCAAGGGGACAGCTGTTTGTCGGAGCCCGGCAGGGGGCTGCAGCCCGGGCACGCTGAGCTCACCCGCGTGCGGGGACGGCGGCTGCAGCGATTACTCTCCGTCAGTGCTAATCAATCTCAGCCCCTCTTCAGCGCTGATACAGATAATCTTGTGGGAAGCGGGCCAAGCTCGCTAACAGCTCTGCAAGCTGCTTCCTGACTCCGACAGCTCATTCTCTTTCAAGAAGTCTGTTCCAGCTTCAGTTCCAAGAAAGTACTAGGTGGTACCCATGCTCATGTCATTCGAAACGTTCACTGCTGGTGTGCAGAAAGCACACAGACTTGGGCTGCAGCCTCATCTGTCTAATCAAAATAGAAGTTTTCTCATGGGTAATCAGAACTCTACAGACCAGGGCAGGAGGCCTCACACGTTACCATGTAATTATCTGCATTTCGCTTCTCTCCATCCACCAAACCAAGCAAAATTTCAGACAAGTAAAAATGACGGTAACCCGACTGAGGCCCTCTTCATAGGATTCCCTAAGAGATGTCCAGAAGCACTTAATGTAAATAAGTTCTCATCCCATCTTATCTAAGGTACCAGAAGATGGAGAGTGGGGCAACAAAAGCTGAGAGAGAAGTCAGCACAGGTACGAAGGCTTGGCTCAGAACAGCGACCTGGCTGAGCCAAAAGCTTTGTGCAGATGCCATGCCTGTGCAGAAGCACCACAGACACGGGCTAGTACAACTTCAGCAATACATACATGTTTTTCTCCATCGATCTTCTTATCAGCTGCCTGCATTGCATCCAGATACTTAAAATACAGTTCCATCAGCCTATCAACCTGCAAGGACAGAAGAGAGAGACCTAAGCAAGAGAAAAAGAACAATGCCGTCATCTTTAATCCTTCATGTTATGCTGTTTTTCTTCCAGCTGCAGTCTATGCAAAATACCAGGCAGTTCTGTCACTCCCAGGAAGGAACGCATTAGAACGATGGTAGAAGTGTTGGACAGATGAGCATGCTCAGTCTGCGAGCATCCGAATGTAATCCCATGTCACAAGATGGTCTCATCAGCTCCAGCTAAAAGGAAACAGAGACGTGTCCCCAGCCCACTCGTTCTCGTGTTATGGCTCTCCAGTTCTCCTGGTTTCTCAAATGGACTTTTCTATGCTGAACATAGCCAAGCTTCTGCTACATTTAACAGACACGTCTAATACACAGTGGAGAGCAGGAGTACCCTGACAACTTAAACCCTTTCTAGTAATGGGAAATTTTCTCCAATTCTTAGATCAGGTTATGAAAAACACCTTTAAAACATACTAATGAGAAATACTGGTTCCTCTGTATTTCTCAAGTGGTGGAATTTACAAATCCCCTGGGAATTATTGGTTTGCAAAAGCTGCTGCTTCTTTTTCACAGCTGTTTGATCTACCCACCACCATGTAAATATTTTGGAAATAAATTCCCAGACCAAGCACCACTGAAGTGACGCATTGTAGGGGAGGAATGGGGAACGTTGAGTGTGTACTAATCCAACTCCTACAATTTCTGCAAAAGAGCTTCACTAGAGCAGACTGGCACCTTTCCATGCTTCCCTGGTCCCGCAGAGCCAGCAGTATGTGGTACACGATCAGCCCTCAGCAGTGAGGCACAACCCAGGACTACCAGCTGTGCGAGAGCACCAGAAAACAAGAGTGCATACGACGGAGGAGGCCGAGCACTAAAGGCACCACCAGCCCTCCAGTGAGTAGACAACAACAGGAATGAGAGAAGGATGGTGTGAGTGTGCAGGTCCCTACAGACAGGCACAGGAGCTGCTTTTTAGGAACTCAGTAAATGCACGCAGGCACCCTGCCATCATCAAGCGTCCTCTGAGTCCAGCAGCCCAGAGACTGCAGACACACGTTCCACACACTCACCTTCTCACTGTCATTCTCTGTGAATTTATTCAGCAACCGTGTCCTCTGCTGCCCTCTCAGGTTTCGCAGAAGGGAGGCCAGGATGGAACAGACATGTTCTAGAGAAACAAAATGAAAATTGCACGCTGAGATCAGAAACAGGAGCTTATACTCTCTGTAACATGCCATTAAATTTACTACCACCACTCCGGCACGTAGCTGCCGATAGCAGAACCCAGGTTCCTGCCAGCACCAGCGAGTGCAGGCAGAACAGCAGCAGAAGCAGCAAGCTGTGGCTGCAGGGAGCACAGGCAGCTCCTCTCCCACCACAACCAGGGCAGGGAGGCCTCCCCAGACCTCCTGCACTACTCCTACTACACTGACCCTGCTTTTTGTCCGTGAACCTGAAAAAAAAGCAACTTACATAAAGCACAAATTCTGCTTTAGTTCAACTCGCCGGGCTTGCAGGCGCCCCAGCAGCACGCTGCTCTGTGTGGTCTCAAGCAGGGGCCAGCCCCCGCGGAGCACCCAGCACACCCAAGTGGAGTTCGGGCTGTTCTGTAACGGGGCCCAAGCTCTCTGCTCCCCGAGGCAAAGGAAACAAACCGATCTTCTCTAAAACTCCCCTTTTACACACGGAGGGTGCAATGTGCTTCCTTAAGCACAAATATTTGGCTTTCCTTGGCTGCAATGAAGTACAGAAGGAAGTGCTTCTCCTTGGGTCATTTCCTCAGGAGGATTCACCAGTTTTATGTGCATCTTATACAAAACACACACTCGGTTTTGAAACATTTCTCATCAAGTTCTCCAGTTACAACTCCCACACATCGGCTCCGTTTCGTTTTGCCAGCGAGCAACTTCCCGGGCAGGAGAAGGAACCAAGCACTTCTGGAAACCAGAGGAGTCCGGGGAAGGAGCCCAGAGAAGGGCACCCGCCTGCCTCCTGCCCTCCGGGAGCAGGAAGGGCCACAACCAGCACTCACCTGCACCCCACATCGCTCCTGCATGGGCACAGGAGACGCAGAGCTGTGAACCATTTGCAAAATGAACGCCAACATCAGAAACAAGGCAGAGCATCAAGGAGTATACGGCTCTACTAATGGGAAATAAAACCCAGCAGCAAAGCACAAGGCAATGACAGAGGCACGGGTTTCTCTCCCTTGCCGAATCTTTTGGTGTTGCTTCCTGCCTGCAGGTCTGCGTTAAATATAGACCTTACATTATAGATATTGAAATGTATTTTAAATTGTAACTTCTCTCCTTTCCCTCGCTTTAATCTTGATGATTAAGACTGATGAAGAATAATGGACATAAAAATTTCCTCACCTACAGTGACGGGGAGGGGAGAGCAGTGTCAGGATTTTATGTTTTTGAGAGGAAAATACAACGCACGGAGGAAAGGGATCATCTCTGCCATCAAACCATTTAGCGTGCATTTCCACAGTGCTGCCTAGCCCGGAGCCACGAGAAGCCTAGATCAATTGCATCAGCCTACAAGAACAAGTGACATCTACGCGTTCGTATGGATCTGTTGCACTAACAGCCAGCAAACACTTCCACTGAAGGGCTGAAGGCACAGGGGCTGCTTGTCCAAGCCGTGGGTCTGCCCTCCCGGCAGCGCAGGTTATCTGCACGCTACAGAAGGGCAGCGACAGAAGAGGAGAGACGCGTCCACACGCGCCCACCCCCCCATTTCATTAGCTACTTACAAACGCAGCTTCCTTAGAAACAGATTTCTGCCTGAGGTGGTGTCAATTTTTCATGTACCAAAGAGATTGGGAGAGCTGCTGGCAGGAGGAGCAGGGGAGATAACAGGTTTATCTGGTGGCCGGCACCGCTCGGCTGCTCTGTCATTTCGACAGGCTAACATGGAGGTGAAGGATGGCTCCGGCTCTGGCACTGCATGCTCTTGCTGCAGAGAAACAGTTATTCCACACAAACAGCTCTGAATTAAGTGTCTTCATTAAAAAACACTGCGAGAGCCTCCAAAGTACTTGCTGGCTCCTATTTCCTTAAGTATTAAAAAAAGATATAATGAAGACTTTTTAAAATAAATCCCAACAGATACTCTGCTGTTACAGAAAGAAGGCAGAATCCTGTATTTCACACTGTTTAGCCTTTTTTTTTTTTTTTTGAAGTGTTTAGAAGTGTTGACAGTATTTATATATATATAAATATAATATATATTTCAATATTCCTGCACTAGGAAATGCATTTCAGCCATTGTTTTTGCTTTGGAGCCCACGTGCAGAAGGTTATTTATTATACTGATAAAATCTTAGAAGCTACTGAGAAATCTAAACAAAGCGATGCAGGTTTTCTAAGAATGAGGTTATTCTTTACACACAGCATCACACAAAGCCCAGAAAACATCTATTTCCTGGTCAAAATGTTCCAAAAACGTTGCGCAGAAATATTCCTCAGCTGACTGATCAGGAAAATGCCTTTTTCTCGATCAGGTTCTTGAAAACTCCCCGGTGTGGTTCCGTGCCCTCCCCCCAAATCGCAGTTGTGCTGCACACAGCTGGCCCGGTGAGCGCTGGCATCCACTGCAGGAGCCAAAACCAGGGCAAGGCCTGGGGTAAGAGAAGTGCTATGGGAGAAGCGGCTGAGCCCATTTTCAGGGGATTAAACATCCAGCTGCACTGCAGAAAGGAGGCGTTAGCTGGAAACACGTGTCTGTAGGCACGGGGACCTTGCCACGCTCCCACGGACTGCGCTGCTGCTCACCACGCATCTGCAAATTTGTAGGAGTGCATAATCTGCGTGTGCTCTTGGTAGGATCTTCTCTGGAAGGGGATTAGTGGCTGGTGCTGCTCCGAGCCCTCAGAAAGCCAAGCCCGCAGCTCCCTGCTGGGATCTCAGCTAAGGACAGGCCCCGAGCACAGCTCCCAAGGCAGTGCCTCGGCCCCACAGACTCTGTGTTTGGGCAACTTCCAAACAGTCAAACACACCAGCACCCAGCCCCAGTCCACAGCACACACACAAACAGGGTCTTTTTCATGGAGGGGAACAGACAAGGCCAGAGGAAAACGTTGCTGTCCAACCCCATTTTCTAAGAACTAAACGCATTTCTCCTGTAAAACACCACCAAGAAGTCCCGCTCAGCACCACCACCGATTCCTCCACCAGCACTAACTTACCACCTGCAGCCAGTAAACATTACGAACAACGCTTACCAAAACAAAGTTGCTTTTTTATTAGCAGGCAAGGTCGTCATCTTCCCCCCCTGCACCAGTTCGGCTGCGTGTACCCAAACTCTCTGTGGTGCCGTTCTCTTGGTGCAGCGCGCACGCGGCCACCGCCTGCTCTCAGCTCTCAACCCGCGTGTGCTCACCCGTCTGTGCCAGCTCTCCTTACACCAGCAGCACCCCGGGCTCTCGGGAGCCTTTCCCTCTCCAGACAGGCACGAAGACTTCAGAATGCAAGCAGTGTTTAAAACACCCTAATTAGATCGATCTTGACTTCAGCTGCAGCGTGTTGGAATACAGATTAATCTATTCCATGGCTGGCACTGGCAGCTGCAGCAGCAGGAGGTCCTGTCAAATCAAGCCGTAACATTACACTCCTCTGCCTTTACCACCCCCAAAGCTCCCTGTGTTTTTTGGTTTTCACACCCCGTTCGGAGGGATGCCTCCCTCTGCTCCCCAGCACAGGATCCTGGGGCAGGAGCAGTGCTCGGGGCTGCAGGGCAGCAGCAGTCTCTGTGTGGACAGGATGTGTGACCCTGGTGTTCTGATGACCCCACCAGGATCTCTCTAAGAACCTTCTGTCTTGTGAAGGCCTCCTGGGATAAACTGAGGTTCCTCACTCGAAGCAGAAAAGCACAAGAATAAAGCAGCCGACTCCTTCCGAAGCTCCCAGCCTGCACGCACTGCGCAGAGGCTGTGGCTGCAGGTGGGTTTGCAGGGAAAAGCTGCAGGAAGAACCTGGAGCACGCCAGGGCCAGCCCCACGCCGCTAACAGCTCTGCCGGGCACAGAGCCACAGCCCGCGGCCAACGCTCGTGCTGACAGTGAGATGGGGGCAGCCCCAGCAGCGAGGAGCTCGGGTCTGTCTGCAGGAGGGTTACCTGCCCGCCGCGCTGCCCCCCAGGGCAGAGGCCTGGCTTCGCTGGTAATTACACCAAGGGCTGACCTTCGCTTCCAGTTCAGCAGCCCGCTCCTTCCCTGGCCGTCCGAATGCAGCTGAGCAGTTCTGTTCACACAGAGCGATGCCTCTGCTAGGCATTCATTTCGGCTGACCACCAGATGAAAGAACAGCGCCTGCTGGCTGCCAGAAGGTCTCTCAATAAAGACACTCGCTCTCGGGTCATTTGTCTGTGCTGCCTTTTCACTTCTCCATGTCAGGGGAACTTATTTCTGCAGCAAGTATTCATTCCAAGGGGCTTTGCTACCTTTCAGCGCGGGTCACAGAGGAGTAAAATCGTATTTACTAAGAAACAGATTTTGCTGCTGTTGTTTTTTAACGCGTACAGCTGACGAGCTCCAAAGAAGGCTTCCTTTTTGCTGGAGGGTGAAGAGGCAAAAAAACCCCAGAGATAGGAATTCTCATTTGGAAATTGGCTGAACTAATTCTCAGGTTATCAAATTAAGCATTCCTAAGTAAAACTGACATCTAGGACAAGAGAAGGCATTTAAATGAAGATGAATTGAACAAACATCCTTTTATAGTTCATTAGACTCTCCAAGTGAGCACAACTAGCTGGCAAATGGCTGTACGAGGAGCAGGACACGCAGCAAATCGCACGAGTTCTGATGGCTGCACCACAGCCCCGCTAACTCGGGAGGAATTTGTGCTCTCTCCATTTGCAGCTGGCTGAGTCCATTCAGGAATTTCAGGTTAGTACCCAATACTTCAGTTCGACTGAGGAAGTCCAGGGCTGCAGATCCTGGTACCTTTATGTTATGGCCAGGAGCATGCCAGGCTGCTCTGCTCAGTAGGGCAGGACCCCCGGCAGGGCGCAGTGCTGCCCACCTCACACCCACCATGGGCAAACTCCTCGCCACAGCTGGGCCCCTGCCTTCCAACCGCTGCTCTCTACAGGCAGGCGATGTTACACCATCGTTACACCATCGCAGAGACAACCACCACCAAAAGCCTGCTAAAGACTGTTAGAAAAATTTCCCTTTCTTTTTTCTTAATTACGTCATGTACATAGAAGCATAAATACCTGCAGTTTGGATTTAAACCATCCCGAGTTTCCCTAGAGTAAAATGATTTTTCAACACCAGCAGTGTTTGAGATGTGGTTATCCAGCACTGGCATCTTTATGTTAGCTTTAAAAAATAGAAATACATTACAGAAAAGTTATTTTTTTAATCAAATTTAATTTGGATTATAAATTTTCATAATAAACAAAAGCTCAGCAAGCCACATTGAGTTTTTTTTGGTAGGGTATATAATATTTTCACACATCTGAAACACCACCTTCAAGACAATAAAGGAAGCATTATTTCTGACACGATCTCCAATGTAAAAAGCAACATCTCTACAGAATAAAAACAAGGGGAATGTTTTCCTCCCACCATCAGACACAATCCCTAAGCGTCTATCCCGACGCTCTCGACAGCATTACAGCGAGCACAAATTCCTTAGAATTTCTTTTTAATAAATACTGAAGCCTTTGCTACAAAGCTATTGTAGCCAAACCTTTAACGGAATGCATTCCTCCGTTTGATGTAGACGTGAAAACTCTCCTAGAAAACGAGCATTGGTCATTTTTGTTCTTTTTCCAACAGTCAGAACACAGGCTGAAGTTTTTATCGGAAACGGTAACAAGAGCAGACTGACTACCCGCATCCTTTTTGCTAAGGAGATATGCAGAAAGAAATGTGTCCCCAGGGCCACCCCAGCCCAGAAGGCAACAACTCCCAGTCACGCGAGGCTTGTACAATTTCCTCTATACCCAGCGGGCACCACCAGTTCTTTCCAGCGTTGCTGTTCAGCAGTGGCTCGCAACATCCAACTGCCAAGCAGCAGTGCCCCCAAGCACAGAGAAATTATTGCATTGCGAGTGGCAAAGTAAAAACATATAGTATGCTGCTTACACGCGACAGGACGACGCCCGTGACAGGCTCCAGGGGAGCCCTGTTCCACGTCTCAATTAACTCCCACCGTCGGAAAGCCAGTAACTCACCTGCCCAGTGATGCAAAGCACAGAAAATTGGACCTACTGCCACAGCATCTGAGTTTACTTTAATAAAACAGATTTCTGGACTCATGTTAATGTCCTCCATTTCTTCTGAATATTAATGAGATGGAGATATCACACGAAGACCGTTTGCACAGATAGCTCCATTTTGCTGAGGGCAGATTTGCCTTCCCCCCATCCCCAAAACAGTTCAGAAGCTGACCCTTTGCTGGCTTTTCAAACAGCCAGCTAACCCTCACAGTAGCCAGGACCATGCACGATGCCCTCAAGCATCACATGTGCATGGTCCACGATGCCCACAAGCTCACACCTCTTCAGCTTTTCAACGTATTCATCCCTTATAGAACTGAGATGAGTAATGAACAAGATCTCAGGCATCACTGGCAGTATTTAAAGTTTCTTCCAAGTAGTCAAGTATTAGCAAAATGAAAAAGGAACTGGACTAGGCATGGACTGACCCTAGATTCAGTTCAGCATAGGGTCCTGCAATAACACTCCACCACAGATTTCTATTAAAACGGAGTTTTCCAGGGGAGAGGGGAAGAAAATAGAAAAAAACAACTTCAAAAGTGTGCAGTTATTTCTGTAATGCCTGATGTTCATTGAGTCACACTTCAGTGCCCAGAGCCATGAAAACACTGCTTTTGAGGTGACATTTGTAGTTGCCTCATTACTCTTTTCAAAAGAGTTTTGCATCAAAGAGTCAGAGCTTCAAACAACAAACCCTACAGGAGTAAAATAACTTATTAACAGCACATGAAATGGAATCGCCAGGAACTGCTGATACCAAAACAAGCAGGGCAAGTGTGTCATCACCAGCCAGCGCTGCAGCACTGAATGGCAGGCTGCTCTGGGCTTGAAAGCTGCAGGAAGAGCAATGGGAAGGGAAGACCAGTGAGTGCTCCTTGCCTCCTCCCTGGCAGGCACAGACACCTGCCTTCATCCACCTCCTCCACGAGGAGAAGGATCCACGAACAGGCCTACCTTCGTGCTCTTTTTCAGTCGTTCCAACTTTCTTTATTTTCTTGGGCGATTTCATGAAGAGCGGGAAGATGGTCCTCAGGCCAAGGATGTCAACAAATTTGTGACAGTTGTCTGTGCCCTCGGGTCCAATCATGGCATGATCCAGCACCTTCAGGGCACTGCTGCGGGAAATCTTCTTCTCTCTGCGAAGAGAAAGCTGCAACTTAAACTTTTCAGGGACAGAAGGAGCTTTGAACTACGCTACTTCAAAGACACAGCATGAAAAGGGAAACTGAAGTGACGAGGGAAGTCGCAAAGAGCCTGAATGCAAGCTCCAAGCGAGATTTTCTTCAAGGAGCCAAAATATTATATTGACAAATACTCTTTTCAAGACTGTGGTTGAAGACAAACTATTAGCTTTGCTATTTCTTACTATTTTTATTTCTTTTTATTTTCCATTTTATTATTTATATATGTGTTTTTATTTCTCAGTTATTAAGGAAGTTCTCATCTCTTCACCTCCTTACAAACATTAGCGCAAAGAGGCAGAGGAGACTGGGTTGGGTACACAAGACAAATACTGTCAGACCAGAAGGATCAGGGCATAGATTTAGCAATAATTCACTGTAATACAGGAGTGTGTTTGGTAAGCACAGATTGGAGGAGGTCAGCTGCACTGAAGAAAACCTTTCTCCCAAACGCGTGTTCGGAGGGAGGCAGACAGACCTCACTGTTCTGTTCAATGTGTATCAGAGCGCTGACGCTGCTAACTGGGGCTGATAACACACAAGCAGTCAGTTAAGAATTCTGTACCTCCCAAACCAGAAACAAAAGAACTTATAAAGTTTTTATAACAAACCACAAAACCTTGAGAACCTTGACCCGAGGCAGCAGGTGCCGATGTGCTGCACACTGCGGGCCAGGCGGATGCCAGGAGCCCAGCGCAGACCAGCAGAGCCCGCCTGCAGCCTGCGAGCCCACAGCTGCACAGCAACCCCTTCCTTTTCTCTTTGGAAGGGGATTTGTTCTCTAACAGCTATATAACTGTGTGCACATTTACAAATAAATCCCCACAGAAACAAGCCATGCTCTGCCCCAAGACAGACAGAAGCACAGCCACCCCCCCGCCTCATGCAGCCGGCCGCCGGCACGTCTCCTCCAGTGCTGCGAGGCCCAAGCTCAGCGAGCTGCAGAAGATGCCTTTCCTTTCGAGACCTAGCTGCCCGAACCCGTAACAACATGCAGACTAAACCAAAGGTGTATCAACACGCTAGCCCAAAAGCAATTTCCTTTGCTCAGCACAACCACAGCCGCGCTCAGCACACGCCGGGCAGTGGTTCCGCAGCGGCACAGCAGCGAGCGCGACCCTGCAGCAACGAGCGGTGCGAGCAGGAGGCTCAGCACCACCTCCTTCCCTGTAGAGGAAGCTAAAAATAAAGTACTTCTCAGGCTAGACAATATAAGAAATGTTTTCAGGGGAAGTAATTGCATATTGATCAGCATTTAGGAAGGTTGCACAGAGCTGATCTCTGGAATATTCATTGGGTTTAAGTTCAGGCTTTTAGGGATCAATAGCTGCTTGACTGGACTGTCTAGAGTTGATTTTATTTGAAATATTTATTCTGCTGGAGGCCAAGTAGTTTATCTTAGTCTTATCTGGGTTTATTGAAGAAACTTTTAGCTGAACACTAATTCAAAGACAAGCATATGCGAGTATCACCAAACGGAGTGACCTCAGTCTTAATGGAGAACTCCGAATCACAACTTTATTTACTAACCATTGTTTCCTCCTTTTAATACCCTTGTGCCTCATAAAACTCTTCTGGTACATTTATTATTCTAAAAAGAAAGGTGCAAACATTATTTGGACTTCCCATACTAGCATAACACCACCTTTACTTTTCCAAATACTAGCAAAACAAAAAATACCAGACTTCATGGAAAGCGCTGCATAAAATGGTTCTGTTTAATTAACCAGAAGATTTAGTAAAGAGATAGTCTAAGTTTCCACGGGGTCATTAGGAACAGCAGGACAAGAAACCATAAAAGGATTTTAATAATCATAAAAAACATACCCTGACATAGCTGGAGTCAAGCTTTGGGGAACAGCACAGAGTTGTCCATTTTCACCTTGATTTTTCTATACAGTAGCAAATGTTTTTGTGAGGGCCAGGAAAAGCGACTGAACAGCTTCAGAGCAGGAGGTCACGTTGCCCAAGCGATGCACTTTTCCATGAGCTCCCTTTGCTGCATTTATCTATGTGCATACAGATGCACTTTCGGTTAATAACTGGGAAAGCCACACATCATTTTTCCTATGCAAGAGAGAATGTTCTTGACACATCCCCTGGGAAACCAGTGGCTGCATCCCCTCCAAACCCTAACACAATTTTACAGTGAAAGCAATAAGCTTCCTGTCAGCACTTGCAGGAGAACTGACATTAAAAGCCTGCTCTTCTCTCTTTGGGCTTTATAAGGCAAGCTGCATTTAGGTTACTAAGGCAAGGCTGAGGGCCTGTGTACTGCAAAGTGCTTCCTGACCTAAAAAAAAAATTGAATTTAATTCTTTATGACATTGATAAACTTTCCACTGGTGGCTACCAACCTGCTGAACTATCTTATTTTTGATAAAAACAATACATAAAATCCATACGCCCCCACTGCTGCAGAGATGCAAGTCAAATAATTGTATATATCGTCGCTCTCATCCTAATCCCAAACTGACAGCTTCATTCCTGCTGCCACACGCTCTGTCCTTCAGGACTGCTCTTCTCCCAGCCCCCTCTGCTGAAGCTCCATGCTCGATAGCCCTCCCAAATTCCCCTCAACACTGTGAGTCCGGGTCCTGTGCACCGCATCCAGCACACGGCCTGCTACAGTCATCGGTGTGAAGAGCATCAGGCACCCCACGCTCATTTCAGACACTGCCACTTCCATCCAGAAACGAGGAGCTCACGCACGGCAGCAGCATCTTTTGCTGATGGCCACACGTCTCAAGTCTCAGCAAAACGGGAAGGAGGCTGTTTTCATTACTGTCTGTAGGAATCTCCCGAGCATGCTAAATGTTCAGCTGAAAGATGCTCTGCTTCCCCGCAGCCCTGGGTGCGCCACCATTAAAAGAACAACTTGGCTGGATGCGTTTGGTAGCACTAGATACAGAATCCTATGTTCCCTAAGACAGTAATGGAGATTCAAGCCTGATATCTTTATTCTTGCACAGCTTATCTATCTCGCACGTCAATAAACTTTCAACTTTGCTTATTCGTCCTTTCATCTCCACAGACGATGGTGCAATGATTAACCACCTTCAAAGTAAATACAGAAACCTGCAGATCTCTCCCCCCGGTTTTCAGAGGACACGGACAGGAGAGAAAAATAATCTGTCCTGTTTGTGGGTAAGGAGGTCAATCACGACTGAGTGACGTTTCTATTCGTTGCTGTTTACCATCAAGGTATAAAGATACAAAAGCGTAATGCTCCTGTGCTGTTCTCTAGATACCAGTCAGACTGCACGTCTTATTTGCAATGCCAGCCTGCAGGTACTATGGCCGTGCTGTTCAAGAGCAAGGAGCAAGAACTTTACTCTGTCCAACTAGGCACTGATCTCTCTAGAATGGATTTGCAGCGTGGGACAATTGAATTGTCCCACGCTGCAAAACAACACACACTCAGGAAGAAATTTTCCAGCTGGGATCCTGATACAGAGAACAGTAAACATTAGCTTTTCCCTCATTTTTGGACTCTATTAAAAACCACAAATGCTAAGTCCCACCCACATGGCACAAGAATTCCAAGTAATTAGTTCTGCAAGGATAGCTTAGCAGCTTAGTTCTCGAGGCAGAGGGAGGCTTCCCCTCTCGTCCTTAGTTTTGGAGCTTTTCTTTAATTAGCTTCAAGAAAACCCAGTGTTCCTATTTGAATAATCCACATTCAGTTATTTATTCAGTTCCCTGCTGCTGCACATTACCCAGCCATGCGCTGCAGGAATACATCATTTCTTGTTGGTGTTTGCTAAGCAGCCACCGCATGCAGCTTAGCACACCAGGGAAAGCGAGACAGAGCCCCACTGTGCCAGGTCCTGAGGAAGTCTCCTCTCAGAAGCTGCAATCCAGTACCCGTCTAGGAAGCAAAAGGGAACACAGCAGAGAAGCCCTGGAGATTCGTGGTGTGACAAAAGATGTCACAAGTAGAAATGCATACTTATGCCTATTTCACAAAAGGAAATTTTGTACCAACATCCACAAAAACTCACAGCTCAGAAGACACAACCCAGTGAAACGTGAACGCGAGAACCAAAGGAAAAAAACATTCTCCTTGCGGAGATCCAGAAGTTCTCTCTTACCTTCATAGGGGTCTTTTCAATCCTTAGAGAATTAGTGGCCTGACTTATTGGGGTTATTATATGTTGGGATTATTATACATGTATATTGGCCTGACCCAATAATGGGGTTACTACAGTAACACCATTTCTTAGGAAAATGAGAGAAGTGGAGTTTGTATGTCTGAAAACATCAAAGTAGCATGCTGAAAAGAGAAAACCATGCTAGCATATGAATTGTATAAACAGAAAAATACAAACATATTGCTAGAACGTGTGCTGGTAGCTGAAAAGCATGCAAGAAAGTCACAGTTACGAGTACCTAAGCATCAGATTCATCAGCTGTAGGCCCTCGCCTTTCAAGAAACGATCACGATTGGAGCTGAGCATCAGGCAGGAGCAAAGAGAGTCAAACAGGTTCTCCATCATTTCCTGTTCTTCTGCTGTACTAGGGTTGTGTCGTTTAAACACCTGCAGGACAAAGAACACAAAATTTCCCCAACATGGAGGGCCCAGTTTGGTTCACACTGTTGCAGAATATGTATGAACGTTTTGCATCACAACCTTCAACACCTGACACGCGGAAGCCTGCAGCCATCAGAGCAGCAATCACACATCACCGATGCATTCTCTCTTGTAGCTGTGCTGCCCTTTTTGCTGTCCTGACCGTATCCCAACAGCTGTGCAGCAGCCTAACGCATGACTAGAAAGACAATGCAGGGCCTCCAAAGGGAAAGGTAAATTCACTGATTACACAATTCACAGAACTATGCGGATAAGCTTGCTACAAGAGAACACCCAGGCGTAATGCACACCTGAATGATCTGCTCCGCAGCACCCTAATGTACGGACGCTGCTATCACCTATTCAAGAAATGTAAGTGAACAAAGAACATTTTACCTTCAGCCAGCTCAATAGCAGAAGTAATGCTGCACAGTGCTTGGAGTGGAAAATACTAAAGATGGACAAATTCTAACCTTCTCTCCAACCCTCCACACAAGTATAACAAAATAATTTAACTTTTGTGTACCTCGATGTTAACATCTGTTAAAAAGGGAATAAAATCACTTAGCACAGACAATACATGTGAGTGGAAGTTACTGGGGGCCTATGCCACCACTAAACGTTAAGCATTATCACATTTCGGTATCTGCAGATTCCTAGGACAGCACTACACCCAGGATCCGTTCCACTTGCTCACAACCAGCCTGCGAGTCTCCCGACGGTTGAGGATGTATGTGAATTACTCACAGATAACTGCTGAAGCAGCACATCGATCCCATCCAGCTCCCCGAGCAATTCTCTGTTGTCTAGACGGGAGTGGGGGGAAGGGGGAAAACAGAGAGAAAAATGAAGCTAACTGTCAGATTTTACTGCCATCTAACACTGATACATCAGCAAGCAAAATCAATATGGCTTGACAGAGTACAAAAGCTGCAGAAAAAAAGAGGGTGCATGCGTACAGGAGAGAGCATACACAGGAGAGCGAGCACAGGCAAAGGGGAGCCAAAGGCAAAAGAGTGCAGTCATGATCTGAAACAAGCCTGGGGCTTATCCTAACAGAATATCAATACCAGAGGCACATCTCACCATCATTATTCTGAAGCAAAATAGCCAGCACCTCACTGCAGTACAGCTTGTTGGCATCAAACGGCATCTTAGCCTGTTGGTGGAAGGAACAAAACAAAGACCCATCAGGGCACTGCTCCGTGTTTCACTGAATCTGAAGAATGCACTGATCAAATCACTGAACATATAAGCAACACTTTAAGCAAAACACAGCAGCAGCAATTCTGCAGTATGACTCAATGACCAAATAATAATTCTTCCTGATTCAGGGGTGAGAGTGTGTACGCGTGTCCACATGCATATGCCAAAAACCAACTCTGCTCCTTTGCGTTATCCTATATAATTACAATTGCCCAAGTTGACTCAAAAAACCTCACAACAGACTCCAGCTGTCGCCTTCCGAGAAGTTTTCCATGATATTGTATGTAGTATGCATATGCATCGGCTCATCCCTATTCTGAAAGGCCGCACCTGCCACCAAAAATGGAATTTCAGAAAACACAGCACAGTAACATCGAACAGTAGCAAAGTTTGATGAGGACCAAACGCTGCAATTGGCTTTAGCCTGCACAGTCACACAACATTCCTTTCATACATTCCCTCTCAGATAACAGAAACTGGTTTGCAGTTACTATAAAAAAAAAAAGAAAAATCTTAAAAATCATCAGTACCTAGCCGTTCGTATTCCGCTCTTCAAGGAAAAAAGAAAGTACAAAGTAGTAAGTGCTGGGCTTACCACATCCTATTTGTCACCCCCATTTTTTCCCTCTAATACACAAGTACCTGCAGCTTGATTGAGCAAACCTGGCTGCGCCAGGCTATGTGTGGGCCAATTATCTCAGCCAGCTACCCAAAGGTCACAGTACACAAGTATCCTGCAACAAAAACATGAAAAGCAGGAAGATCCCAAATGCCACGAGTATTGACTTTAAATAAAGCTTTGCATTGAGAACAATCCCCAAGCACTCTGTAGATGATGGTGTTTATAGCAACCACGTCTCACTGGCATGAAAGGGGGATGTAGGCAGGTGCCTGGTGCTACACAACCCTACCTGCTACCATCACAGCACATACCGACTGCTGTTGTACAAGCATTAGGAAATAACGTCCTGTTCTTTCAAGGCTGCACAAAACACCAAACCCTGCTTGTGTTTGGAGAAAGGAGCTATTAAGCTTCCCCATCTGAGCTTTCTCAGGCAATTCTGACAGTCAGAATGCAATTATGCAACCTGAAATGCAGTCAGAGAACAGAAATTCACACCGTGCCATGTGCCAGATGTCCTCACCAACTCCTAGACAGAAACCTGATTTTAAAAATCATCCTAAAGATGGTCTTCAGCAGCAGAGCACTCTACGCAGATGCTGAGATACCGCTTTAATCCTAAACACATCTGTCAGGGCGAGAGATTCCAGACCAAGTGCTGCCAATAGCAAAAGCTCCTGGGCAAGGATTTTATTAGCGTGCATCTCCCCACCATGACAGCTTGTAAGCAAAAAAAAAAAAAGCACTGCCTGATCACACTTCCCCAAACCCAGAGGGAGTTAACACATGCCAGAGCAAAGGCAGCACACACATTCACAAGCCTTTAACATTCATGTTCTGCTGCACCAAGCGGGGCAATCCAAGTTGTGATTATTTTGCTTTCCCAAGTTTCTAAGTCTTTCAGCTGCAAGAGTAATTATAAAGCAGACAGCAGACCTACACTCAGTACATACCTGCCTGGAATGAAATTAACTTCACTTTTTGTATTTAAGCGGAAGGAATATAATTATGTTACTACCTGTAGTGAGAAATTATAGGTTATTTCTGCTAACAAGTATGTGAGGGGCACAGAGGAGTATCTGCATGATTACAAAGCTGTTAGAGTATTTTCGTGACTCAGAGGTCACAGTAACTGTACAGACATTTAAATGTGGAGGTGCTAATGCCTTACTAAACAAGTCAGGAGAAAGAAAGCCCAGGATCCGTTCTCTAAATTTCCTTCACTAGCTCTGTAAGCGAGCTGCACTATCAATTCATTCCCTAGAATATTTTTCCAGGGAATGTTTAGGCATCTTTACACAAAAGACAGAGTTAAACAGTGCAACTCACTGCCACAGCTGCTCAAAATATTAACAAGGAAATGTGAAATCAAAAGGCAATTACATGAGCTCCAAGAAAAAGCCACCACCAGTTAGAGACACCTCTAGAAATCAAAAATGTATTTGAGATGTAGCAAACAAATCCATAAAATACGTAAGCTTCCCTGCTTACTGATCAGCTTTTTACATTCCTGCTGGTTTTAGCCATGGACCAGAAATCTACTCTACAGGAATCATACAAACAGAGAACAGACACGCTCTGCTGTACGAAGCTTACAATATAATGACAAGACACAAGTACATCCATTTAAACTAAAAATGCAGAAAACGCAAGCCCTGAATTCTAACTTGATTTTTGTGCCTAACAGCTTCCCCACCACACACACAAGCGCACGTGCAAACTTGGCTCATTTTAAGCAATGTTTAAAGTTCACACTAAGTGGCTTACAGAAGGCAGGCACTGGCAGTACTCTGCTGATGCCTGAGCAGGGAATGCTAAGGTAATACAGCTACTCGGGTAGCCAGATCAGTGGTTGTAGCCCACATACTGTTTGGTGCTGCTGTGAAGTCTCTGACACTGCAATAAAGGGAAGACCACAGCTCTTGTGGCAGGATCAAGGACACGTTAACAAAGAACTCCCCAGAAACAAACAAAAACCAAAGATGTTCAAGAGGACACATTACAGGTAATTTCCCAGGCAAACACTACAGAAATGAGACAACTTCTGCTCAGGGACACACCACAACACGTAGAGCTCCTTACACATAAAGCCAGCTCTTCCAATTTTGCTAGCTTACAACAAGTTAGATGGAATATACAGCAAGTTAGATGGAATGCTACCTCAAGCACAGCAGCTTCCAGACCAGTGGTTTGTCAGTTTTTATTGTGCTAACTCCCAAACGTTAACAGAAAAAAAAGCTCACCTTCAGCCTCTTGAGCAACCACTGCATGAGGCCCTGCTGCGCAGCTTCTGTGCACATCTCTGGTCGGAACTCTGCCATGTTCTCCACGATTGCTGAGAAGAAAGGCACAGAAAGCATGCATTGCCCCCATCCACAGTTCAGCTTGCACCTGTATCAACACAGCTTTGCCAGGTCCTTTCTAGGGCCGCACTGTTCTTGTTAAAGTTGCATCCTATTCGCAACAGCTCTATTTTCTGAGTGAGACTTCAGCTGGGGTGTGTGACACTGTCTCACTGTTTTGGGCAGCGTGACACCAGCTCTTGCTGGAAGCAGCCTAGGATTCCTGCCATTTAATGAAGTAACAATGCTCACTGCACAAAAAACTAACACAAGATTTTACTGCTGCTGTGCAGGAACAGAAGTCCAAAACTAGTTTCCAGTCTGCCTCATTCTTCCAGTCCCTGGGAAGGACAAAGATTCATAGGGATTACTGTCCTGAATGACTGAAAGGTGGGGATGATGGTCTCAGTGTTAATAAACGAAACACGTTGCAAAACAGTTACTGTGCTGTGCAAAGATTGAGGAACAGAGGGGTAATAATGATGTAATTGTATGAAATGCAACTGTTTTACTACCTGAAAGTTAAATATATTGGTAAGAAACAGCACACACAACCGAGCAGAGCTCACAGACAAGTACATAGAAAATACGTGGTCAGTAGAGCATCCGTTCTAGTCCAGTACACAGAATTTCATCTGTGGATGTGCACATTAACATAACGGCTCTGGGAAGAGGCACCTCACCACTGCTCGTGCAACAAATGCTAGCTGAAGAGGTTAGACTTCACCGTGAGTTACAACTGTGCTTAATGAATCCTGCACTAGGGTCTCTACCTCAGTGTTGGCAGCTCAAGGGCAGGGCAGGTAAGAAGGAAAGGAGGGGGTGGGATAGCCCTCCCTCCCCACTTCGTACAAGAGGGGCAAAGAAGTGAGAGGCTGTGCAGCAGCCACTTACCTAGCGTGTTGTGGACACCATCAGCTTCCTCCTTCACACTTTCATCCAGGCGCTCTAAATTCTGGACCAGCAACGCCACAACTTGGCCCTCCACCTAAATCACCATGGTCATGGGAGAGAAAAACATGAGAGAAGACTGAAAAAAGGAAAAGAGAGGAAAAAGTGGAGGGAGGAGGGTTTAAAACAAAAAATAATCAATAAGCCCTACTGGAACATCCTGCTAGACATGATTCTGATCAGGAGATACTAACAACCTTGCTCTAAAATCTCAGAAGTAGCAAAGGATTCACCAAACAAATCTGCCACTATGCTGGTCTTAATTAAACAACTTTTAGGTTTCAGATTGAACAGAAAAACATCTGGAGGAAAAAACAAACCTTGTCACAGACTTATTTCCCGCATCAACCCTGATTGATTTATAATCCCAGGGTTCTGAAATGCCAGGCACCACAAAGCACCTCACTCTAGCTAGCTCTCAGCTCTGCGAGCAGTTCCACTTTCCACATCTTACCACTGGCCTGTCCACATGTTAGTTATACCCTCCACCTTAATAGGTACAAAAAGCCGAAGGAACAATGCTCACGAATGCAGATTCAAAGCTTAGCAAAATGAAGGCGCCACGTTGCCTCCAGAGAGCTAACAAAACCCCGACAGCAAAGCAAGAGCAAGAGCAGGAATCCACACGGGCAGCGGAGGTTGCAGCCCTCTCGCCACAAGAAGTCTGCTCTTAAAGCTGGAATTGGACAGAGTCCAGCTTGACTTCAGCTCACCCCCTATTGTGGAGCTAAGCTTGGAAGAGTTGAACAAAATAAGATTTGCAATTCAAAACTCTTAACTAGTTCTGCGCTCAGTGAAGCCAGGGAAAAAAATACAAACATCAGCTTCTGGGAAAGGCAGCGCAGCAATCTTGTCAGATAAGCTCACACATTACACTGACTTTTTTTAAAGTAATCTAAAAAGCAGATATCCAAACTTGTCTCCCAGGATATGCCAGACTTGTTTCTTCCAGAGAGAACAATAAAACATCTAAAACTTGGCTATTATCAGTGAGTTGGTGACAAGGCAAACAGAGAAAGAACTTCGCTTGATTTACCACAGAAAACATCTTCCCTACCAGTCCTCTCTGCCACTTCATTCATCCAGCAAGCCTTCCGTGAAGGCAGAGTAATTAAGAGCAGCCAAGAGGCCAGCTGGAGGAACCGAGCTCCCGGCCACTGTCATTAACCTTTGGAGGTAACAGCAGGCTGGACGAGAGGGATTGCAGGAGAAAGCACGGCAGCCAAACAACAGGAAAACAATAATTCTCCCTCATTCAATTTCAACATAGCAGTTACAGGACAAGACAGCCACAATGTTTCACAAGCGCAGCAATTCACCAACAGAAGCTGCCTGGAGGTAGAACAGACTTTGAGACCTAAGTTCTGCTGGACATCCCTTCTCTGAATAGTGTTTCTGCTCAGTTTGGCACCCTCCTGCAGCCGAGGAGCAGGGGGCATGCAGCAAATGCCAAGACAGCAGGAACTACACCGACACAGAAGATGAGAGGCACCCAAGGGAGTTAATCAGGTAGAGAGCATTTAAGACCAAGCGATGTATCTGCTGCTGCACATAGATCACTGTATAGGGTCGCTTCATCTCTGTGGCACAAAGATCATTAAATGTAAACTCTCCACCACCCTTAAAATGCATTAGCTCTGTTACACGAAAGCTTTCAAGAAAAAAGCATAACCTCACTATAGGGACATTCTACGTTTCAAATACAAATCATCGGGCTTGAAACAGGAGTTACTGGGTCGTAGTACACCGGTCTAAGGAAGAGGTCAGACTGAAGGGTCACAATGGCCCTGCTGTCCTTCATACAACAATCTGAAGTCATAAATTCCCGGGTAAACAGAGATCACCCTTCCCACAAGAAGGAAGAAAAACACAGATCAAGCCCCAGATTTCAGTAAGAGGCTGTCCAAGTCACAAACATTTCAATAAAAGGCTGCCCAAGTCACTCCATCCTTCCTCCCTGCACGAAAAAATCTCCCAGCCTACACAAGTTTTGAAGTAAGAGCAACATAAATAAGCACAGCTGCAGAAAACAGGGGAGCTCGGAGCATCCAGTGCTGTGCTGTATACGGCAGGTGTTCAGCCAGGAAAATCACGTGGAGCTTACTACTCACCAGAGCATCGATGAGGACTTCAGCTCCTTCTTCACTCTCATGGAGAGTATCTATATCGGTCAGTTCTTGAAGCAAGTCTACCACAGCTATGGAAACATGTGCTGGATGTTAAGGACAACCAGGAGGGCAGCAGACACGCAGTAGCAAAAGAGCATTGCTCCCAGGCTAGTGAGCTCCTGACGGGACCCAGAACTGGCAGCTCGTTAGGGCACAGAACACTGGACCCAAGGGTACAGAGACTACTTCAGCAGTCTTCATGAACACCAGATTCAGGGAATCCTGACAGCTGGGAACGACAGAAACAATCACCACCGTGTGCCTCCTGTGCTAGGCAATTTCACTGTGGCTTGATGACACTTTTAATTTTTAAATCAAAACTTCTATAGTTGGCATAACCAGGCATCATCTTTCATTGTCAGGATTGAACACAACAAAAGAGAAATGCATTATAATAATCTGATTTGGGTGTTATTCTCTCAGTGATCCCCCTGCTAACCTGACAGCACACGCCTAACGAGGCCAAGGCCACCGCGTGGAGCAGCAGCAATAACCCCCTCCTGCCTGGCCCAATTAAGGCAGCGTGCTCCTCTAACCACGTCCCTCACAGGAGCAGCATCGTTTCTGCCAGCCCAATTTTCACTCATTAACACTGGGCTGCATAACACACGGTTCCCCTGACTGCTACACAGCTCTCTGGTACAACGAGACGTATTCCACCTCATTAGAGCCACTTCCCTATTCTCTCAGACACTCTGATCAATCTTGCCCAATTCCCACCGGGGCAGAACAGGGTATGCAGCTTCCTGCATGTCCTATATAACAACTTTGTGATGAATCTCTTTAAAATTCACAGGCTAACAAACCAGCCTCCCAGCTCTCCTATTTGTGCGTTTGCTCAGGCACACACGGAGCAGTAGGAAAAGGATTTGTACACATCTGTCCTTAGCAGGGTGATAGTTGCAACTTATCTAGTCTCAGGAAAGACTGTCAGAGAGCTGCCTGTTCCGGTCCCAAGTTAACCTATGTACAGCTCTGCTGACGATGTTTATTAGTATGACTGCTGCTTTCATCACACTTTACAGCAATCCTTAACCGAGCCAAAGCTACCTGTACATTTTCAGGACAGGTAGATGTCACTTACAGTTGCAAATGCCATCAGGAACTCAACCAGAAGGGTGTCACGCCGTACTGGGCAGGCAGCCACTCGTGCTTGTATAAAAACATTGTCAGGGGAGCCAGGGCACAAGTTTGGAAGGCAGTGTGGAGCACAACTCAATAAGCAGGTTAAGAGAAAATAACCTGCCTTGCTTTTATGCTGCAAGGAATCAATTATTAAGCAACAAAAGCTGGAGGAACAGGCCAGTAGGAACCTCGTGAAGTAGGACAAGTCCAAGCCCTGACTCTGGGATGGAGCAAAGCCATGCACTGGGGCTGTCCATGGGGGTGACAGCTCTGCAGAAAAGAATCTGGAAGTTCTGGAGAAGGTGAGTCAGCAGCAGCACGCCACTGCAGCAGCAACGGCTAATCGCAGGCTGCACTGCATCCTCATGAACAAAATCAGCAGACCAATAGAAGGACCTTCTCTTACCTGCTGCTTGGCACTCATGGAGCAACATCCTGAATGTTTTGTTCAGCTGTGGGCACCCCCAGTACAGTACTGGGCTCATTAGAGCACAGGACCCCCTACAATGGTCAGGGGATTAGCATATGACACACGAGGCAACTGAGGGAATGGGGTTTGTTCAACCCATGTCAGAGATAAGGTAGGATCTAACTGAATCATAAAGGCTACTGCTTCCTATTAGGTGCTACACGGAAGACTGAGCCAGATTTTTCTGATGGTGAGCAGCAAAGAATCAAAGTTATAGCAAAAGAAATTCAAACTAGATTTTCAAAGTCTTCTGAAGAAGCATATCCAGAGATGCAGTGGAATCTCCATCTTTAGAGAGAATTAAAATTCAACTTAACAAGAACCTGATCTAGCTTAAAAGCTGGTCCTGCTAAAAGAGGGTTGGGCCAGAAACCTCCTATTGCCCCTTCCAGTTTACATTACTCCACGATTCTACCATGTTTCAAACAGATGCACCCACACCTCAGAGGGCATTCCCATCTAGGGAGCTTCTGTGGAGGCTTCCCATGAGCACACCAACTGTCCTACGTAATTTAGGAGATGGAAAAACAACTTTGTTTCAAGCTTTCCTGTCTTTAATTAAATCTTGTCAGTGACCACCTTCCATTCACACGCTTTGCGTGAAACTAGCTGAATCTCTGATTCAGCAGGTTGTTTCTACTCTCCCTTGGACACTGTTTTTCTCTTTGCATTAGTTCCTCTAGACACTACATTTAAATCACGTCTGAAGAGCCATTTGCTTAGAGCTCTCCTGAAGAATCTTTTTCAATTTGTTTTAACAAAGTCATTAGAAAACTTGAGCTGTACCAATTTCATTACACATCTAGATGCTTCAATTTAAGTGTTTCTCTTCTCTATACAGGCAGCAGCACAGGGAAGAGGCATTACTACAGCCTGTGTCCTGCTTCCTACAGATCTGAGAACAGTTCAGCAGCTTTATAAGAACTCAGTTTTCTCCCAAAATTGCAATCCACAGGCCCTAACCTAACAGACAGACAAGTTGCAAACCAAGTTTAAAAAAAAGTTTGGTGGAAAAACAGACAAGTCCTCACCTCCAGCTGTGACTCTAGGACACAACTTCTCATAAAAAAAGGACGAAGTTGTATTCCTGTGCACTCCAGATACAAATCAGCCCAGCTAGCGCAGGCAAAAATCACTTCCTTGTGAATGAGAAATTCAAAGATAACCTGTTAAAACCGTGCACATAGTTCACAAAAAGCCTGCGGTGTCCAGCAAAAAAATAAGAGTAATGAAACTCTGGTGCCCACGGAACTGGTTACGCATCACAGGCATTTCCCATGTACAAGAGTAAATTGTTAACAACTGTTTACTTGAGAGTGATTTTCATTACAGATCACAGATAAAGAAAGCAGTGGTATTTGCTGTTTTGCATGGACAATATACTACCACATCAAGGTTAAGCTAAATACAAGTTAAAATAGCCAAGCACAAAGATTTTTAAAACTAACAGTGCTTTTCACTTAAAAAAAGGCACAAACTCAGTGCAGCGGGGGAAAAAAAAGGAGAAAAACATGTAGTCTGTGAAAGCAGGATATGAGATGACAGACAAGTCTGCTGAAAGCCTCTCATGAGAGAGCTGCTGTAACCACTGAAGGATATCTGTGTTGTCGTGTCCAAGCAGCCCGAGAAGAGACTGCACAGCATTCAGCTCCACCAGCAGGTGGTACAGGTCCGGCATCGTCGCGATCACATGCATTTCCTGAATGATGTCATTTAAATCCAATTCCGATTCCATGAACCTGAGGCAAGACAAAAAATAAAAAGCACACGAATTGTGGTCAGCGGACACAGCCCTTCACCAGGGAGAACAACGCCTTCCCCAAGGTCCCAGGTAAGACTGAGTCACCCCAGCTGCACATGGCCCCAGCATCTGATGCTCCATCATCGCATCAAATGACTGAATCCAGACTTCCTACAAGCAGCTGGTGCCCCACCCTGTCCTACATCTGCCCCTTTAGTTTACTCAGGTAGCAGGATAAACCTTCCTACTATATCATTTACATAGTAAAACGAGAAGATTTGTTCCAATTCTATAAATCAGTTACAGAACCATAGAGATTATAACTACACATGAAGAAAACCTTGCATATGACATAAATACTCCAGCGATGCACCTCCCCTACCTACTCCATACGGACACGTGCGTTGTCTTAGTCTGAAGTGAAGACCATAAAAAGAATTTAGACAAAGGAAAGAACACTACACTGGACAAAAAAATACTGGCATTCAAGTGTAGGCAGAAATTCATTTAGCATGAATAACAGAAAAAGAGGCTCGCTGGCAGTGCAGGTGTGGCAAGGAGCATCCTGAAGAGCCTCTGGCTTTCAGAGCCCACCCAGCCGCCTGGCCCACTGGCATTGGAGAGCTCCGTCAGTACAAACCAGTCCCCTCCGCACACGGAGCGCTGCCTGCACACAGAAGCACCGCGCCTTCCCAGCCAAATCAGCACACGAAATGATGACGTGACACCCTGCTTAATTTGGAAAGCAGAACTCACAGCCCCGGGATCAAGCTTTCAGCCCAGCCCCCGGTATCTACCACCTGCCTGCCAGCGAGAAAAAGCAGCACTGCTCAAAGCAGCGTGAAGAAGGAAGCCCCCTGAAAAAGGAGAGACTTGGAGCACGGCCGATGATTCTCTGATGCCAACTGCTAATAAGACTGGCGTCAGCTTACACTTTTGAAAACAAAGCAACTTATTTAGATACCTAAAAGGAAAAAAAAAATATCACAAAACCTTATTTAACGTTTGTACTCCCAAAACAAAACCAGCATAACCTAGAATTTTAGGACTGAAATTTCACAGGCTTTCATATTAACAATAGGAGTTTAATAAGCTAAATCTTCTCCCCTTATTGCTATTTATTTTCTTTATGCCACAACTGCAAGTGATTTTTTTAAACCATATACCTGTCTCTACCAGAAGCCTCAATAATGTCATTTTTAATTAATAAAGTTAGTTTCAAATATAATTTATAAGAACAACATGGCAATAACAGCTATTATGTAAGTTTTATGGAACTGAAAACATCTGTATTTTCAATAAATTAATTTAGGGCTGAAACGTAAAAGCAAAGGCAACAAATGGTAACACAGAGGGGCCAAGCATGATCTTACTTCTCTGGATTGTCCGGAAACTTGATCCGCAGCTCCTGGTTTTTGTAAGATCGCTTCTCAAAGGTGAGAATCATCTTTTTCACTGAACTCTCATCCAAAGGTTCCTCCTAACAAAATTGAAAGGGCAGAAACCAGAACTTAACACTTGGATGGAAGGAACAATTACCTGGCGTGCAGCAAACGGGAGCGCAGCAGCTGCGGTGGGACCGCAGTCAGGCCCCGACGCTTTGGGTGCAGCGAGCAACAAACCCCGAGCGCTGGCCACCTCGCTGCAGAAAGCTGGCAGAACTCACACCATCGCTATTCATTTATCGACTCGCTGCAGCTTTGACCTAAGCAAGCTCTGCAGAGCAAACCCTTGTAAATTGGGGTTTAATAAACCAGAGGTTTACCAGGAGGCTTTTTTGCCAGAAGAACCAGAAGAGCTTCCCGACATGTTCTGAATCCAAGTAGCAGTGAACAAAAGCAGTGTTTTGCTGTGACCTTACGCGGCGCCACCACTGCCTCGTGAAGCTTTCTGCTTCTGACATATTACAGTAAATTTCCATTAACAGCTTAAGCCCACAGGTAGTTTCCTTTCAGAAGTCCATTGTGCCTTTTCTTTTTGTAGGTCTACATTTAACTGTCTGGAATTTATGATCTTTTGTATTTTTCTCACTCGGATAAGCATTCACTTCTATTTTAAAGTCTTTTTCTAAAGAAAAAAAAAATCAATATTTTACTCTAGTACTTTCTTTTTATTTTCCAAAATCTTCTAAAGCATTTCTCAGCTGGCATTATACATTTACTGTACATTACTAGCACACCCTTAGCTACCTCCCTGTTACTTTCTTTCCTGCTTTTAATGTCCTACTTCTAATTAAATATTGCTATCCTAGATTTTCTTGTGTAAGCTCTTCCTTCTTCTCTTTTCAACTATTTTATAACCACTACCACAGAGAATTTCTCAAAACAGAAAACAAACCAGGCCTATTCACACCTTATGCCAAGCTGCGTGCCCTGTTTGCTGTTAAATTGTTTCTGGTATTAAGGATTCTTTACGCAGTGACTTGAAGCAGCAATCTTCTGTGAGATCAAAAAAGTACCAACTTCTTTAGCAAACTGCATTCCAATAACAACAGCTGTCCATGCAATGATCATTAAAGACTTCCATTATTAATTGGGATTTCCTACTTCCTCGCGTTCAGCCTGCCTCAGCACTTCACAGCTCACCTCACCATCCTGTTCAAGTAATCAGTGCTACAGCACCCAACACATATTCTTCCTTCAGGGGAATTTCAATCCACCAAGGGACTGTTGCAGACACTGACATTGCTTCTCTCTATTTTATTTGACTCTTTTTTTTTTAATATATATCAGTGTAACATCTCCATTAGGATCTGCTTTTTAAGCATTCCATGTCACAGTGTCCTACAGATTAGCCTCCTTCCATCAATTTTACTGAAAAAGAATATTCTGATGGCACATGGACTAACGGTGTTCCAAGATAATAAGCAAGAGATTCGGGTTCCAAAGAAACCTCGGACCCCAGCCCTTCAGATGCCTGGATGGGAGAACTTCACTTGACAAAGACTTGCACACGGCAGGACACCAGAAGACTCTAGCCAGGCAGCAGGACTCTTGGCTGCATCCGTTCATCCTGCAGCTCAAACGCTACAGAAATCCTGCGTTGTCTTTCTCAAGTAGCAGCAGCAACTGTAATGGCAATAGCTCACCAGAACAAAAACAAACAAGGGAGATTTTCAGAGATGAACGCTAGCAATGCTGTACGCAAAGGACAGGGATATTTTACAGAGCTACATGATTCTGCAGTGGTGAGTACACTTTTTTATTTTTAAATCAAACAGGACACAGGCAGCAGGAAACAAATATCTCCTAGATTTATACCAATCCATGTGTCACATTTATAAAGTGATCTTTTCCCTGGCCCTTGGCAGAAAGGCCAGTGCTGCATTGGATTTCTGTCTCCAAGGCTTGAAATCATTTACCCTTGACAGCTGCTACCCCCCTCCTCTGACCCAAGACCTTTCTCATGTAGGAGAACGTTTATTTGCTGCTGCAGCAGAGCTGGATAGAAGGGGAGAGGGAGAGAAGCTACATGGCTGGGGGTACTGATAAAAAATAACGGAGTTAGAAACTATTTCCTAAATATATAATTTAAAAGGTGAATTGTGTATTCCTAACCTAAAACAGAAAAGAATTGAAAGCTTTTTTAAAAATTTATTATTATTATTATCCCCCCCAGTCACCTTCTTTAGACCTTCAGAGGCCATCTGTGAAAGCAAAACCACCTCCTTCAGTTACACATGGCATGCGCCATGGCATGAAGCGGAGGTCACGGCAAAGGGTCACAGCTTCTGCCTATTTCCCGTAGGACTCTAGCGCTTTACCTCCTCCTCTTCCTCTTCCCCATCCCTCTCGATTATCTGAAGAAGCTTCTTCTTCTCATCATCTGTTTCTTCCAGCGCCGCGGACTCCTCCTCCCTGTGACGGCCGTGCTCTCGTGCGCTAGCCTGTTTCCGACGTGCTTTGATTTCTTCCTCCTCCTCATCGCGGGGCCTTTTTGTCCCTCGGTTAGGCTGAAGGCAGAAAAATGAGGTGAATGAATACAAGCCTCCTGCAACCCTTACAAACCAGAACAGCAATACTACCAGAACACTGAGGAAATTCTAACAAGTTATTTGAAACATTTGCTTACACAATGCTTAACTCTGAAAAGTGGAGAGGAAATTAATTTAGCGAGGTGTAACAGCACATGATGAGGTGAATCTCTGCCAGCAGCTATGTCAACATCCTCCCGTGTTTGCTCTATGGACACGATTCGTGGGAAGGGGTCTGCATGGAACAGGTCAGTACCCCACAGGCAAGAAGTGGTCAGACTGAACTGCTCAGTGGTGGCACAGGGACAGCCCTAAGGGTCCAGAATCAATCAGCTGAGACAATCTCACGTTTTACATGCTCAGGCATACAGCAGTGAAAGAGGATTTTTCTCCCCGATAGTACACGAGCTTATGCTGAACTCATGCACGCCTCCTAATTCCCCTTGGCTTCCCCCATCCCCGTGTCTAAGGGTTGCCAACAGTGAATGCGGAATCAGAGCCCGTTGTAACACACGCGAGTCAGGAGTGTTGTTGCTGCTGCAGTTCTGTAGGGGTTTGGCACCAGATAAAGCAGCGATTTGCTTGGAACAACCTATTATTTTATCCTATAATTTCCACTTAATAGACAAAATTAAACATAATTCCCCAGGGACAAGAAAAAGTCCATTAACTCTAGTCCCATGTTTTAATTCAGCCAAAAGGGGATGAAAGCATTTGAAATAGCAGGAAAAACTTCAAAATCAACGAAATGATTAAATTTGGTCTTGCTCACATTTTTTTGAAGGACAACCAGGCAGGAATAGCAGCATTCTATGCTCTGTAGCTACAGGAAAGGAGAGCTTAATTCATTATTGTTTAACAAGTCTGTGTTAAACACTGAAAACAGAAAGTAAAAACATTTGTGCTTCTTATCAGCCGCTCGAGTTGCCTGGAAGATGATTTCCCGTTTTATTAGCTCTAACACTTGTCCAGCCCATTTCAGCATGCATTGTCTGGCACAAAGAGCCAGCTTCTCTGCTTTGGGGGCCCCTTTGCCTAAAATCACACGAGTCACACCATGTTTGATGACCACAGGGTCTGCTTTCCACTGAGACTGACCCGAAGTCAGGAAGAATCCAAGAGAACCTAAGAACAAAGCGCAGAGGGAGCAGGTGAGCCAGACAGACAGAGCACGGCGTGTTCTGGGGGTATCCCTGCTGTCACCTTTGGGCAAGGTGCCGAACCAGTGCTCCCCAAAGTCAGGCTCACAGAAGCTCAGGGGGCAGCGTCCAGCCGGAGCCAGGTGCCTGCTCCCAGCCAGACCTCCTCAAACCCGGCGGTTATCTGCTTTCTCCCTGCAGCTGCTCTGCTGTTTCCATCACAGACGATATGCTCCTGACTTAAGCTCTCCTGCAGCGCTCCCGTGCACTCTTAAAGCAGTTACCGAGCTCATAATTCAATAGCTGTGAAGCAGCAGCACGCCTGGAGATCCTTCAAAATGAAAAAGTTATTTGCTTGGAGTGTGGGTTTTTTTTCCTTAAGCACATTCCCGTTACTTATCTTCTGGGCACATTAAAATATAATTTCACATAGATCAATTTCGAAACAAATACATCACTGCCAAAACCCAATACTTTAAACCATTCCCAAGCAATTAGCAACCCCATTAAAGGAAAGAAAAAAAGAAAGAGATGCTTCTAAATGACATCATCTAAGGAAAAATCTTCAGTAAACAGCTATTCCTTACTCCATGCCCTCAGCAGCACACAGGTTTCTGTCCTTCTGCTTCCTGCTCAGTAGCACCCAATTCATTCTGAACTTGCTCTGACAGGTTAACATTACAACCACCCACAGAAATTAGCGACCTAAGTCCTGGCATTTACAGGAAGAAACCTTGCAACATTTGCCTTGGATGTTCCTCATTTAAAGTCTCAGAAAATCACTCCTTGCTCTCATTTCTAAGCATTAAAAAAGAACCAAAAAAAAAACCCACAGATAAGATAAGACTGTGACTGCAGTGAAGGCCCACAGGAGCTGGTGGTTTGTCAGACACAAAGCAATGTAGCATGGCCAGGGACTCTATCACCAGAACAAAACCTAAATTAAAACTCCATCATGAAACCAAGCCCATTTCCTCTCAGTACACAAGCCCACAGCAGCAGCAGTTACGTCCTGTCTCCGTCTCAATTATTTTATCCTTTTTTGTATTTATGCGTTGCTGGGGAGTGGGATCTTCCGTAGCACGCCCCAGCAGTCGTTAGGATGCGTTATGGCAGCGCCCAGCACGCAGCCATTAGCGCTGCCGATGGATTGGCAAGAGGCAGTAATTGAATTCCCAGGCAAGCGTTATTAAGGCATTAAGGTTCTTCCTTTTGTTATTGATGTTTTGCTAAACCTTGCTGAGAATATTGCAGCTTCCACCCCGCACCGGTAAAACCAAGAAGTCACGGCTCAGTGAGACACCGGTGGTCCTGCTCCCGTCACAGGAGAGCTCAGCCACCCGCCGCTGATTTAGGACAAGCATCACACTTCTGCTCCTTGCATTCGTACCCCGCAGGACTGTCAGCGACCACAGCCATCCATAGCTGGGCTCCGACGGGCGCGCGTTGTTAAGCAGTCCCATTCTTGGGGTCTGGACACATTTGTTTAAATAATTTCATAGCTTCGCACACATCTACTTCAGTTTTAGCTTTCTGTCAGAGCAGGGCAAGTTAATTGTTTAATAAATAAAACGTGGGCTTCTGTGTTACTGCGCTGTGCTAAGGTGCATTTGGCAAGAAGCTGGAATTCATTACAAAGCGCACAAGGAAAGCATTTTTAAATTGCATTATTAGTTAAGCTTAATTTTGTTCTTATTGAATGTAGCCCATCCACAGAAATTTCAGGAGTCGTTTCCAGTTAAATCTGACTCTGCTCCCACCACACACACACCAAAAAAAAAATAGGAAAGGATTTAAAAAAACAACAACTAATATTCATAAAATGCAATAAATTAAAATCTGTTGATTGGTAAAGAAGAAATCTGTCCCTCCGCTGTCCCCCAGCTGCAGTTGTTCTGGGGATTAAGTGAGGTGTCCCAACCCTCCGTCACAGCCCGGGGTTGGGAGCCCCAGGTGGCAGAGCCCTTGTCCCCACTGGTACGGGGCTCGAGCAGCAGGAACACGAGTGCTCCCCTGGCAGGCTGAGCAGGGGACAAGAATCGTGCCCTAAACCAATTCAGGGCCCTGCCTCGTCTTCCCCACAGCAGTGATAACGCAGCAGCACCAAGACAAAACGCCCTTGGGAAGGTGGAAGCATTGTTCAGACCCAGCCTTCATCATCAGGAAGCTTCAGAGAAGTCTCACAAAAGGAGCCTCACGTTACTGGGACATCTGTTTTGTAAGTAACCTCGTTACTGCAGAGCTCTGAAATTATTTTTAATGAAATCTGGAATCAATCTTCAGTGATGCAGCTCCTCCCGAGGCCGTGCCTCAGCCAGCTGCAAGCTGCCCAGCAGAGCCGCTGCAGAAAACCGCCCGCTAGCTGCCAGTTCAGGGACCCGAAAGCAAGCCCCAGATCTCCAGAGGGATCCTCACGGACTGCTTGATTTTGTTTGCAGCACTTGTGACAAATCCAGCTCCCACCAAGTCTTACTTACTTACCTAGTCTCTGCTCCTGGAGCACGGCACCTGCCCGGCCCACTGCCAGCTGCAGGAGCGGCTGGAGGAACAGCCGGGGGCCTCCGGGAGCCCGAGCACACCCCATCACACCTCTGAGGGCAACAGCAACGAGAGCCCTGCGCAGGCTGCACCCACACGGCACGGGTTATTCCTGGAGAACTAATCCCTTTCCTCCCCCCAGGCTGTGGGCACACAGCTCCTCGAGGCAGCCTGCCACCGTGAGAAGCCCACGGCTCGGGAAAAGGCAGCAGAGCAAAGCCTGAAGCTTCCTCTCCCCATCCCACATCAGAGCTACCACACCAAAATCAGAACCAAAGCCGTACATAACGGCAAGGAGAGCTGAAATCGTTCCCTTTACCCCCTCCCCAGAGAATTGAGGGAGAGGTCTGAAAGCAGCCGGAGCTGGCTTTGTCCCGAGCCACCCGCTGGAATCAGAAACCAGGCCCAGGGATCTGGGCACGGTCTCTCTGGGCAGAGCAGCAGCAGGATTTAACCAGCAGTTTAGGCCATCTGCGAGTGTTTTGCAGCTCCACATAAAGTTTATGGCTTCCTGAGCTTTGCACAAGCTGCCAGGTGCAGGACCCTGCTGCTCTGTAGCTCCTCACTGCAGGAGGCTCCTTCCCTGCTCCGACAGCCGCTTGGTGCCAGCCCGCGGCACGGTGCCCGAGGTCTCCCGGGGTTGGCACCGGGGCAGAACAGCTTTTTGACCAGGCAAGGGCACAGATTGGGCATTCAGAGGACACAGACTTGAAGCAATACAAGATAAAGGAGGGGTTTGGGTTGCTTTTTGCTGAGGGAAGCCGAGAAGGCCAACTCATTTGCAGCAAGAGATCAAAATCAGGCAGCGCCCAGCTGGTGGGAGTGGTGGGAGCGCACACAGCCAGGACAGCATCTTCAATACTCAGCTGAAACCCACACAATGTTTTGCCCCACAGCTCCTGAACAAGCTCAGCAGCAAGAAAAGGCAGCGCTGCAGTACCTGGCAGCGGATCTCTACCTGCAGCTTCCGCAGGGCACAGGCCCGTGGTGCCACGAGCAGCTCCCCTGGCAGAGTGCTGCACAGAAACCAGCACGACCAAAGCCTGCCGGTGTGCCTCCCTTCTCAGCAGGCAATCCTGCAGGCTTCACATTTGCAGAACAAGAGAAAAACAAGCAGAAACCCAACCTGGAACCTGACTGCAAATTAAAACAGCAACAACAGAAGTTCAACAGAGATTTACCTTTACAGGGCTGAGGTACAAATTGTGCTGCAAAGCAAGTAAGTGACAGCACCATTAACAACAACTCTTCAGTGTTCTTCACCTCAGGTAAAGGAACATGAAAAGCCATCATTCTAATTTTATAATGAAAAGCCCACAGGAAAATCGCGTGTGGAGAGCTGCGAAGGCAGAGCCGAGCTGCGGGCAGCAGGGCCGCGCTGTCCTGTCAGTGCCACGCAGCCAGGCCCGGTGTGAGGGGCCCCGTCCTGAGGCCCAGCCCGCGCCTCCCCCGCCTCAGCCCGGCCCCGTCGCTGGGCACCGCGCACAGGCCGGAGCCTGCCCGTACTGAGGGAGCTGCACCCACAGGACCCCCCGCAGCCCGGTGCCGGTGCCCGGTGCCGGTACCTGGTAGCTGAGCAGCTCCCCCACGTCCATGGCTCCGGCCGGGCCCCGCCGCCGCCGCCGCCGCCCGACTGTCGCCAAGCCCCGGGGCCGCGCGACACCGCGCCGGAAAGCGAGCGGCGCAGGCGCGCTGCCGGGGCGCCGCTCCGCCGGAAAGCGAGGCGGGAAGGGCGCTGCCGCAAAGCTGCGCCACACTGCCGCAAAGTGGTGCCACACTGCCGCAAAGCGAGCGTGGAGCCACACTGCCGGAAAGAAAGGACGGCTCCGCATTGCCGTAAAGCGGCGCCACACTGTCGCAAAACAAAGCCACACTGTCGCAAAGCGGCGCCCCCCGCCCCTAGCACGGGCAGGTCCCGGTGCTGTGCCCACCCCCCCCGGCCCCTCTCCATGTCCCCGAGGGTCTCGGTGCGGCTGCCCCGTGCCCGCAGGGCTCAGGGCAGGGCGCAGGGGCCCGGTGCTGCCCGGTACCACAGCCCTGGAGCCGTGTCAGGGCGCCTGGTCCCGCGGGGGGCCGGGGGCGTGGGGGGCAAACGGTGAAATAAAAACACGAAACCGAGCCCGGGGCCGGGGGGCGGCAGCAGCTGCCCCACAGGCTCCGGGGGTGCGGGCACGGGGCACGGGGACACCCCACGGGGTCCCAGGACACCCCCACAGAGCCCCGACCCCTCAGTGAAGCAGCCCCCCCCCAGCCCAGGCGCCCCGAGCCCCAATTCCGAATAAATCCATGTGCCCCCGGTCCCCCGGTGATTAACTAAACACAGCGCGGCCCGCCGAAATTGAATTAGTGCTGTGCGCTCAGCCGTTAGGGCCCTCCCCGCGCCGTGCATATTAATGAGGGGTTATTAAGAAATGTAAATGATGCCTCAGGGGGCTGGCGGCGCGGGGGGGCGCGGGGCGGCGGGGGCTGCTGTGACAAACCATTAGGAAAACAGCCTGATTGAAGCCAGTTTTTAATTATGTCAGATCTTGCTCTTTCGTGGGTGCAGCGGTGTTTCCGGATGCTTTCGGTTTTATTAAAATGAGAAAAAGGGAACAAGTTATAACTGGAATGTTAAATTAGCATTTCCCAAGCAGAAAATCCGCAGCCCTTAAGCAACCCCTGGGTGGTGGCGGCGGGGCCGGGGGCTCTGCGGGGCCGGGGGCTCTGCGGGGCCAGGCCCCTGCCCACCAGTGCCCTGGGGGGGTCCCACTGCCCCAGGCTCCCCTCGCAGCACCACGGCCGGGTGTGGGGAGTGGGGACTCGGCCCTCGAGCTTTTGCCCCCCGGCACCGGCTTCATCCAGGCCTGAGCACAGCCCCACCGCAGCCCCCCCCCAGCCGCCGGTTCAGCATCGCTGGCCGGGGAGGAGTGAATGTGATAAAACTCATGCATTTTAACAGGGCCTCGCAAGCGCTCCCCGCGCTGCAGAATAAAAGCTGACAGGTGCAGCTGAGTTAATCAGAGTGGATAATGGAGGGAAAGAAAGAAATCTCACACCAAATTGCTGCAGAAATCATGAGCCTGGGCTCAAAAGTATCCAATTAAATGGGGATGAAGCTTAAAGGGGAAGGCCGCGGGGCTCCGAGCCCGCCGCTGTGCACAGCCGGGAGGAGGCCCCGGGTTTCGGCAGGGGCCGTGTCCCCCAGGCAGGGGGGTGTGGGGGGACCACGGCAAAGCTGCCCCCTGCCCCGGGCTGCGCTGCCGCAGGAGATGGAGCCTCTCATTTCAGTGAGAGGAATGGTCCCATCCTGGTGCCGTTCCTCCAAAAGTCAGAACTGGACCAAAACTTCTCGATTTGGTGCCCGTGGGCCCGGCACAGCCGGAGCTGCTGCGGCCCCTGAGGAGCACTAAGCCCATCGCGCCGACGGCTTCGGGAGGGCTGGGCTCTCCGACAAGCTAAAAGATGTGCCTTTAATGTAGTCAAGGCCCATTACTGCGGCCGATGGAAATCTGCTGGCACTATAGCAGCTTTATCACGGATAAATCAGCCGGCCCGGGATGGTGAGCGCGTACAGGAGTTTGTTAGTATTCAGGTCTCTCCGCACTGATAGCTTCATAACTCCAGACTTGCCTCTTAATTGCACCCGTAAGTGTTGAAATTACTGAAGGGTAAAATGCAAATGGGCTGTAACCTTTCCGGAGCTCACCCCAGCACCACCGCGTGCGGCTCTGTGCCGAAAGGGAGGCGCTTGTGTTTTTTTCCCTTTCTCTTAATTGCCCGTAGAGCTGTGCGAGTCCTTTCCAAGGCCTCGTTACGGGAGAGGAAAAACCCTGCCTGTGGCCGCCAGCAGCTTTCACCCACACAGAGAGAGGAGAGGGGCTGTGGGGGGCTCCTCGCAGCCCCCTCGGGCCGGCCCCACCACGATGGGGCTGGGGCAGCCCCGGGGAGCAGCGGCACACGGAGCCAGGCTGGGAAGCAGCCTTCGCACGTACTCGCCGCCCTGTGCCCGCACCACGTCTGGTTTGTAGGATCCGGCTGTGCCTCCGAGTGCTCTCACAGAGAGCCGCGGCCCCACCACAAACACTGCAGCAAATGGAGAGACCCCGCTGTGCCCGGCGTGCCGGCCTCAGAGCCCAGTGGCACGGTGCGGGCACACAGCGTGGCGCAGCACAGCCGGGCACCGTGCCCGTGGGGTGCCGGGCACCGGGCAGAGCACGCCCCAAGCCCACCAGCACCGCAGGGCGATGTGGATGTGCCGGTGCAGGCGGGAGAAGCCAGCTGTGGAATTGAGGCTAATGAGAAATTCATCAACCTGCGGTTTTGCAGGCAGTAGGGGGGGAACAGGGCCCAGCTAATTAAGGGGCAGCGACCTGTGAAATCAGGCTGGGGTGTGCGGGGCTGGCCAGCGGGCAGGGGGCCGGGGGCAAGGTGCCGGGGAGGGGTGCTGGGGATGCCGGTACCACGGCTGGGCTGCCTGCCCTGCCCGCGGCTGCTGCCTGCCCGCGCCGGTGCCGCTCGCTGTCCCGGCACAGCTGGAGCCTGGCGCCGAAGTGGCACCTTATTTATGGCTCTGCTTCCCCGAGTTAAACTCCAGAAAGTGTGACAATCAAAATTAAAGATTTCTCCAGAAAGCCAGCCTGGGGGGAAATCACTGGTGAGGCCGACGGAGATTTCCCAACGGTGACTTTTAAATTAAAGGGGAAAAAAAAATTCTTTAATTTGGCGGCGTGCTTGGGATGCAGCTCACTGGGCACGTTATTATCCAGCTCAGCAAACGCTCCCAGAATTCGCTCACGCTCCAAATTGCCGATCTCCCGGCGAGGCAGCGCCTGCCTGGGCTGCGCCTGCGTGCACCTGGCTGTGCCCCCCAGCCCCTCCCGGCTCCCCCCGCAGCACAGCGGCCGAATCTCGCTCCTGCCCAGGGCCAGCCCTGCCCAGGTGCTGCAGCCGAGCCCCAGCCCTGCCCGCGGCCCCTCCTGGCATTTAGTGCTGCAAATTAAAATGGACCGGGGGGGCCACGTGTGGCAGCCTGGTCAGGCATGTGTGCGTCTGCCTGCCCACGCTCGCTGCTAACGACTGTTAGCCCCTAATGAGGGGCTGGGAGGGAGCAGGGTGCAGACAGTCACACTTTCTGTGCCAGCAAAGCACACGGACTCTAACGCTGGTGAAAGCAAGACCCTGGCCGCAGCTCAGGCACTGGCTCTGCCACAGCCCGTGGTGGGGACGGTGCTGCCCGGGGGCCCCATGACGCTGCCGTGCACGGTTCACCCTCCTGCTGGGGCCAACATTTGCCCTGCATGGGCAGATCAGAGGCACCTGCATGCCCGGGACTTGGCCTCCCCACACTGCTCCCCAGCCCTGCAGCACGGTGAGCCCTGCGGCACAGCCAGGCACCGCGGCTCCGCGCCACCTCCATGCCACGCCGGGGACGTGCCCCCTCCTGTGTCCCCACGGGGCAGCCCCAGGGCCTCCCCCACGCCCCATTGGCAGGGACACGACCCCTGCAGCCCCTCGCCCGGGGGTGCCAGCAGTTCCCAGGCTGAGGTGGGGGCTCACAGGGGGCTTCACTGCCGCAGCCCACGCAGCTGCTGCTCCTCCTGGTGCCGGGGGCTCACGGCACGGGGCCAAACCGGAGCGCAGGGCGCGGGAGCCAAGCCACGAGCACAGAGCAGCCGGCCCGGGCCAGCCAGCCCCGGCACAACACTTCTGCCTTCCCCCCGCCCCTCCGAGATGAAGCAATGAAATTATTTTTCTACTTGAGTAGTTTTCAATTTAGATTAAGAAAAATCTGTGCTCCGTTAGCGACGCTGCAGTAAATCACAAGCGAGCAGCACTCCGCAGCTGACAGCCCGATCGCTTATCGGATGCAAACCTTTTTTCACGTTGACAGGCTCCAAGTGTGACATTGAGCGAGGGCAGTGGCACCCGACGGGGCGATGCCGCGCGGGAGGCGCCCCCCGCACGCACCTCGGCGGCTGTGCTACAGCTGGCAAAAATGCCCCGGGCATGGGGGCTCCAGCAGCACGGGGCCACCACCACCCCCCAGCGGGGCTCCAGCAGCTCGCTGCAAAACTGCCAGCAGCCAAAAAGAGCAGGGTGGGGGAAACCCAGCGCCAGGCTGTTTAGAGACCCCACCCTTGGCTCTCCTGGGGTCCCAACTCGCAGACCTTGGGGTCCCCTCCCCAGCGGTTCCACCTCACCACGTTCCCACCCATCTGTGGGGCAGGGGGCTCAGCCATCACGGGGCAGGGGCTCAGCCAAAACGACCACACGCTCACCTGCCCATCACACGGCAGCAACACGGCCGCACTGTGACGGTCCTCATCGCTGGGAGTGGGCCCCCATCGTGGGTCCCCATTGTGGGTCCCCATCCCTGTGCACGGCTCCACGCTGCCGCCAGCCCTGTGCCAGCACCCTGCAGGAGAGTGCCCGGGCTGGCACCATCAAAAGGAGCATTTGACAGCACACAAACCTTTTTTTTTTCCCCTCTGGTTCTTCCAGCTCGTTTATCGCCTCTGCAGGGCAAGCAGAGCTGTCATTGCCTGAACCTCACTCATCCGTTTAACCTTGGGGGAAGGAACGCATTTGTGCCAGATAACATGCATCAGATGGTGGCACGGGGAGCGCCTGTAGCTGCTGGGCCTGATGGATGGGCTACACGGGCCTCGCCTGACCTGTGCTTGTATGTTATCTGCATTGCTGCAGGAGGCTTTTCATCACGCCGACAGCTCCAGCATCACCTGCCTGGCAGCGGCTCCTCGCCAGGCGCCGGCAGCAGCGGCCAGGAGGGGCCCGGCCACATGGCTGGGGCCGGCACCGCGGCACCACGGTCCCCACGGGAGGCGGTGAACTGGAGTGAGGGGCTGAGAAGCTGCGGGGCCCAGGGCAGGGCTGGCACGCTGTGCCTGCACCGTGTGCCCGGCTGCGGCAGGGCTGGAGCAGCTGGCGAGGGACGTCGCTGCCTGACTCCATCTCCATCCCTCCGGGCGAGGACCTGGCTCCTGCCGGGGTGCCCACACCGCAGGGAGCAGTCACGGCTCTCACCCACGGTGTCGGCAAGCCCCGGCTGTGCTGCTCCGGGGGCCGTGTGCTGTGCCCCACGAGGAGCTGGCTCCAGCACGGCACCGGGGCTGCGGACGCTGCCCGAGCAGAGGCGAGCACAGCTCCCGGTGCCGGAGGCGGTGGAGCAAAGGCTGGGAATAAACGACTGTGTTTATGAAGCCCGTAATGTAGCCAGCAAAATCAGTCACTCAGCACAGCGCCGCCGCGCTAATGGGAGGTTATTTATGGCACTTCCCTGCTGCTGCAGGAGCTCGGCAGCCCCGGCTGCCAGACCTCGCGCCCCGGCTCAGGACCCCCCCGCATCCCGCACCCTGCGCTGGAGCTGCCCGGCCTGGGGGGCCCAGGGAGGCGGCGAGAGCTGGGGACAGACGGGGGCTCTGCCACAGCCCCCCACCGAGCTGGGGCAGCAGCAGGGGCAGCCCCAGACACTCACGGAGGGGCCGTCCAGGGGGGGCACCACCCGTGCCATGGAGCCTGGAGCCTGAGGCAGCCCTGCCAGGAGGCTGCAGTGATGGGCACGGAGGAGCAGAGGGGCGGAGGGAGAGGCCAAGCTGTGGCACTTGTCCTTTGGGTGACATTTTGCCAATGAGGGGTCCTGTGACAGTGACGGAGAGGGTACGGAGCTGGGCAGCACAGAGCCCGGTGACAGATTAGTGCTGCCAAGCGCCGACACAGAAGCCATTTGGTGTGGGGAAATGATAGATGCTAACACTAATTTTAAACACAGGCAACCGAATTCCTCCAGACAGTCGCGGCGCTGAGGATTTAGGGCACAGCTGCTGGGTTCAGATAAGGTGTGAAATCAGCCCGGCGTGCAGGGTGTTACTTAATAATGAGCGCCTCGTGATGGATGGGGGTGTCGCAGCCATATAACCTCCGCGTTTGGAGCCTTCCAGATCTCTCGCCATCAATCCCGGGCCCTGCCGTGGGGAGCTGGCCCCACCGGGAAGGCCGGGTGGGCACCAGCCCTGGGGGCACAGCGGGCAGGGACCCCCGGCACCCACAGCTGACCCCGTTCTCCGCACCCAGGGGGTGCAGCCCCCCCAGCCCCAGCTCACACCGGTGCCTCCAGCTCCTCACCAGAGCCACGCACAGAAGCGCTTTGTGCTCACCCTCCTCGGGCCGGCTGTGCCTCGTCTCAGGACGTGCCCACGGGGACGTCAGCACAGTGAGGGCTGCCATCACATCACTCACTGCCTGCACTCGCAGCAACGTGTCCCCCCGCTGCCCCAGGACGGCCCCATCTGGGGCAGGGGACTCTGAGCCATGCGGGCAGCGTGGGGACACGGCACCAGCCCCAAATATTTATGGTGAAAGCAATGCTTGAAGTGGCAGGCGCTGTGCTTGTCTGTAGCATTTAATCTCTCTTCTGACCTTATAAAAAAATCTCTTTGTGTTGAGATTTTAAATTCAGTTCTTAAATCACCCACCACAGGCTTCACACTGTATTAATTTCTCCCGGAGCAAACGGGTTTGGTGCCTGCTCTGTTCCAGTGCCACCAGCACCAGAGTGGGGGGGACGCGTGGCGCTTCCAGCCGCGGCAGGAGGAAGGGACGCGCTGGGGACGCCAGGCACAGCTGCGGCTGCAGCCCGCGAGCCTCCAAATGAGCTCGGTGGCTCGCTGCCACTGATTTGGAGGTGATTGCTGCAGAGGTGAAGCGTGGTCAGCTCGCCTCATTATTGTGCAAATTGCTGGAAATGCAAATCTTCGGGTGCACCTGGGGGAAAATGTATTAATAATATTACTCCTGATTAAGGTCACAGGGCACTTCTTGCTTGTACAGCGAAGCCTGGGCTCCCTTTCCTCTTCTGAATCTAATCGTTGGTTTATTTTTATAGCAGTGACTTTGGAGTCCTTAGGAGATACTTTATATTTGAAAATCCTCTCTCGCAATCACTTGACAAAGCCCAGGCTGAAGCACGGGGCTCCCCTGCTCGCTGCCTCAGGATCCTGCCAGAGGCATCAGCGGGACCCCTGCGGCACGGCCCAGCCTGGGGGGCTCTGGGTGACACTGCAGGGGGACGGCAGCTCTGCATGAGCACGGCACAGCTTGGCACAGCACGGCACGGCTTGGTGTGGCACGGCTCAGCATGGCACAGCTCAGCAGCACCACGCACAGCCCCTGGTCACTGCAGGGTCCGAGCCCTGGCACGCAGGGGCCAGCCATGGGGCCAGTATGGACCTGGGGCGAGCCTGCGATCTGCTGAGTGTGCACGAGCAGAATGCCAAAGCTCCGCTGATTTATTGCTGAGGAAATGCTTAATTTAGGCAATGTATTTAAAGGAACTAATTAGAATTGTATTAATATTTATGGGCCTTATGGAGAAGCTGATAGTCACTATTTGCGGGTATTAACTGTTATCTTATGCCAGGCAGGACCGCGGTGTTTGGAGGCGACTTTAATTGTGGTGAGGGCAATCAAGATCTCACCCAAAGCCTGTGACAACAGCCAGCCCGGGGCTGCACATCAAAGCCACGTCTGCAGTGATAATGAACGTCCGCTGGAATTAATAACCCTGCCCGCCCGTCGCCCCCAGACACCTCCCTGCACATGATGGGGCCGGGGACGTTGGGGTCCCGGTCACCCTCCAGCCCCCAGCAGTGGGGGGGAGCCACCCCCTGGGCCGGGGGCTCAATGGTGGAGCCTCTCCCGGACACCCCGCATGTGTGGATGGAACGAGCACGGTGCCCAGGCTGGACACGGTGCCTCCCGGTCCTGCCGGTGCTCCCGTCTGTCTGTCCTGCAGGCAGAGCCACTGAGCTGGGGGGGGGGGGCTGGCAGGTGGCCCCCGCAGCCCCCAGCCCGAGCGCCGCCGGCTCCCTGCCCGCACAGCCGACCTCTCACTATAGCAAAGTTCACATCAATTTTCCTTCCCCTCATTTGTCTGTAAACCATGAAGAAAAATCACCGCCGTCTGCCCACATCAGGCCGCCGCGGTGATGTATGGCTGTAATAAAAACCCCATTTTGGGAGGCCGCCTTCCCCGCGCCGCCAGCCGGCATGCCACGCGTGGCCACACCGCTGGCCGGGGCCGCGCCGCGTGGCATGGGGCCAGGGCTGCCGCCAGCCCGCGGGCAGCCAGCCCCCGCCGCGTCCCCCCCTGCCCGGCCCCAAGCCCCATTATGGATGGCAGCTATTAGAGCTGCTATCGAGCACCGCGCTGCGCAGGCGGCCGAGCAGCCGCTGCCACCAACCCCCCTGGAGCCGCACTGAGGGGGGCACCGAGCGCGGGGCGGCAGCGGGCAGCAGCCCCCCCACAGCCCCCTGGCACCGTGCGGGGCTCGATGACAGCACCACGATGATTTGGCCCTGGAGCCCCGTGTGGTCCCTTCTCATTTTCCTTCCCCGTGCCTTGGAAACGCAGCGCCAAGTGTGCGGGCTGGGCGCCCTGCGCTGCGCCCGCAGCCTGGGGCTGGCACCGGGACATCGGGGCTGGCACTGGGACACCGGGGGCTGTCCCCAGGCTACCAGTCCCGTACCAAGGAGCAACCACAGCCCAGGCTGGGGCTGAGCAGGAGCCAGGAGAGAGGGAGCTGGGTAATGAATGGGCACTTCCAGGAGGTTTTCATCTTTTCTGTTTCGAGTTCCTCACCATCTCTGTGTGTAGAGCTTGCCGGTGGTCACAGCTGGCGTGGCGTGGGGAGGGCACATGCCCGGCCGTGTCTGTGTGCTGCAGGGCTGACACAGCACAAGCCCACCCCCTGCACCCCCAAATGCACCTCCCCGAGACAATCCCTGTGCCCAGCCCTGGGCATTGCCCCCCCGTTTGGCGCCAGCCCCTGGTGTCTGTGAGCAATGCTCGTCCCTCCCATGCCACTCCGTGGCCGTGGCCCCCCACCCCAGCAGCTCGCCTGCCTGGAGAGCAGCCTCCGTGCCAGCACAGCACCGCCAGCCCTGTGCTGTGGTGGGCTCGGGGGGCTGAATCCCATCCCCACAGCCTCCCCAGGGTGGAGGGGGAGCAGGACGGCGCTGGGGAGCACGGGGCCACGTGGTGCCACTGGTGGCCCCTGGACGCAGTGGGAAGGCAAGAGAGAGATGGCAATGATGCTGCAAGCCAGGAGTCTGGCGGCTTTATTGAGAGGGCAGGGGGCAGGGGCTGACCCCGCTGCAGGCATGGCCGGGCTGTGTGTCCCTCGGGGTCACTCGTTGGCTCTCCCTGGGAAGAAAGGAAGGGCAGTGAGCAGGGCGTGAGGGCAGGGCTGAGGGGCTGTGGGGGCTGCTGCCAGCCCCATGCTGCAGCACAGCTCCCCCCCAGCACAGTGACCCCGGGGCTGCCCCTTCTCCAGCCCCCGGCCCACCAGGGACATGGAGCGGGTGCCCCGAGGAGGCAGCAGCATCTCCTGGTCCCGCTGTTGTGCCACAGCCTCCCCGGAACCCCACGGTGCCAGGGGAAGGGAGCGGCCACGGCTGCCGTTCAACCACCAACAGCCCCAACCGCCCGTGGCTGTGCTAGGAAACAAGTGTCACAACCCAGCGAGCACCCACAGGGTGCTGCCTCCCCCCCCAACCCCCCCCCCCGGTGCACGCCTCGCGCCAGAAGCGTTGGGCACAGAAAGGGGAAGGCAACCTGCAAGGAGGGCGCCTTTTTTCCGCCCCTCCTGTGCAGGCTGAGAGCCGTGGATTGGCAGGTTTAATTTTGATAATCAGGCTGCGAAATTATTATTACTAACAGTATTGCCCAGTTCTCACCAGAGACAAGCCCAGCTCCCAGGACGGGGCTGTGTGCTGATGGAAATCACCCAGCAGAAAGGCACAGGGGTCCCTGAGCACGTGGTGGCCGGGTGAGTGCGGCCGCTGCCTCCCTGCTGCGGGCAGGGGGGGTCCTTGCAGGGCAGGGGGGGTCCCACCACGGCACAGCCCGGCTGCAGCAGGCGGGTGGGGGGCGGGAAGGGGCTCGGGGCTGCCCAGCGCCCGCAGGCTCGAGGCTGAGACCCCCGGGGAGAGCCGACCCCAGGCACCAGCAGCCCAGGGAGCAGCAGGGCACAGGGAGGGGTGGGTGGCCCCAGGACCACCACGGCACTGGGACCTGCAGGGGTGCTTTCAGCGGGGTCGTGCAGGGCAGCTCTCAGCAGCAGCCGCCTGCACGCTCCGTTGCCCTTCACATCCTCCAGAACTGCTGCTCGGCCCCCACCCACACCTCCCCAGAGCTGGCTGCGCAGCAACGCGGCTCCACGCTCCCACCCTGCCACCAGCCCCTGGGCAGGGGCAGCCCAGTCCAGCCCAGTCCAGCCCAGCCCAGTGCCCTCCTCTCACCCCGCTGGCAGACCCGCTGGCACTCCCCCAGGGTCTCGAAGTTGTTGGCGTTCCCCCTGCAGCCGCCGTAGAGGAACAGCCGGCACGTCCCCGTGGCAGGGCTGTAGGCGTAGCGATAGAAGAGGCCCCTGCACGGGCCGTGCTCCGGGGGCAAGTGGCAGATGTCACTTCGGAGCACGGGGCTGGAGATGAGAGCAGGACACTGGCGGCAGCCCCAGCCCCAGCCCAGCAGGGAGGCAGCGGGGCTGTAGCCCCTCCGTCTGGCCGGGGCCATGCAGCCGAGGCTGCAGCCCGTGAAGCAGCACTTGTCTCTGCCGGGACAGTCGCTGTCGTCTCTGCAGGTGCTGTTGCAAGGGAGTAAGGTGTACCGCAACCTTCTCTTGGGGCAGACTCCTGGTTTGGCTGCGGGGAAGGAGAAAGACTTTTGTGTCCACGGGGTCTGTCCGGGCCACGGACCCCTCCCGCCAGGCTCCTGGCCACCCTTACCTGGCACCGGGCTTGTGCAGTGGACGTGGCAGGCCATGCTGCAGCACTTGCCGTTGCCCTCGCAGTCGCTGTCGCTGCTGCACTGCACCAGGCAGATGCTCATCATGTCGGAGTTCACCCGTGGGCAGAAACCTGCCTTGGCTGGGGGTGCCCGGTGGGGTCAGGGCCCTGCCAGCCCCTCCCCGCCCGCACCCACACCCAGCCCAAGCCAGCCCCAGGTTCTGCAGGCAGGGAGCAGCGGGCACCCCTGGGTTCCCCCACCAGAGGGGACCGAGTGGGGGAGATGGGGTGCAGGGGCCGCACACCAGCCCTCGTGGGGGATGCCCCCGCAGGCAGAGCTCGGAGGAGCCCAGACCAGCGCATCCCAGCCCCGTGCCAGGACGGGGTGCAGGGGCTGGCAGCACCCGGCTCACCCCCACCCAGAGAGCAGAGCACGGGCTCCCTCAGGGCCACAGGGGGCTGCAAGGGGACGGGACCCCCTCACCTCCAATGGGCATCCTGCACTCCATTCCACAGCCATTGCTGCAGCAGAGTTCGCTGCCCGGGCAGTTCTCATTCGTAGAGCAGAAGTTGCCGCACTTGGTGCTGGAGGTCCTCCTGGGCGCAGGGCACTCGCCAAACTTCCCTGGGAGGGTGAGGGGGGGCGGTTACAGCAGGCAGGCAGAGCCCCCAGCCCAGGCACAGCCCCCCAGGCTGGCCCCTGCAGCCAGCAGCAGCTCACAGAGCAGATCTCGTGCTGCCCTTGGCACCCTGTGCCCAGCAGCAGTGCGGGTACACGAGGTGATGCAAGGCGCCCGCTGGAAACGCCGCTGCTCTGGGAGCCACTGGAGGTGCTCCAAACCCGCCACCCCCCCGTATTCCAGCACTGCAGCACCTGCCCTACGTGCTGGCTTTGGGGTCTAGAGCAGGTTTTCCCCTTGTGCCAGCAGTGGGGACAGCCCGGGCTGGACGCAGTGTCCCCAGCTCTGACCCCACGGCCTCGCCCTGAGCGGGGGGCGAGGGGCAGAGGGGCCACACGATGACCGAGTCGTTGGGGTTGGAGAAGACCTCGGGGACCGCCTGCTCCTTGTGGCCATGTCCCCACCGCACAGCCCCGCGGGCTCACCTGCCAGGACGAGCTCCGGGTCCAACCGGCACTCGCCCAGCGGGGCCAGGAGGGCCACCAGCAGCACCAGCAACAGCAGCGACCCCGGCTTCATGGCGCTACCCTCGCAACACCCGCGCCCCGCGGAGCTTTTGTAGAGCCCCGAGCCCTGCCCCGGGCCTTGCGCAACGCGCACCGGGTCCTGCCCCTCCCCGGCACGGGACAGCACCGGGCACGGCACGGACCGGCACGGGACGGCACGGGGCATGGCACGACACGGGATGTGTCACGACACGGGATGTGGGACACGGGACACGGGGCACGGCCCGGCACGGGCACAGCACGACACGGGACACTGGCACGACACGGGATGTGACACGACACGGGACACGGAACAAGGGACACGGGGCACGGCCGGGCACGGGGCACGGCGCGACACGGGACATGGGACGTGGGACATGGACACGGGGCACGCCTCGGCCCAGCCCGGCCCGGGACACAGCCCGTGGCACGGCCCAGCACGGGCGGGCAGAGCCGAGCAGCGCCCCCGCCGCCCCCGCGCCCGCTTTGGCGGAGCAACAGCCTCACCTGGCGGCTGCACAGCGGGGCGCGGGCGAGCAGCACCGGGGCACGGCTCGGTACGGCCGGGGCAGGGCAGCGGGGGGGCCCCACGGCCCGGGGGACCCGCAGGAGCCTCCCGGCACCGCGAGCTGCGGGGCTCGGGCACGCTGCGAAGCGCCCCCGGTAGCCGCACGCCCCGGGAACGGCGGCCCCGGCCCCGCAGCCCCCGGAGGCAGCGCGGGGCTGTGCGCAGGGACGGGGCTGGGGCTGCGCTGCCGGCCGCGGGGTCCTTGCTCCGGGGGTCCTTTGTGCCAGACCCAGTCCCTCCAGCAACGAGCGCATTTGGCTGCTCGGAGCCTGAGGACAGGAATTTCCCAGCAGGGAAATGCGATCGGGAAGGTGTAACCCTCCCGGGAGACAGCAGAGATCATCTCGGCCCCAGCACAAAGATGCCTCTTTTCAGCTGGGCTGCGAAGAGCCCAGGCAGGGAGCGCTTCCCCCCCACCCCACGCACCTGGTCCCCAGCCGAGGCCTCGCTCCCCGTGCCCAGCAGCGCTCCCCTGGCACACCCGGGGCAGGGAACAAGCCCCTTCCACCAGAGCCCTGTGCGCCTGGCCATAGCCGGGTCCTGCCCCTCTCCATCCACCGCAGCCTCAGGCTGCCCCCCCAGTGCCTCGTTACAGCCCCACCCGCCCAGCTGCACCCCCAAACCTGCACCCAGCCCCGCGGCCGGAGGTGCCACCTGCAGCCCTGTGCACTGCCGTGCTGGGGGCACTGCTCTCCGTGCGTGCGCCTCGTTTCCCAGCCCCTGTGTGGCTCCTGCTTGCCGAGCCCAGTGAGCCAAGTGCCTCTGCCCACGGGCAAGCCCTGCCACCACCAGCAAGAGGAGCCTGGGGGCGGATTGGCCGTGGCACCACGTGCAGCGCCTGGCAGGGACACGAAGGTCCCTGCGTGGGTCTGCGCACCCTCGGCAGCATCTCCCACCACAGAGACAGCAGCCACAGTGCCGCAGGGCCCAGCAGGCATGGAGCACACCTCGTCCTTGGTGCTGCTCACCCTTTGCACGCTTGGCTGCGCCGGGCTCCCTGTAATCTCCCTGCGCCGTTACCCTTGGGCGTCCCCTCCCTGTCGCAGGTGTCTGGAGGCAGCAGTACGCGCCCTGGGGCAGCCCCTGCAGCCGGCATCCGCCTTGGCACCCGCGAGCCTCCCTGCCTGCCCCACTCCTCCCGTCCCCAAGCACGGCCGGGTGAGCGGCAGCCCCGGTGGTGACCCCGCCGCAGCACCCAGCCGCGCCGTCTGCCGGGACGTGGCCCTGCCGCTGCCCGCGCCCAGCCCGCCGGCGTGACGGCACCCAGCTGCCTGTTCCCGCGCAGGAATGGTGCACAGGGTGCATGGCACAGGGTGAGTGGGTGCTCCCAGCCTCGCACGTCACACCGGCTTCCCACGCTGTCCTCCCCCTGGGGCCACGCTCAGCGATGAGGTGTCGGTCACCCGTGGCTCTGCAGGTGGATGTGGCTGGATGGGGGAAAAGGACCGGGCTGGGGCACGCAGGCACTGGTTCTGCAGGGTGGGCACAGCCCGGGGCAGACCCCCAGCCTCTCTGTCCCAAAACGCCCCTGTGCCATGCAGCCAGCATGGCACCACCTCGGGGTGCGTGTCCTCCTACAGTCCCACACCAGGTCCCTGCCCCATAAACTTGTCTCAGCTCTTTCCAGACCTGGGCAACATTTGACATCTGCATGATGAGTCCCACAGCTCTGGCGAGGAGACTGCTCTTTGTTGGCTGCCCTCCTGTCCCCTCTGTCACCTCTTCTCCAAACTGGAGAGCTCCAGCCCCTCCGTCCGGGCTTCCCAGGGCCCTGGCTCATGGCCCATGTTTCCCCCCCCAGGGCAGGATGCCTGTTGGGTGCTCGTGTCCCCACCCTGGCTGCAGCCTGGCTGCTGGGGCTGGGATGGGGCCATAGTAAATGATTTCTCAGGTAATAGCACGACGCAGAGCTGCTGCTGCCTCGGGCACAGCTGCAGAACGCACGGAGAGGTTCAGTACCCAAAGGTTATGTGTGTGGCAGCCCCTCCCCAACCCCAGCACAGATATAAACCCCTGCTGACCCGCGCCAGCCGTCGGCGTCCTCGGGGAGCACCATGAAAGCCACCAGCATTTTGCTCGTGGGTATCCTTGCCCTGTGCACGCAGCTGCAGCCGGCTGCCACAGCCACCGAGTACATGGGTGAGTGCGGGGGTCCTCGGGGTGCCGCAGAGCGGGGCTGGCACAGGCTGGGCTCCCACACCAGGCTGAGGGCTGGGTGAGCAGGTAGGCACCATCGTGGTGGTGCAGAGCCCACAACAGGCTGGGGCCAGGCACTGCCTGCGGGCTCCGCAGCCCTGAGGGGACCACCAAGGTCTGTGCCGTGCGGGCAGCGCAGGGGCGAGGAGGGCTTGGTGACCGCGGGAGCACCGAGGGAGCCCTCCTGCCCGTGGCTGCACCTCGATGGTGGGACAGGCGGCCCCAGAGGGGCAGAGAATTCCCCAGGCATCCCCGTGAATGCAGCTGTCCTCCACTAAGGAAGCTCCGGGCCAGAGCCCAGAGGAGGGGGTGTCTGCGTTTCGCCCTGTCCCCCTGTGTTGGTGTGGGGAAGCCAGGCAGCTGCCGTGCAGCCACGCCGTGCCCCTGCCCACCCTGGGGCACCCTGCTTGGTGCAGCAACGCTCCCCTTTAATTGTTCACCGTGCTCCCACAAGGGAGGAGACCTGGGCACCTTCCCTGCCACCCGCAGAGTGGCTGCAGGCACCCAGGGGCTTGGGCACGGTGTGTGGTGGGGTCTGCACCGAGGGCACTGCCACCCGCTGCTGTGGGAAACTGCCGTGTGCTGGTTGGGGCGCAGGGCTGCTGCCTCTGAGCCCTCTGCCAGGATCCTGCCCGGGACGTGCCTCGGCACAGGGCTCCCTGCCAGAGCCTCAGGAGCCCCCTGAACCATCGGGGCTGTCCTCAGCCTCTGTCGAGGAAGCTCCTGGCAGAGCAGGGGTGAGGACGGCAGCATCCCGAATGTGGTGCGTGGGCGGTGGGAGCCGAAGTATTTCTATCTCCCGGAACACGATGCCGACTGCGTGGGCTGGAGCCAGCGCAGCTGCTGGCCCTGCCGCCCAGCCCCACAGCAGCACGCTCAGCCCCCCTCCAGCTGCTGCTGCTGGCTGCAGGCAGATCCAGCCGGAGCGGGCGCTCCGCAGAGTCCCGCGGGGGTCAAGGTATTGCCTCCAGGCAGCCCTGCAGGCACCTCGCCCTGCTCCCCACGGCTCCCTCCACGGTTTCTTCCTTGTCCCCTGCCACAAGTCCTTGTCCCCTTGTCCCCTGCCACAAGCGCATTTCTGGGCTCCCGCCTGCTCCTGTCCTCCACGGTGGTGGCTGCTGTGCTGCAGTTTGTCTGCTGGCATCTGCACGTTCGCAGCCCTCCAGCTCCACCTCGCTCACCACCAGTACCCGGGAAATCCTGCGCTCCGCAGACTTTACGAGCCAAAGGGAACGATAAGAGCAATTATAGGATCAGCCAACTGAACAGGGTGATAAACCTCAAAGGCAGGCGCTGCTGGCAGCTCCAGCACAGGTGCAGCAGCGTGGATAGCGGTGGGGCCCTGGAGCTGCTGGGTGGGCAGCACTGGACCTGCAGCAGCGCCCTGCCCCTGCCCGGCCCCGCTGTGCCCAGCCCCAGGAGGGCCCGGAGGGTGCAGGCTGGTGGACACAGGCTGACGGCCGTGGCCCTGTCCCTGCTGTGCCCCAGGGCTGCCCCCGCTGCAAGCATCCTGCAGGCAGCGTGGCTCTGGTGTCAGCACCGGCTCCTGTTACTGCATAAACACCCCCGCTGGGGAGGGGACCGCAGGCAAACGCAAACAGTTACTGATTTACTGTAGCTCCACACCTTGCCGCATTGTTGACTGTGGGGTTAAATTACTTGGAAACAGACACTGGTCGAGACAAACAGCTCGTGACCTTGCAGCAGGGACCACCTGAGCCCTCACGGCCCTGCGCCTGCACGGGGCTCCAGGATGCTCCAGCCCAGAGCTGGGGCTGCCCGCGGTGCAGATGCGGTGCTGAGGGCACATCCCTGCAGGAGGACCCCACTCACCCCCCACCCTGTGGAGGAGAGGCTGGGGCTGTGCCCAGGACAGGGCCGGGGAGGCTCTGGGTGCCCCCCCGGCAGAGCAGCAGAGCCCCAGCCCTGCAGCCAGGCAGCACTGGCACCGTGCAGGGGCCTCACCTCGTACCTGTGACTGAGCCAAACGCTCTGAGCCCAAACTGGAAGCTGTGAGCAAAGGGTCTGAGGGTCCCTGGGGCCCCCAGCACAGTGCCAGACCCCGAGGGAATTAAACCCACTGCTCTTGGAGATGACCACGAAGTGGCTGAGCAGCAAACGCTGATGAGGGCCGGGCAGCCACGCGGGGTGATTTCGATTGCTTGGCTCGCTGGGCCTGCTCAAATAGAGCCTGGCTTGGTGCTGCCCGGCACTGCCAGCCGACAGCCGGCGTGTGGGCTGCAGGAGGTGTGCGGCAGAGGGGGCCTGGGGCTGCTCAGCCCCTGCACCGCTGTGCCTGCAGCACCGTGCACACGGGGGGCCCGCTCCCTGCCACCCCCAGCAGTGCTGCCGCCAGGCCAGGCTGACTCCCCGGGGCTGCAGGAGGCCATGGGCGCAGCGGGGAGCTGCAGGACAGGGCTGCGTTGGGGTGGGACGGAGCTGCAGGAGGGGCACGAGCGAGCCCCACGTGCCAGGCGCCTTCCCGAGGAGGTGCAGGGCAGCCTGAAGGGCTCTTCAGTCAAGTAGCGAAAAGCTGTGCAAAAACAAGAGGCTGGAGCAGCAGCCGGGGGGGCTGCAGGGGCAGCAGAGCCACAGCCCCGAGCAAGCTGCCAGCTCCCCGTGCTGCAGGGCAGCCGCAGCCCAGCCGGGGGCTGCACCCGAGCGTGCGGCTGCTGCTGGGGCGCTGATGGGACGGGACGGAGCGTGGGCACCGCGTGCCCCACACCTGCTGCTGCTACCAGCACAGCCCAGCTGCATGCTGCAGGACCAGCAGCACCCCGGAGCGGGGTCACCACCGCTCAGCACCCCCCAGGACCAGGGCTGGGGGCGGCCGGGGGCTCCCTGTGTGCCGCAGCGGGCGATGCAGCGGTGGCGCTTGGCGGCTGTTCCTGCCGGGCAAGTTTTCGGCCAGACGCCTGCTCTGCTCGAGGCTTCCACTTCCTGGTCGGCAGCCAGGAGCGAGCAGATACCTGATACTTGGGGATTGTGCAACGGCTCGAAGGGGGAGCCTGGCCAGGCCAGTTCCTTATGAGCCACCCGGAAGGCAGTCCCCTCCCGCCTGGCCGGCCCCACCTGGAGAGGAGCTTAAAGCCCAGCGGGGTGGCCCTGCACGCGCAGAGCCGGCTCCCCTGCACCATGCCCAAGGCCAGCAGCGTGCTCGTCCTCGCAGGGCTCCTGGTTCTCTGGGCAGAGCTGCCGCCAGCATCCGCCCAGAATGTCACGAGTGAGTATGAGCGCCCGGCCCGGCCCCGTGCGAGCAGCCGGCATCGCTCCCAGCCCCAGGGCCTTGCTGGAGATGGGGGCCAGGGCCGGAGACCCCAGCCAGCGCCCGGCAGGGCCGTGCTCAGCAGCATCCCTGGCGCCAGCCCAGGGGCTGGAAGCAGCATCTCCCTCCTCCAGCCGGCAGCCCTTGCCCCGCTGCAGGGCCAGCAGCCCCGTGCCCACCCACACCGTGTGCCTTTGCCTTTCAGCGAAAGCCGGCGTGTGCCCGGACCCAGCGACAGAGGAAGCCAACTGCACAGTGGGGTGCCAGTCCGATGGCGACTGCGAGAGCACCCTCAAGTGCTGCCCGGCGGCCTGTGGCACGGCCTGCCAGGAGCCCGACGGTAACGGTCCCCCGCCCCGGCCCCGGGGCTGCTGCAAGCCCTGCTCCCGGCAGCTGACAGCACCGGGGCTCCCGGGGCTTGGCAGCAGCGTGGGGCCTGGGCTCCTGTTGTGTCTGGCTGCAGCACGGCTGCGGGGCCCTGCGGGGTCAGGGTGTGCTCTGGCGGGGCGGCCGCCTGGCACAGTGCACCCCCTGCCCTGGCTGGTGCTGGCCACGCTCGCCCCTTCCTCCTCCCAGCAGCACGGGGGGTTCCCTCGGGGACCGCTGGCTGCTCAGCCACGTCAGCCCAGGACGTTGCACTATTCCACCTCCCGACCCTCAGCCTGGGGAGCGTCTCCCAGCGGCACCATCCCCAGCCCTGCAGCCACCTGCTGGGGTGCGCTCACCGTGCCCGAGAGCAGCCTGGGCAGACGGACACAGGAGCTGGGGCGCGATGACGATGTGATGTGGTGATGTGATGTGATGTGATGTGATGATGATGATGATGTGATGCGAGGGCTCGGACGTGAACCAGGGGCTGTGGCACCTCCATCGCCTCCTGCAGGGACGGAGCTGGCTGAGCCGTGCCGCAGCACAGGACAGCACCGTGCGGAGCTGAGAGCCTGCAGCAGGCAGCAGCAGGCAGGGGGCGGCACGGCAGGAGCCCCACACGGGGCAGGCTGCCCGTGGGACACGTGCCCCCGCTGAGGCCATGCACCACGAGAGCCTGGCTGGGGCTCTCTGTGGCAAAAGCAGGGGACAGTGGGGCTGAGGCACCACCGGGGCCCCGTGCCGTGGCTCCATGCTCTGTGCCAGCCGAGCGCCCCCGAGGACGGGCTGAGCGTGGGGCCCGCCACACCGGGGGGCGACTCTGTGCGTCCCCAGGGGTCCCAGGCTGGCGGCAGCACCAAGGGGCAGAGCTGCGGGCTGGGAGAGCCCTCAGCCTGTGCTGGGGTCCCCCTGCTGCAGGTGCCAGTGGGCAGGGTCGGGGCCGTGCCCGTGGCTCCGGGAGCTGCAGCGCCCAGCCCTGCCCCTGCTGCGGCCGCTGGGTCTCACGCTGCGCCCTTCCCATTGCAGAGAAGCCCGGCACCTGCCCGCCCGTGAAGCCAGGGATCCCCATGCTGGGGCTCTGCGCTAACCAGTGCAAGACGGACTCCAACTGCCCCGGGAGCCTCAAGTGCTGCAGGAACGGCTGCGGCAAGGTCTCCTGCGTGACTCCCCACTACTGAGGTCAGTCGGGCACCCGCTCAGCCCCGGGGCTCCTGTGGCACGGGACCCGCTCCCCCAGCCCCCTGACAGCCCTCTGCTCCCTTTGCAGGCACAGCCTCCTGCTGCCAGCCCAGCCACAGGGAAGCTGCTGCCCGACGCGATGCCCGCACGTCCAGGCCCCCCGCGCCCTCCTGCCCCCTGGCTGGGCTCCCAGCTCAGAGCCTTCAGCCTCAGCTTCCTCCCTGGGGCCCGGCTCGGGGCGCGCCGCAGCCCCCCGTGCCCTGACCAATAAAGCAGCCTCTCCCTGCTGCACTCGTGGCCGCGTCTCCATCCCGCTGCGCTCCTGGCCAGGCAGCAGCTCCACTGCTCCTGGCCTCATCCTGCCCAAATGTGCCCAAATCGGCACAGCTGCTGCTGGCTCCTGGCAGAGGTGGCTTCTGGAGGGGTCTCAGCAGCCAATCGCCCACCCCAAGCCAGCACTGTTCCTGCAGCCCAGGGCTCTGGGCCAGCCCAGGCCCCATTTCTCCAAGGCTCCCCAGCCTGTGCCCCTGCCCAGGGCTGCCCCCAGCCCCAGCCTCTCTGACATCCCCCCCGGCTGTTAGCAGACGTGCTCAGACAGGGCCATGAGGTGCAGCGGAGCAGAGCTAATCTCTGCTCTGCAGTGGCTCGGGGAGGTGGGAATGTGTGGCAGGGGGTCCCGGGTGCTGCTGGTGCTCACAATGGCACGAGCATCCCCCAGGCCTGCTCCACGCGCTCCCAGCCCTGCAGCAGGACTCTGCCCATGGCAGGAGCCCAAGGGAGCCACGAGCAGGGAACCCCACACGTCCCTGCCCCATCTCTGCCTGACCCTGCCCTTGTGCTGCCCCTGCCCCTGCCCCATCCGCCCCCAGCCTGCTCAGACCTGGTCCCTTCTGCTCCTGCCCTGCTCTCCCGTGCACATCAAGGCTCCCCGCAGGAGCCCTGGCTTCCTGCCCCTCTCACAGCCACCCTGCTCCAGCTCCCTGAGCCAGCAGGAGCTGAGGAGCCCCCAGACCAGCCCAAACGGCCCCCCAGGATCAGGTGGGCACGGTGGGGACCGCAGGCACAGCCTCCCCCAGCTCTCCCACGTCCCGTTCCCACGCTGGGGCTCTGCAGGGAGCAGGGTTTGGGGAGCGCCTCCCACACCCCCCAGCCCGGCTGCTCGCGGGTCACCAGTGACCTGGAAAGGGCGCACGGAGGATGCGCCGGCTGCAGGCCAGGAGCCCGGCACTGCCCTGGGATCTCCCCCAGGCCAGGTTGTTCCCACCCGGCACTCCCACAGGACGGAGCATCTTGGCCAGCCCCCACCCAGCAGGGTTTAAATCCCGGTTGGCGGGGCGCAGCAGCACAGCTCCCCCCAGCATCATGATGCCAGGTGCTGGCACCCTGGTGCTGGTGCTCCTGGCCCTGTGCGTGGAGCTTCCCCCCTCCCCAGCCCAGCAGCCCCGAGCAGGGGACCATGGCGCTGCCCCCACTGCCGGCCCCCTGCCGCGCCGTGCCCCGCGGGGCCGCAGGCTGCCAGCCACCCCGCCAGCCCCGGGCAAAGCAGGCGAGTGCCCGGCAGCGGGGAGCAGCCCCCCGCGCCCCAGCAGGCTGTACTGCCTCTCCGACCACAGCTGCCCCGGGGCTGAGAAGTGCTGCCGCCGCGGGGACGTCCGCGCCTTGCCTCCTCCCCGCCACAGGTACGGCCAGACACGAGCGATGGGGTGCGGGGGGCTGCCGGCTGCAGGAGCCGGTGGGGTGCCCAGGGGACCCCCACTCCCCGGCACGCCGTGCACCGAGCGTCTCCCCCTGCAGAGAGCCCAGGCTACTGCCCCCGTGCCGGCCCCAGCGGGGCGAGCTGCGGGGCGAGCTGCAGCAACGACACCGCCTGCGGCCCTGCGGAGAAGTGCTGCACCCACAGCTGCTGCGCACGCTGCCTGCCCGCACAGCCAGGTGAGGCACCGGCCCCTCGGCCCCCGGGGACACCGCGGGCACCCTGCGGGGCAGGGGGATGGATGGTGGCCGCCGGAGCTGTCCCTGCCCGAGCCTGGGCTGCAAATGCCATGTGGCAGAGCCACGAGTCCCACAGCCCCCCATCGCTGTGTGGGGCACAGGGGTGCTGGGGGGGCAGCGGGTTCCAAGCTGCTCCCTGAGCCTCTGCCCCCCTGCAGCCAAACCCGGCCTCTGCCCGCGGAAGCGAGCACGGCGCGGCACAGCAGCGTGCCCCAGCCACTGCGCTGACGACAGGGACTGCCCCGGGGACCACAAGTGCTGCTTCTCCGGCTGCGGCCTGGCCTGCACCTCCCCGCACACAGGTACCCCCCCAGACCCCCTTCTCGGTGTGAACGCTCCGTGCACACCTGTGCACCCCCCCGCAGGCCCTGCAGCCCCCTGGTTGCGGGCAGGGGGTGCGCGGCTCCTCCCCAGTGCCACAGCGTACCCAGGCAGTGCCTCTGTCCGGGTACGGCCCCGACCCTCCGTGCCCCCCAGGAGCAGACCCACGGGACAGCAGAGGGCAGGGCTGGCACCGGGCTGGGATGGGGGGCAGGATGGGGGGGCTGGATGGGCCCCGAGGCTGTGGCCCCATCATGGGCACGGCTGGGCACGGTGCTCGGGGATGCTGTCTTGCAGCAAAGCCCGGTGCGTGCCCCGTGGTGCTGCGGGGCTCCCTGGGGCCCTGCCAGGAGCTGTGCGACACCGACGGAGACTGCCCGGGGGCAAGGAAATGCTGCTCCACCGGCTGTGGCCACATCTGCAAAGCGCCCGCTGAGGGTAAAGCCGCCAGTGCCACGGGGGGGCAAGACCCCCCCACGTCCCCATCCTGTCCCCCACCACGTCCCCATCCTGTCCCCCCCCACGCTGACCCCCTCCCTGCTCCCCTTTCGCCCTCCTGGCGCTCTGGGAGCTGCCCCTCACCCTGCCCCTCCTGGGGGCGAGGGGCTCACCTCATTGGGCAGGGCAGCTCCCTCACCCGCTCCCTCTGCATGCCCCCAGCCCGGCCGGGGCTCTGCCCCCCCGCAGCCACTGGTGTCGGAGCCGGCGAGTGCCTCACGCTGTGCCTGCAGGATGAGGACTGCCCCCCCAGCCTCAAGTGCTGCCTGCGGGACTGCGGCCGGGCGTGCGTCCCCCCGCTGCAGGGTAAGGCCAGCCCCAAACCCTGCCCGCAGGGGAAGGCATGGTGTGGCCCCAGCAGCCCGGCACCGTGCGGGGGGGCAGGCTGCAGAGATCCAGCCTGGGGGGGCTGAGGGGAGGCAGCGTGCTCCCCCCGCACTGACCGCTGCGTGCGTCCCTTCCAGGCACAGCCTAGCCCTGGCTGGGGAGGGCGGCACCGGGAGCTGCCGTTTTGGGGCCGTTCCCAGCCCGTGCCATCGCGTCTCCATGACGAGCCCGAGGTGTGAGGCGAAGCCCCGCGTCCTGCTCCCGCTGCGCCTGCCCAGCCCGTGCCAGGCACAGGTGCCCCCGCTCCGCTTGGAAGCACCGAGACCGAATAAAGCAGCTCCTGGCAGCCCGGCTGCGGGCAGTCCCCGTGGTTTGCTGGGGGGACGTGGTGCAGGCAGGGGGTGCAGGCAGGGGGTGCAGGCAGGGGGGGTGCAGTCACTGGGTGCAGGCAGGGGGTGCAGGCAGGTGCCATGCTGGGTGCCCAGCTCCAGCAGCCGCGGGGCAGGGAGAGGCTCTGATCCCACGTGGGCGCCTCCCGGGCACCCCCACCCCCTGTGACCGTCCCGGCGGGTCCCAGGACACATCACGGCCGTCCCGGCAGTCAGGGACAGGAGTGCCAGAAACCTGTTGACTCGGATTCCTTGCACCGAGGTTCATTTGCATCCCGGAGTGTGAAAGCCTGCTTGGAAATGCAGGCAGGGCAGACGAAGCACCCGGCATGGAGAGGGGCAGGGAGCAGCCCCCACGTGCCAGGGCCCCGCAGGCCCTGCTCCCCCCTGGTCCCAGCCCAACCCATCACCCTGACACCTCCCCAGGGCTCCCCTGGCCCCGAGCAGCTCCGTGCAGGGAGGCAGAGCTGGGCTGCGGGGCGGCACCGCAGGGGCTGAGCGGGGGCTGAGCCCTGGGGTCCACCCATGGCCCCCACCCTCAGGGGGTGAGGGGCAAGGGGGGCTGCAGGAGACCCCAGGACAGGGCACTGCGCCGTGGGGCAGCACCCGCACGACCTCAGCCACCCGGGTCCTGTCCCTGCCCTGTCCCTGGGGTCATCCCGACCCCAAAGCGCTGGCACGGCAGGAGATAAGCGTCCCGGCTGGCAGGGCGCCTGGCTTCTGGGAGCCTCCCTCCTCCCCGGGGCAGCCACCCTGCACCCCAGCACCGCGGCCACAGACATTAAACCCAGCCCTGTGCCAGCAGCCCGGCGGCACCATGAGCCCGGGGCTCTGCCTCCTCCTGGGCCTCCTCATCCTCAGGGCAGAGCCGGGCACCGCAGCAGGGCAGGAGGGAGGTGAGTACCCGTGGGCAAACCCAGCAGCAGCCGGGCAGGGGCAGCCCGGGGCTGGCTCCTCGCACCCCGGCTCCCCTTGCCCCCTGCCCCCTGGGTCCCTCCTCGCCTCGTGCTGCCGTGAGCCCTCATCCCGACAGCGCGGGGAGGGGGTCCCTGTGCCCAGGTGGCTGCGGAGCCCACCCCATGGCCCCGCTGCCTCGGGGAGCCCTGCAGGTAGCTCACGGTGGACGCAGCCCCCCCGGGTGCCCCCGTCCTGCCCTGCGTGGGACGAAGCTGGGGCAGAGCAGCCCAGTGCAGCGCTCTCCTGACGCCTCCTGACAAGGGGAGGTTTCCTTTGTTTGTGCCGAGCAGCTGCTGTTTGCAGTGAAACCTCCCAGCAGCGTCTCTGTTTGCAGCCCAAACAGCGCAGCACTGCCAGGAGCAGCCGAGGGATGTTTGCAAAAACTGCTGCCCCCCAGGCAGCCCCCGCACAGCGGGCAGGAGCCCCTGCACAGGCGTGGGCAGCCGTCGGCCAAGGGCAGGGGCTTTCCCGGCACAGCCAAGGGGAGCGCAGGGTGCCCCGAGCCCGTGGCCGTGCCCCAGCACCCGGCACCCAGCACCCAGGCACGGTGCCCGGCTCCGCAGCCAGCCGGGGGGGGTCGGCATCAGCCGGAACCCCCCCCTGCTGAGGCTGCCCCAATCCCCAGCCCACCCCGGTGCCTGCCCCCAGTTCCCGGCCGGGCCCCGCCGCGTGCCGTGCCCCAACGCCTGCAGCGATGACAGAGGGTGCCCCCCGGAGCAGAAATGCTGCTTCACCGGCTGCGGCCTCGGCTGCGTGACGCCGCTGGGGAGCGGCAGCAGCGACTTCGCCCCCCCCGGGGAGGTGGACTGGAGCCTCAGCCAGGCGGAGGAGACGCACCGAGGTGACAAGGGGGGAGTGCTGGGGGTCCCTGGCCCCTTGTGCACCATGGGTGGCTCAGAGCCCCCTCTGATGGGGGCTGTCCCGTGGGAAGGAGAGGCGGCAGGGGAGGGGTGCACGTGGCGGTTGGGGTGCTCAGGGATGTCCCTCACTGTGCACCTGGAGGGGCCCCACTGCATGGAGCCCGTGCAGAGCCTCCCCTGAGCTCGGCTGCCACCCCCTGAGAGGCTGAGCTGCAGCAGCGCCCTTGCAGCCCCCCCCCCGGGCTGCGCTCCCCTCCCCAGTCCCCCATGGAGGGGACCCAGTGCCCACCCCGCAGCAGAGCGGGGTTGAGGGGGCTGCAGCCAGCTGGTGCTGCCCCGACACCCCCTGTCCTGCTGCAGGGGAGCCACAGAAGCCGGGGACGTGCCCCCAGGACTTCAGGCACTGCCTCCGCCTGGAGCCCCCCCTGTGCACCAACGACTCGCTGTGTCCCGGCTGGCACAAGTGCTGCCCCCATGGGTGCCGGCTGCGCTGCACCCCTCCTGCAGAAGGTACAATCCCGGCACAGCCCCCAGCGTCCTGCTGCTGAAGTTTTGGCCCCTTTTGGCCCCCAGCCCCATCCCATTCCCTGTCCCGTGCCCCTGTCCCCGCAGCTCCCCACGCCCCGCATGGCAGCCCCCTGCCCATGGCCCCCAGCACCAGGAGGGAGCAGCTTGGGGGGGGGGGGCTGGGATGAGGCACGAGGAGGGGTCCAGGGCACGGCCCGGGGGGGGTCTGGCCCAGGCAGGTTTCCCAGCACTGCCCGGGGGTCCCGGGCATGGCTCAGGGCGCGGTGCCGCAGACACGTGTCACCTCCCTGCCGTGCCGGGACCCTGCGGTGGCCGCGAGCTGCGCTTCTTCTACAACGTCACCTCCGGGCGCTGCGGGACGTTCCCCTACGGCGGCTGCGGGGGCAACCCCAACAACTTCAGGACGCGGGCAGCAGTGCCACCAGGCGTGCCTGGGACACGGTGAGGGGCTGGGGAGCCCTGGGCTCCGTGGGGCATGGTGGGGCTGGGGGCTGCAGGATGGGACAGGGGGGGGATGGCGGTGTGTGGCTGGAGAACCCCGGGGCACAGCAGGGCAGTGGGTTGTGTCCTGCCAGCACCCAGGGGTGCTGAAGCCTCACACCCGCTCTGCTCTGCCAGAGAAACCCAAACCTGGGGAGTGCCCGGCGGGGCTGCCGGGGCTGCTGGGGCCGTGCCAGGAGGAGTGCGGAGGTGACAGCGACTGCCCCGGCTCACAGAAGTGCTGCAACAGCAGCTGCGGGAACCAGTGCCTGCCCCCAGCCCCGGCCAGTGAGACGGGATGGGATGGGATGGGATGGGACGGGATGGGATGGGATGGGATGGGATGGGATGGGATGGGATGGGATGGGATGGGATGGGACGGGGTGGGGTGGGATGGGATGGGTCAGGACGGGACCCCGTGCCACTGCCAGCCCGTTCCTTGCCCTGCAGGGAAGGCCGGCTTCTGCCCGGCCAGCGCGGGGCTGTTCCCCAGCTACGACTGCAGGGAGTGGTGCCAGCGAGACGCCGACTGCCCCGGCGAGGAGAAGTGCTGCCTGCGTGGCTGTGACTCCGTGTGCCTGCGCCCAGCCCGAGGTTGGAGCCGCCAGGCACCCTGCTGGGCCCCCATCACGGCCCCCAGGCCCCCCCAGCCGCACTGCCTCCTGCCTTGCAGAGAAGCCGGGGATCTGCCCCCTGACCGAGGCGGCACCGTGGACCCAGGCCCCGTGCCAGGCCTCCTGTGCAGAGGACGGGCAGTGCCCGGGGGATGAGAAGTGCTGCAGCAGCCGCCGATGTGGCCGGGTCTGCCTGGCTCCTGAACGAGGTGAGGGGACGGCCACGGGGCCGGGTGCGGGGCCCAGGCTCTGCCCAGCCCCTGCAGCACTCGGGGAGCCTGGGCCCAGCTCGGACCTCCCCAGGGCACGGTGTGTGGGGCTGCGGCCATCGGAGGGGCCCCACGGCGCCGGGACAGCGACGCCTGTAGCCCGGTCCCCATGGGAGAGCTTCCCGTGGCTCCGCTGCCCCCTTCCCACCTCTCTTTCAGACAAACCCGGCCAGTGCCCGAAGGTGAGGCCACGGCAGGCACCGGAGCCGTGCACAGAGGAGGACGCCTGTGGCCACGACAGGGACTGTCCCCGGCAGGAGAAATGCTGCTTCGGCGGCTGCGCCATGCGCTGCACGCGCCCTGCCAGGGGTAACCACCAGCAGCCCCCGGCTCCGCACCGGGCACAGGGTACGGGGCAGCAGCGTGAGCAATTCTGGAACTGGGGGGCTGCCCTCACCCTGCCCCCCTCCCACAGAGCACCCCGGGGAGTGCCCCCGGGCTGAGCCGTGCGGGGACCCTCGGCACAGGCACAGGAGCCAGTGCCTGGATGACAGCGCCTGCCGGCGGGACGAGAAGTGCTGCAGCTCCGGCTGCGCCTGGGCGTGCGTGGCCGTGGCCGTGCCCGGAGGTAGCGGGGAGCACTCTGCCTGCTGGGCAGCGACACACCGGCCCTGCAGCCAGCTGGGGGTGACCGCAGGCGGCTGTGCCCGCAGAGAGCCAGGACGGAGCCCCCGGGCAGTGCGTGCAGGAGTGTGACACCGACCTGCAGTGCCCCCAGGGGCAGAGGTGCACCAGCACCGGCTGTGGCCGTGTCTGCGGGGACGTCCCTGGAGGTGGGTGCTAGCTGGCACCCCTGGGGGCCGCAGTGCCGTGCCCCACAGAGCACAAGGCGCTCTGCCCTGCAGGGAGGGTGGGAGCGTGCCCCATCCCCAGGGGAGGTGGGACGTGCTGGGACCTGTGCAGCTTTGACGAGGAGTGTCCCTGGGGCCACAAGTGCTGCAGCAACGGCTGCGGCTGTGTCTGCAGCGGGTTCCTGACAGTGAGGAGGCTGCGGTGCAGGTGCCGTCACCAGGAGGCACAGCGGGACATCGGCCCCGGGGGGAGGCAGAAAGGGCCACAGCCCTGGGGGGCCCAGCTCAGTGTCACCGTGGGGGCAGCAAGAGCCAGCTCCGGGCAGCAGCGCTCCTTTGGGGCCTGGGGACCCAAAGGGACGTGGAGCAGGAGGGAGCTCTCTTGGCCATGCCCAGACCCCATGGGGCTATGACCCTGGCTGCTGATTCTCGCCCCTGCAGCCTCAGGGCTCCCCAAAACACATCCTCCCCTCCAGATGCTGCGTGACGGGAGAGCAGCAGCTCCGTGGCAGGAAGGTGCCGTTGTTCCGGGACACTGGGTGGCCACAGCCCCAAACTGGCCTGTCCCCTTCCTGCCGCTGCCAGCAATAAAGCTCGTGCTCACCATCTCCGGCTGCTTCCACGTCTCCGCGTTGCAAGCCTGGCCCGGGGCAGCCCCCAGCACAGCCCCCGCATTGCCACGGAGGGGCACGGGCTGGGGCTCTCCCCTCCTGGTGCTGGGGCGCACCCAGGGCAGGGGACACTGTGCGACCCCCTGGGGCCGCAGGAGCTCGGCTGATGCACCGTGGGCACAGCCCTGCCCGGCCAGCCCCGGAGCTGGGGGCAGCACAGGGGACCACCCCGCAGCGAGGTGGGGAGGTTTCTCCACCATTTGCTTGCTGTAGGGCCCAGCCGGGTCACATCTGCAGCTTGAGGGCACAACTGGGAGCGGAAACCAATTTAGGAGCTGTGCTGGGGTAGCTGGGTCCGAGACCTGCGGCAGGAAGGACAAGACCCAGACCTGCTCATCAAAGGACCTGTCCTTGTATTGACAGCTCCACAGCCCCGGGCGACGGGCTGGGCTCCAGGCAGGACATGATGATGACGACGACGATGACGGTGGCACAGGAGGGGACAGCCAGGCTGCTGCACGCACCACGGCCCTGCCCTCGGGCAGGCAGCTGTCCCCGGGCAGGCCACGGTCCCCAGCACAGGCCACCACGGGCAGCAGCACCCGCTGCCACCAGCCCCATGGGGAACAGCTCCCTGTGGGGATGGGGACGGGGCCGTGCCCGCAGGCAGCAGGGGCCAGGCGCGGGCGAGGAGGTGCTACCGGGCACCGGGGGCTGAAAGGCGCGGAGTCAGCAGCGGGGCCGGGCCCAGCATCGCCCCGGGGGGCAGCAGCGGCCCCGCAGCCCGGGGGGGGCTCTGCCGGTGCGGCCGGTTCCCGATGTGGGAGCAGGCCTGGAAGCACTCCCGCTTGGTCTCGAAGTTGTTCCTGTTGCCGCCGCAGCCGCCGTAGATGAACTCCTCGCAGCGCTGGCTGGAGGCGTTGTAGAAGAAGCGGATGAAGAGCGCCTTGCAGTTCCCGCAGACGGAGGGCAGGTAGCAGAAATCTGCGTGGTCGCAGGGGCCGAGGTGAGGCGAGGACGGGGACCCCGCCAGGCTCAGCGCTGCCCAGCGGGGCAGGGTCTGCTCCGAGCCCCCAGGAGCCCGGCAGAGTGATCTGTGCGGGGGTCCCACCCCACCCGGCACCGATCCCCTCCCAGAGCCAGGTCTGCGCCCACCCTCCCCAGGGATCCGCATCCCCCAACCCGCTCAGGGGCAGCCCTCGGGGAGGGCTGTGTGAGCCCCGCTCACCGGGGAGCCCTTCCCACCCTGCTGGGCTCAGCACCAGCCCCCCGCCCGCCCCGCGCCGCTGAGCCCTCACCGAGCACCGGCTCCTGGCACGTGTAGCCGCACTTGCTGGGGCAGCACTTGGTGGCACCGGGGCAGTCGGCGTCACCGGCACAGTGGGAGCACGAGGTGTCCTGGCGGCAGGAGCTGCAGTCCTTGTCCAGAAGGTCCTCCACCTCGGGGATGTGGTAGCAGTACCCAGGCTTTTCTGCGGGACACAGCGGCCGGGATGCTGGGGAGGGGCAGGGAGCAGGGGCTGAGCAGCCCCCCGGGACCCCAGCAGGACCCCAATGGCCCCAGCCCCGTGGTCGCCCTGGGCAGCGGGGAGCAGCGGCACCCCGAGCATCCCTGCCCCCGGGACGTGCCCCAGCACTCACCCATCCCCATCGCCGGCTCCGATCTTCCAGGCACACGCGGGGTCGGGCCGGCCCGTGCCATCAGGGGGATGAGGGCCGCGAGGAGGAGGAGGAGGAGGAGGCAGGCTCGCCGCGCCATGGTGCCCTGCGTGGCCGGCTCTGGGCCCCGGCTGCGTCAGGCTGGGATTTAAGGTGTGCCGGCAGGGTGGAGGGAGCAGGGCAGGCGCCCGAGCCCTGCTAATTCCTGCCCTGGGTAACGAGCCGCACCCAGGCAGGGCCCAGGCCTCCCCAGCAGCATCCCGGCCGCAGCCCTGGAGCCGGGGGGACCGGTAGGACGGGAAGGCTGCAGCCCGCCGGGCACCCGGCCCCGGGGCGCCAGGGCCAGGCTGGGGACACGCGGTGCCCGCACGCAGCCCCTCGCGGCCCTGTCACAGCCGTCAGCCGGGGATGGGCCCCTCCGGGCCTCGGGTCCCCTCCTTCTCCCCCGGCCCCGCAGCCGGGTGCGGTGCTGGCGGCGGGGCGGCCGCTGCCCAGGGCACCGGGCTCGTGGGGCACGGGGCAGGCGGGCCCCCAGCACCCAGCGCACGTGGGCGGGCGTGGGGTGAAACCAGCAAAGTGAGAGAGAAGCAGATTAAGCTCTTCCCATTCAGCAGGAATAATTGTCTTCCTAATTGCTGCTGTAATTACTGTCCCACGGGGAAGCAGAGAGAGAGGAAAGCTCTGCAGGGAGAGGCAGGAAAGTTGGAGCCGGGTGGGGTGCGGAGGGAGGTGCCCCCGACCTACCCTCACCCCCCCCCCGCAGCTTTTCAGTAACATCCCCCCAGACCCCAGGGACAGAGACCCCCCCACAGCGTCCCAGGCTTCAGACACCAGAGACGTGGCAAAGCCCGAGCGGGGCTGGAGCCCAGCCCAGCCTCACCACAGCCACATCCCGGGGATGGGGGACACGAGTGGGGACGTGCCGGCCCCCAGCTTGGTGCTGGCAGGGCTGCAGCTCGGTGGCTGCCCTCCACACGTCTCTCAGCCCCGAGCTGCCCAGGAAATGCCCCGGCTGCACAGAAACCCCCAGCCCCACGCCCAGCAGCAGGGCAGGGTCACGAAGCCAAAATCCACCAGGCTACATTTTTCCTGCTGCTATCTCCCCGCGGTATCTCCTCTAGCCAGGTGATGACTGCTCCGGCTGGGATCGTGCTGCACTGCAGCCCCTTGGGGGGTGATGGAGCCGGGGCCGAGCAGCGGTGATGCTCAGAGGATCTGGGGCACACGGCGGGGGTCAGCCTGGGGGAGATGTGGGGGAACCACACAGCCAAAGGCCCGGCACCACGGAGCCGCGTGGAGGGCCCCGTCCTGCCCTGGCCCTGGGGACGCGCAGCCTGAGTCACGGGCGGCAGCGCGGGGTGAGCGTGGCCGGACCTCCGCCCCGGCAGCAACAGCTGACCGGGCGGCACGGGGAGCACCCAGGAATGCGGCACCTCCCGGGGAGGGCCTGGGGCTGTGCCACCCAGTGGTGCTGGGGCTGTGCCACCTGGTGGGGCTGGGGCTGGGGCTGTGCCACCCAGTGGTGCTGGGGCTGGGGCTGTGCCACCCAGTGGTGCTGCCGCTGCCTGGCCCGGGCACGAGGCAGGATGGGGCTGGCAGAGCCAAGGGCAGAGCCCCAGCGCGGCACATCCCGGACAGCCTCGGTTTTGGGCACGTGGGCACGCACACGGTGAGGGCTGCTCCACCAGGCTGCTCGCAGCCCCATGCTCACTGGGACCCCGGGGACAGCAGCACCGGGTGGCCGAGCTGTGGCCGGTCCCGGGATCCCATGGACGGGAGCGGGAGGCGAGAGGCAGCTCGGGCACCGTGATGGGGACTCAGGCAAGGACCGGTGCCCAGGCAGAGCCCCTGTCCCCACGCAGCCTCCAGCTCCCTGCCCTGCGCCCCCACTGCCCCACCGAGGTGTGGGGCTGGTGGCCACCGTCCCTCCTGGGCCAGGCTCAGTCCCCAGACACGGATGCAGGCTGTGGGGCTGTGGACCATGTCCGGTCACAGGACGTCCCTCGGGAGCCAACGATTGTTCCCGGTGGCAGAACAATGCCCGGAGAGCTGCCAGGGCACCACGGGCCGCTCCACACCGCCTGGCCCGGGAGCCACCTCCAGCTGCCTCGCAGTGGGGTCCCCCCGGCCCCCGCTGTCCCCCCTGGCCCTGTCCTGTCCCCCAGCCACCCTCACGGCTGTGCCGGTGCCCGTGGGTGCTGTGGGTGCTGCAGCACGGCTCAGCTCAGCTCGGCACGGCACAGCCCAGCCCCTGGGGCTGCTCAGAGCCCCCTGCCAAGCACCGGGGGCACGCAGCTGCGCTGTGGTCCCAGCTCTGAGCCTCGTCCAGCAGCACCGGCACAGGAGGGAGGGGACGGGGGGGTCACGCTCAGATGGAGCTGGGGCAGAGACGGGGTCACAGGGACCAACCTCCGTCCCGGGGAGGATTTAAAGCCCTGCCTGCACCTCGCAGCAGCCTGGCGCTGCCAGCCCCGTGCGCCATGCGGGTGCTGTCGCTGCTCCTGCTCCTGGGGCTCTGCTGCCTCTGGGCCCGGCTGGTGGCTTCAGGTGAGCTGGGGGACAGGCCCATGGGGGGTGCCCACGCAGAGGGCTGAGCGTGGCTGTGCCCCCCTGCGTGACCCCAAACCTCACAGCCCAGCGGGCTCGGGCCCTCCAGGGCCCCGGCATGCTGCAGGGCTGGGACACTCCTGCCTCTCCCCAGGTTTCACCTAGATCCCACCTGGACCCCCCCTGAGGACCCCGCTTGTGCAGCCGCTTGGCACCGGACAGCCGGACAGACAGACACACGGACAGCCGGACAGCTGGACACGGAGGCATCCTTGGGCTGCAGGACGAGCACCCCACACCCCCATCCCCTCCCGCCGCGCTCAGCTCAGCACCAGGCACGGCTGTTCCTTTGCCTCTTCCTTTCCAGTAAACCCAGTCCGCAATGAGCACTGGTGGCTCCTGCTGTGTCAGTCTCGTTTCTGTTCCCAGAGCCCCCCCTGGAGCAGACGCCCGGCAGGACCCCACTGTGTCCCCACAGAGGACTCGGCCTTGTCCCTGGAGCTTGTCCCGGGCCCTGGGTGGCCCCAGGGGGCACGACCAGCTCCAACCTCTCCCCGGTTCAGCTCTGCTGCTTGCCCAGGCTGTGAAATGTCGGGGTGTTTCTGTGTCTGCACGGATGCAGCTGGGAACGGCTCCTCTCGCAGCACCAGCCGGCTTCCAGCTGCTGCAGGCAGGACCCCAGAGCCTCCGGGCACCAGGGGCTGTGTTGGAGCCGCACCTGAGCGCTGTGAACGGTGCTCTCCCAGCTCCTGACCCCGCTGCGAGTTGTGGTCATGGTGCTGCGGGCACAGCGAGGCTCCAAGGGACACACGGGCTTGTGCCCAGGACCTGGCTGAGCCCTGCCAGCACGGCTGCTTTGGGAGGTGCCCTGGGGCCAGGAATCCTCAGGGGGCTGTGGGGACCCCACAGGGGGCTGTCCTGGCCCGGGGAAGCTCTGCTGGTCCCAGACGTGAGCCTGGGCTGCGCTGCCCCTGGGGCTCTGCCTCGGTGTCCGAATCACGTCTCCGTGAAGGAGCCCCGGCATGGGAGCTCCGGCATCTCCTGGGCAGGGCTGGGGCTGCCCCAGGTGGCCGTGCCATGCAGGCACTGTGACAAGGGACAGCTTGAGGTACTGAGCCAGTGGCCCAAGGGGGGTTTATTAGGAACAAGAAGGTCCTGCCCAAGGCGACGCTGGTGCCCAGGACCAGCCCTGGCAGAGCGAGGCAGAGGCGAAGGCAGGGGGCAGGGGGCTGCTGCCCCACACGCCCACCCGGCACAGGTGCTCCTGGCCTTGCAGCATCGGTCACCAAGCGTCGTCACTGCCGTCACCCCCACCATATTCTTCACCATCATCATCGTCACTGTATCTGTCATCCTCTCTATAGCGATTGCCACCCTCGCCTTCATCTTCATCATCATCGTCATCGTAGTCATCATCATCATCATCGTAGCCATCATCATCCTCACCCTCATGTTCATGCTTCTTTTCCTCTTCCTCCTCCTCATCGTCGTCATCATCATCATCGTCGTCGTCGCTGTCGTCGCCCTCCTCGCTGTCTCCGTGGTCAGACTCGGGCTTCTCCCCCGCCTCGGGCTTCTCCCCACTCTCCGGCTTCCCCCCAGCCTCTGGTTTCCCTGCCACCTCTGGTTTCTCTGCCACCACAGCTGTCTCCCCACCCTCCGGCTTCCCCCCAGCCTCCGGCTTTTCCCTGCTCTCCGTTTTCCCCGCGCTCTGCGTTCCCCCCCCTGCCCCTGGCTTTGACTCAGTCTTTGGCTTTTCCCCAGCCTCCGCCTTCCCCCCGCACGCCGGCTTCTTCCCCGCACCGGGTTTCCTCCCGGTCTCTGGCTTCTCCCGCAGCAGAGGTTTGCTCCCCGGCGTGGGCTTCCCTCCACTCTCAGCTCCGGTCCCCAACCATGCCCCGTGCGGGGGCTGCTCCGCGCTGCCCCGCTCTGCCCCCGGCTGCAGCCCCCCGGCTGCGGGGCCGGGCTCCTCCCGGTGCAGGGCGTCCTCCGGACACGGCCGAGTCGCGGGGACGGCGGAGGCTGCTCCGGGCACCCCTGGGTGGGAAGAGAACGGGGCCGTCAGCACCCGGAGAGCCCCCAGGTGCCAGCAGGAGCCACCTGGGCATCCCCTGCAGGAGGGGTGGAGGAAACGGGAGGGGGGTGAGATGCGGACAGCAGCAACACAGAGACACAGAGTGAGGGGGTGAGGTGCTCAGCCAGGGCACGGGCACGTTCCTAAGTGTGCTTCTGAAGCACGGGCACCTTCCTGCTGAGCAGCAACAAGCCAGCCCAGAAACGGAGCTGCAGCGCACAACTCGCTGCTGCCGTGCATCACCTGGCAGATCTCTAAAACAGGGAACGGGACCAAAGTATTAGGATGAAGGCATCAAAACCACTGGCTTGCTGGAAAAAAGGTAATCTATAGCATGAGTTTTAAAACAGCCTGTAACTGAGACCAAAAGAAATTTGGGTTTCTAGAGAAGAACGTTCAGAAAACGATGGAGACATTTCTGCAGACGTGTTTCCATTAGAGTGCAATGGCCCCAGCACCTCATCGCAGAGCAGCAGCACATCTGGCCCACGCTGAGCCGTTATTGCCCGGTACTTTAAGCTTTAAAATAAAACAGCCCAAGTGGCAGCAAGCACGGGAGCATGCTGGAAGAAAAGGCTCAGCGGAATTTTAAACACTGCTCTAAAAATCAGCTCACTGTTCACTCAGGAAGAAATGCAATTTTCATTTCTTTGGAAGTTCGCCATTACTCCCGAGGGGAAGAGACAAAAAAGAAAAAGGAAAAAAAAAAGGGGGGGGGGGGAATGAAAAATAATTGTTCTGAGGGAATTTCCCCTTACAGATGCGTGCTCCCCTCGGGGGGTGGCTGTGACCGTGCCTGCAGCGTGCCACGAGCAGGGAGCGGGCAGCCAAGGTGCAGCCAGTGCGCGGGGACACCCCCATGTGTGGACACAGCACTTGCCCCGCGCAGGCTCTAGCAGCTGCCTGCTTCCATTCGGATGCAGAAATGCCCAGAGCAAAGCAGTCGTGGCTGTGGCCCCCGCGGGTGACAGCCCCCTCAGCCACCCTCTGCCCAGCCAAGGTCTCGTCTCGCTCCTGCCTCTGGCTTGGTCCAGCCCACGGCAGCCCTGGGCTCTGCCACGGGAGCTGCTTCTGCCCGGCGAGACACGGGGAGCAGCTCCCCAGCACCACCGTGGCTGCAGGCTCCATCCCCCATCTGGGCACTCCCCAAAAAAGAGACCCCCGGTGCCAGCAGCCCCCAGCCCCACAGCTGCTGGGGCTGGGCAGCGCCAGGCTGCACCCTCCTGGTGCTCAGCACGGTACCCATCCCAGCCGATGGCACCAGGAGCAGCCTCAGGAGGATGTCAGAGAATGCGAGAGGAGCCTTGGCTGGAGCGCAGCAGGCACCCTTAGCAGGATTTGGCCGGCTTTTAACACCTGGCAGAACTCAAAGATCCCAAGCCGTAAGCAAGGGTTAAACCTCACAAGGGCTGCAAGCCTCGGCAGAAAGCTCTCCTGAACACCGGGGTTAAAGCAGACACCAAGGCACACAACTCCCAAGACCCAGGCTGTCTCCTCGGGGCGTGCGGTGCTCACCTGCGGCGGGCGCGGCGCGCAGCGGGGTGCTCAGGGCCAGGAGCCCCAGCAGGAGGCTGCCGCTCGCCCACATGCTGCCAGCTCGAGTGCCCGGGTGGCGCCGGGCGGGGATTTAAGGTTCCCCCCCGGGAGAGGCGGCGAGGGCCGAGGAGGCGGCCCCGGGAACCTCCCACGTCCCACGTCCCGTCACAACACCGCCGCTCACTGCGGAGACACTCAGGACACCAGCGGCACCCGGCTGCACTGCCACGGAGCAGTGGGAGAGGATGCTGGGCAGCACAGCTGCACGCTGCAGGCAGCCCCTGGAGGCTTTACTGCTGCTCGAGGCTGTGAGCTGGCTCTCCCTCGAGGCTCACTTTGGTCCGTTCTTTGTTCTTCGCAGGCGTCTTCCCCTCTGCGGGTGTTTGTGATGCCAAAAGTGCTTTCCCCCTGGGGCACTTTCCCGGCTCCAGGCAGTGCCCTGGAAGGCGTGAAGCAGCGTCCCATCGCCCCAAGGAGCTCAGCGCTCCATGCACACACATTTGCACTGTTGGCTTTGTGATTTTTTATACTTTACAAACAGCTGGAAGAAGTTCTCTTGTCAGACAGAGCACTGTGCCGCAGCACGGCCAGTTGCAGAAGGTGACGTGCGGGGCAGTGCGGGGACTGCATGCCTGGAAGTGGGCAGGTGCAGGGCCCGTGCTGCCCAACCTGCGTGGGAGGACGGCTCCCTGCTCTAAGTGCAGGTTTCCTCCTCTCCTTGTGGCCGTGACTCAATTCCCGTGCTATTTCCCCGCAAACTTCCCGTGTCTGCCACGTTCCCGCACTCCGTGTGTCACAGCCCCAGGCCCTACCCAGGCAGGTGCCCCCATTGCTGCAGCCGGCGGTGCTGAGCAGGGCCTTGTGCCGTGCCACCCCTGCGCCCTGCTGCCTCCCACACCACCCTCGGGCACGTGGTGCTGCCAAGGGACCCCCAGCATGGCTCAGGTGCCGCGGGGAGCCTTGGAAAATCCATCCCCAAAAATCCCCAGGCCCCTTTTGCAGGTCTCGCTGCAGTAGTTCCACAGCCAGGTTACACACAGTGTGCCAGATTTGCCTCCCAAAGCCCCTCCCCAGCCTCCAGAGCACTGGATCAGCCCCTGCGCAGCCCCTCGGTGGCTGCAGCTCCCCGGTCTCCTCCTGGCACGCTGCCGGACCCGAGCACCCAGCGGTGGCACCGGCCGCAGCCGGCACTGACACACACCGGCCCCGAGCACCCCGGATGAGACGTTGCAGGGGCCGGTAATGACAACTCTGCAATTATCTCCATTACTCCTTAGCCACAGATTCCTATCTACTTCCTCCCTACCTCAAATAATGACTAAGGCGCGGGGTGAAACCCGGCCGGTGCGAGCAGCCGGGACTCTCGGTGTGACCTGAGCGGCAGCTCCCTGAGGAGGGCTCCCAGGGGCACTGCTTCGACGGGCACTGTCCTTGCTCCTTTACAAATCCACTGCTGCTCATCTACTGCAGGGAAAAATAAATAAAGAAAAAAAAGGAACAAAGCACAAACTACCGAGCGAGAGCCAACCAGCTCAGGAGGTACTCGGGAAGAACAGAATCTTCTGTGCATTCCCTGATTGTGCAAATAAAGTTGCTAATAACTTGGAGCAACCAGGATTGTGTGTAAAAAGCCCGATACTGACAAAATGAAGCTGCGGCAGCACGGTGACTGGCACGGCCACACGGCAGGGGCAGATTGTGCAGCCGCCCAACTTCAGCCAGGTGAAACAGCCCAACCACGCGGGCAGGGGGGAGGCCGCAGGCAGGTGCAGGCAGGGGAAGCGCAGGCTGGGGGTCTGGGGCTGATTCTCTGGAAGTGGCAGCACCAAAACACAGCCGGGGCTTCACCAGCCCTGCAGCAGCCCCTGGGCACACGGCGAGAGGGCCTCAATGTTGTGTCTCTGAGTCTCTTTATCTGATTTATTTTATTTATTTATTTTATTTTATTTATTTAATTGATTTAATTGATTTATTTTATTTTATTTTATTTTATTTATTTATTTTCTTTCTCTCGGAAGCCCCAAGACACCCTGTTGCCACCACCACGCCCGCCGAGCACTCTGCCTGCTCCTGCAGCAGGCTCAGCCGCACCCAGCGGCTGCCGGGGCCGGGGCCGGGGCCGAGGCCCGTCCCGGTGGCGGTGGCGGTTCCGGTGCCGTTGCCATGGCAACGCCGCTTCCGCCCGTCGCCGCCTGATGACGTCCCGAGGCGGGGCCGGGGCCTTCCGGGTGCCGCGCGGCCGCGGGCCGGGAGCGGGGCGCGATGGGCGCCGCCCGCGACGCGGAGCAGCAGCCGGGGCCGCCGGGCGAGGAGGGCCCGGGGGAGGCGGAGGAGCAGCCGGGGGGCTCGGTGAGGCGGGCGGGGGGCGCTGGGGCGCGGCGGGGCGGCGGTGGAGGCGGCGGGCGGGCGGGCGGCTGACGGCGATGTCCCGCAGAGCCCCTGGAACATCATGATCAAGCACCGGCAGGTCCAGCGGCGCGGCCGGCGCTCGCAGATGACCACCAGGTACGGCACCGGCACCGGGGGACCGGCACCGGGGGGCCAGGGGGGGGCGGCCCGGCCGGGCCCCGCGCCCCCTCCCACCCCGCCCCCCTTTTCCTGACCCTCCCCCCCCTCCGCCCGCAGCTTCACCGACCCGGCCGTGTCCATGGAGCTGCTGCGGGCCGTGCTGCAGCCCAGCATCAACGAGGAGATCCGGGGGGTCTTCAACAAGTACATGAAGGTGAGAGCCGCGGGGGGCTGCGTGCTGCCGGCCTGGCTGGGCCGCTGGGTGCTCACCCCCACCACCACCCACCCCGTGCCGCCCCCCCAGTTCTTCCAGAAGGCCGCTGCCAACGTGCGCGATAACGTCGGGGAGGAGGTGGACCCCGAGCAGCTCATCCAGGAGACGTGCCGGAGCTGCCTGGAGCAGGTGGGCGCAGCGAGCGAGGCAACAGGCTGAGAATGGGGCGGGGGGGGGGCCCTGGGGCGGCCACCCCCGGGGCGTTGGGTTCTGTGGTGGCCAGCTGGTGGTGGGCCGGGTGTGAGATCCCCGGCCACAGCCTTGAAACGTCTCCTGGCTGGGACCCTCTGCTCAGAGCGACCTCTGCACGCAGATCGCCTTCACAGGGCAGAGCAGGGGGTGCTGCCGGGTCCCCACAGCCAGGTAACCCCCCCCTTCTCCTCCTGCAGGCCAAGCTGCTGTTCTCTGACGGCAAAAAGGTTGTGCCCAGGCTGCCCCACGAGCAGGCAGGACCAAAGGTAAAAGTCGTCGTTCCCAGAGATTCAGTGATGTGTAGGAGCTGGGAGGAGCAGGTGGAGGGGCTGGAACTGCCCCGTTCTCTGCCTGTTCCTTGTCAGATTAGAGGAGTGGGGGTGGGCTTTAGGTGGGCTGCGCAGCACTGTGTCAGAAAGCTGCAGGGCAGCAAAGTGGGGCTGTCACCGAGACCTCCCTGCCCAGCAGCTGCGAGGAGCTGCAGCTGGGAGCATTGGGTGGGGTGGGAGGGGGAGCCCAGAGAGCACCGCAGCCCCCAGGCACAGCCCCTGTTATCACATTCCTCTTCCAGCGTGCCCGGCAGTTGGATGAGGAGTTGAACCGTCGCGGAAGCCCCGTTCCCAAAAAGGTAGGAGAGCTTTCCCCAAGGGACTGTATGTTTGGGAAGGCTGGAGCCTTGCTCCTGGCTGTTCCTCGCTGCATGTGAGCAGCTTCTGTGATGGCTCAGAGGAGCTTGCTCTAGTGCCAGCCAGCATTAGTGCACACAGTTAAAAGAGCGGCTTCCCAAAGAGGGGACAGAGAGACGAAAGGGTTCTCTCCCCTCGTGCTGATGAGAGACTTTATTCCCTGCAGAGAAAGGGACGGCCTCCAGGACAGAGCCTGTCGAACGATCGCGGGGTCTCGGGCATGGCTGCGTGAGTACGGCCCCGAGCTGCAGGGGGTGGGGGGGAGCGAGGCCGGCTGAGGCAGGGAGCAGGGAAACTCTGCCCGGAGCTCCTGCCCGGCACCACGGGGAGGTGCGGGAGGCGTGAGAGGGCAAGGTTGGGGCTGAGGTAGAGCTGCAGGAGGCAGAGGCCTGCCCTGCCGGGAAGCAGTTTGGGACGGGTCCAGATGGGTGGTTCAGGGGGCTGTGAGACCGGTGGGTCACGGGCAGAGGGGGGACCGAGATTGTGCAGCAGAGGTGAGGGTCCGGAGGCGGGCACTGCAGGGAGGTGGGAGGGGGTCTGGAAGGGCTGGAGCTCAGATCCCTGCTGCTGGGAGCTCACAGTGTCTTTGTTGCCCCACCGGGACCCACCCTTACTTCGTTTTCCTTCCCCGTAGGTGGAAGCTCAAAGTCTCTGAGCCCGTGAGAAGGGATGGACCAAAGGTACTGGCTGGCCGACGCCGCTGGGCTCACCCTCTCCTCCCCTTCGCTTCCTCCCGCAGAGCCCTGCCTGGTGGCAGCTCAGGACAGGCCCGGGGCTGTGCCCTGCCGGGCTGCTGCAGTGCCGGGAGAGAAGTGAGAAGAGAAGTGCCTGGGAGCCTTTCTTGCCTCCTCCAGACACTGTAGCCCGTAGCTCTGTGGTGTGTGCAGCTGTTAGCAGACCCAGGCGAGCCGTAGCAGTAGCCAGGAGGATCCCACAAGTGTTTCCCCTGGGGGAAACCGCTTAGATCAGCGCAGGGTGATAGCAGCAGGCTCCCTCCTCTGAGGCAATCCAGAGGTCTGTGGCTCCCTCCCAAGCCGAGGGGCGGTTCTGAGGTTCCCCGTCTGAGCGCCGAGGCTCGTGGAGCACTGGCCGGCACCAGCTTCATTTCTAATGCTGCCCCTTTTCCAATTGCTCTGTAGTGGGATCCATCCCGACTGACTGAAACCACAACCTTTGTGCTGGGATCTCGAGCAAACAAGTAAGGAACGGCCCTGTTGATGGAGGGTGGTGTCTCCAAGGCAGGAGCCTGTAAGACTCCTCCGTCACTTCACTTCTCTGCCTCGGAAGCAGTAGGAAGGGCTGGGGAGGAGAGGAGGTGTCCCCGTGCCGCGCAGCCCCCCTCCGCCCGGCTCTAACGCCCCCCTCGTGTTCCTCTTTCAGAGCTCTCGGGATGGGAGGAACAAGAGGGCGGCTCTACATCAAGCATCCCCACCTCTTTAAGGTCAGGCTCCGCGGCGGGACGCTTCCTCCTCGGGGTTCTCTCGGCAGCCGTTGGTGATGGGAGCCGGGAGCTTTATCTCGCTCGGCGATTCCTCCACGGCCCCGTCTCGTCTCAGGGCACACCGCCGGGGCACACGGCCACACGGCCACCGCCCGCAGCCAGGGCGAGGCCAGGCAGGGCCGTGCCCCCCTCCGCCAGCCCCCGAGCGCTGGCTGGGCTCCGTCCCGGCAAGAGGTGGGGGGTCCGAGCTGGGTGGGGGGGAGCATCGCCCGCGCTCAGCCAGGCCCTCGCTGCTTTATTGCAGTACGCAGCCGACCCGCAGGATAAGCACTGGCTGGCAGAGCAGCAGCACATGAGGGCCACTGGGGGCAAGATGGTGAGTACGGCCCGGCCGCGCGCCGCGGGAGGCCGCCGGCAGGACAGGCACAGGCAGGGGCAGGGGCAGGGGCGCTGCCGGGTGCTCGGCACCCCGGGCACCCACTGGGTGTGCTGCTGGGGGGCAGGGGGGGGGTGGGGGGGCGCTCCCGGTGCCGCTGCCCCCCCTGCCCCGCCGTGCCCAGCGCCCCTCTCGCCCCGCGCAGGCCTACCTGCTGCTGGAGGAGGACATCCGCGACCTGGCTGCCAGCGACGACTACAGGTGAGGGGACCCCCGGCACGGCGCCCCCCCGGTGCCCTCCCGGTGCCCCCTCAGCCCAGTGTCCCCCCCATCCCGGTGTCCCCCCCGGTGTACCCCCCAGCCCAGTGTCCCTCCTGATGCCCCTCACCCCGGTGCCCTGTGCCCCCCCCCGGTGCCCCCTCACCCTTAAGCCCCCCCCATGCCCGGTGCCCATTAACGGTGCCCCCCCCCGGTGTCTCCCCTGGTGCCCGCTCACCCCTGTACCCCCCAGCCCAGTGCCCCCCCCAGTGCCCATCTGGCCCAGTGTCGCCCTCAGCCCGGTGCCCCCCACCAGTGTCCCCCCTTGGCCCGGTGTCCCCCCCAGCCCGGTGCCCACCCCCCTCCCCAGCCTGGTTCCCCCCCCCCCGGTGCCCCCCCTCCCGTTCCCGCTGACCCCGTGCTGTGCCCGCAGGGACTCGGGCGAGCTGCGGCTGGAGGAGCTGAAGCCGTTCGTGCCGCCGCTGTGGATGACGGAGAAGATGCAGAAGTACATGGAGACGCTGCGCGAGGGGGGCGACCCCCCCCCGCCGCCCCCCGACGGCCCCCCCGCGCCCTGAGCCCCCCCCCAATAAAGCCGCTGCTTCGCACCCGCCTCCTGCGCCTGCCCCTTTAAGAGCTCGCGGGGGCGGGACCTGCGCCGCGCCTCTGCGCCTGCGCCTCGCGGGGAGGGGCGGGGCCTCCCGCCGTCTCCACGGCAACCGCGTCCTCGGCGGGCGCCCATTGGCCGGCGCTGGAGCTGCCGCGCTCCGATTGGTCCGCGCGGGGCCGGTTTGAAACATTCAAACGGGCGCGGGAAGGGGGCGGGGCCGGGCCCGGCACCCAGCGGGGCCGCAGCGGAGCCGCACGGAGCCGCCATGGCCTCGCAGAACGCGGACCCCGCCGCCGCGCTCGGAGCCGCCGCCAGGAAAGGGGCCGAGGCCGGGCCCCCGGCTGCGCGCGGCTCGGTGGGGAAGAGGTGAGCCCGGGGCCGCCCGGGAACGGCCCGGTACCGGTAACGGCTCGGGAACGGCCCGGTGCCGGTCGCGGTTGCCCGCCCGGTGCCGGTGCCGCTGTCGGTAACCCGCCCGCTTCCCCCTCAGGCTGCAGCAGGAGCTGATGACGCTGATGGTGAGTGGGGGGCCGGGGCTCGGGGCTCGGGGCCGGTGCCGGTCCCGGTCCCGGTGCCGGTGCCGGTTGCTGACGGCGCTGCCCCGCAGATGTCCGGGGACAAAGGCATCTCCGCCTTCCCCGAGTCCGACAACCTCTTCCGATGGATCGGCACCATCGACGGCGCGGCCGGCACGGTGAGCGGCACCCCGGGACCCCCCCCGGGACCCCCTGGTCCTGCTCCGGTTCCCTCCCGTTCCCCCCCGGTCCCCCTCTCCCGGTCCCCCCCCCGCCCCCCCGCTAAGTGCCGCCCCCAGGTGTACGAGGAGCTTCGCTACAAGCTGTCCTTGGAGTTCCCCAGCGGGTACCCCTACAACGCGCCCACCGTGCGCTTCCTCACGCCCTGCTACCACCCCAACGTGGACCCGCAGGGCAACATCTGCCTGGACATCCTGAAGGACAAGTGGTCGGCGCTGTACGACGTGCGCACCATCCTGCTGTCCATCCAGAGCCTGCTGGCAGGTGGGGACGGGGCGGGGACGGGGACGGGACGGGGACCCCCGCAACGGGGACCCCGCTCACCCAGCCCTCGTCCCACAGAGCCCAACATCGAGAGCCCCCTGAACACGCACGCGGCCGAGCTGTGGAAGAACCAAGCGGGTGAGTGCCCCCGGGGGCGGCGGCGCAGCCCCTGGCCCTGCCCTGCTGCCCCCCCCCCCCCCGGCCCTGAGCCCCCAGCCCCCTCTCTCCGCAGCCTTCAAGAAGTACCTGCGGGAGACGTACGCGAAGCAGGCCAAGAGCAAGGAAACCTGACCCCTGCTGCGCCGCCCCCTGTCCCCGTCCCCCCCCCGCCGTTCTGTATCATAGGCTGTTTTTAAGTTAATTTTGGAGTCCGAGCTACGGTTAATGTATAAATAAACGCATGTTTATAACTCTTCCCCCGTCTGCCTGAAGGTTTTGCTGCGTTCAGAGGTCCCGCGGTGCTGGACAGCTGCGCTGGGGGCGGGGGCTGCTGTGGGGGGGCTGCCACATCTCCGAGGCAGCAGCCCCGCACCCCCCTGCGAGCGTGGTGGGGAGAGGAAGGAACACGGACACCTGTTGGGTCAGGGGGGCTTTATTAACACTCCCCAGGACAGCTCCTGGGGTGGTGGGGACACACGGGGCTCCGTTGTGGGGGGCTGGCCCTGCTGCCCCGGCTCACAGGACCCTGCAGCAGGGCCCTGCACGAGGCCCCGGCCCCTGGGATGTGGGGGCTGCGCCCGGCCCCCCCGGCCCTGCCGCCTGCGTGGCCTCCACCGTCCAGAGGGGGATGTTGGCCGTGCTCTCCATCTCCGCCAGCACGGCCCTCACCTGCTCCATCTCCTCCTCCAGGCACGGCGAGGCCGGGGGCTGCTCGGGGCGCCCCCCCCGCCGGCCCCCCAGCCCGGTGCGCAGCAGGGCCGCGCCGCCCCCCTGCAGGGAGAAGAGGCGGCAGAGGCGCTGGGCCTGGCGCAGGTCCTGCAGGAACAGCTCCAGGGCGGAGAGGAAGAGCACCCACAGCCGCTCCAGCTCCCGCCGCTCCTCGGGGCTCGCCGCCTGCCGCAGCCCCGCCAGCAGCGCGCTCCGCAGCCCTGCGGGATGGGGGGCACTGAGGGGGTCCCTGTCCCTCCGCCCGGGGCACCCCCTGCGTGCCCCCCGCCCGCCGTGCGGGTCCCTTACCGGCGCTGAGCTCCCGCGCCTCCGCGCTCCTCCCGCGCCGCTCCTCGCGCAGCCGGGGGCCGTCGGCGCTGCCCCCCAGCTGCAGCACCAGCTGCCGGTGCCCGGCCGCCGCCTTGCAGAGAGCAGCCTGGGCGGCCACGCACGTCCCCACTGCCCCCCGTGCCCCGCACGCAGCCCCTCGTCCCGGAGCCATAGGGGAGGGATCTGGATGCAGCCTGGCTGCGGTGGCCCCTGGCTCCGCGGGGATGTGACGGGCTTTGCAGCAGGGCCCTGTGTGGGGCCGGTCCCGCTCTCCCCACGGGCACTGGGCGCTTCCTGAACCCGGGAGCTCTGCCCTCACCCCTGGCGCCCCCATGGCTGCGCTCCTCCCCGGCTGCAGAGGCTGCGTGAGGCCGCAGGTCCCCGGGGAGCTCTGGCATGGGCTGGGCTGGCTCGGGCTCCCCGGACGGAGCTGCTCCAGCATCGCCTTAACCCCTGCTGGGGGGGCTGCTGCTGTCCCCCACCTTATTGCCAGGTCCCCACCTCCTTCCCTGCAGGCCCACAGGGCCCCGGGGTGATGCTGCCCCCCTGCATCCTCCACACTCCCACCGGAGCGGGCAGGAGCAGCCGGCCGGGACCCCCAGCCTGTGGGAATGGGGCCGCGCTCCCCGTCCCGCTGCTGTGGGAAGCGGCCGCTCCGCATGGAAACTCTGAGCTCAGCGCTGGCGCCTGCCCAGCAGCCCGTGGGAACCGCTGCCCCGCGCCACCCCGCTGCATGAGGGCCTCGTGGTGAGCCAGGCAGCACCGTGTGGCACGGCACGGCGTGGTGTGGGGCACGGCACAGCATGGTGTGGCACGGTGCACCCCTCCATGAGGATCCCTGCGCCCCCCTGCCCTGGGGACAGCACCGCAGCACCCTCCCCGTGCAAACCCAGCATGATCCTGTACCGGCAGCTCAGCCTTTCCCCTTTTAATGAGGCTCAACCATAAACCACATCTGACAGCGTCGAGGAAAAGCTCAGCCGCTGGCCACAGGGCGAGAGCAGGGCCCCGGTGCGGGCAGGGCTCCCGCTGTGTGGGCGGCCGGGGCCAGGCGCTGCGGCGGGGCTGCTCCCCCGGCGGCGGAGCGGGGCTGGGCGCAGCGGCTGGCCCGAGGAATGTCTGGTCCCTTACTGCACGCCCTCCATCATCTTGAGGAACTCTGCAAGAGAGCGGCGCCGTCAGCCCCCGCAGCTCTGCACGCACTGCCCGCTGCAGCCAGGGCCACCGCTCACCATCAAAGTCGATGCGGCCGTCGTTGTTCTTGTCTGAGTCCTTCATCAGGTCTTCTATGTCCTCCTCGGTGACGTGCTCGCCGGTGGCCCTGAGGATCTCGCCCAGCTCCTCGATGTCGATGAAGCCGTCCGCGTTCCTGCGGGAGAGCACGGCCAGGATGGGCCCCGCTCGCCCGCCGCGGGCAGGCACCGCGGGCAGCGCCGCCCCACTCACTTGTCGAAGATGCGGAAGCAGTTGGCCAGCTCCTCCTCGGACTTGCCCTTGGCGTCCTCTTTCATCTGGCGCACCATCATCACCAGGAACTCCTCGAAGTCGATGGTGCCGCTGCCTGCGGGGAGGAAGCGTGGCTCAGGTCAGGGCACCGGCCCTGGAACCCACCCCAGCACCCGCCACCCGCCGCTCACCATCCTCATCCACCTCCTCGATGATGGCATCCAGCTCCTCCTTGGTGGGGTTCTGGCCCAGCATCCTCATCACCGTGCCCAGCTCCTTGGTGCTGATGTCCCCGCCGCCGTCCGCGTCAAACATGTCGAAGGCAGCCTTGAACTCTGCGGGGATGGGGGGGGTCGGGGCTGGGGCCTCGGGCACCGGGGTGGGCCCTGGCCCTGCGCATCCGCCGGGCCCCAGCCCGCTCCCTGGCGCCGCCCTCGCTCACCAGCGATCATCTCCTCGCTGAGGAAGGCGCGGGCCTCCGCCTGCTGGTCCGTCTGCAAGACAAGGGGCCAAGGGGTCAGCGCCGGCCTCGCACGCCCCTGCCTGGGGGCAGCAGGACGAGGGGCTCTGCAGCGGGGCCCTGCCCAGGGTCAGGTCCTGGACCCCCTGGCCTCCCCATGGAGCCCTCGCACAGCATCACCCTACGACATTTGGGATGGAGGTGGGAGTGGTGTGCATGGTGCTGCCCATGCCCGCGGTGAGCCATGGCCCCGGGCAGCCCCAGGGCTCAGCTGCCGCCCAGCATCCACGCAGCCACCGCGAGGGCCGCTCGCTGGGGGTTCCATGACGCAGGGGCCACCGTCCCCCCCGTGCTGCCTTGGCATCCCAGGCACGCAGCACTATTTTTGGGATCTCCTCGGCTCCCCTTTTAGGAAGCAGCAGCCTGCATCCACGGGCACCTGTCGGCCCAGGATCGGGTTTCTCCTGGAGGCGCGGGCGGCGCGGGGCCGCGGCGGTGTCGCATGACCCAGTGCTCAGCTTTCAGCGCCTTCGCACAGCCCGGGTCCGGCCGGGGTGCTCCAACGTCCCCGGGCACCCGCTCACTCCCCGGGCAGACAAGTGCCCTCTTCTCCCCGGTGCACGTCCCGTGGGAGCCCTGCGCTGCCCCAATGTCCCCTGCCACCTCCCGCCTTGGCCAGCTCCAGAGCTACAGCCCATGGCACCGACCTTCCCGCAGGGGCACCCTGGCACAGCCCCGCATCCCCCGGTGCCTGCGGTGCCCAGTGCCCCTGGCCCAGCTGCAGCTCGCCCCGGCACGCGGCACCACCGAGGTTCTTACCATTGACGCCATCTCTGCTGCTCTCCTCCCCTAGGGTGTCACCACCGCACGCACCAGAAGCCCCCAGAAGCTCCCTGGCTCCCCAATTTGTAGTGTCCCCGTGCCCCCAGCCGTTGGCCCCCCAGCCCGGCAGCCTATCAGCTCCCCGGTGCAAATCCAGCCCCGCTCATTGGCAACGGGCTCATTTTACCTAATTTAGCCAAAGCGTTATTGGCCAAGAGCTGGGGATTAAACGTGGGTCTGAAGCTGGGATAGAAATTCAAGCCCTGCGGGGAGGGACACCGGAGCCTTGGCAGGAACGTGGCTCCGTCCCCTGCTCAGCCCCCCCCCGCCCCGGGGCAGCTCAGCAAGGAGGGGGTTAAAAATAGCCCCCCAGCGGGGGCATCCCCCCGACACCGGGGCTGGGGCTTCCCCGGCGTGGCCGTGCCGGACCCGGCACCATGGGCACGGCCCGATGGCACCACACGTGCCCCCGCCAAGCCCGCGGCACCGCTGGGGGCAGGCGGCCAGCTCAGGGACCGGGCTCCGTCCCCTCCCTCGCCCCCCGCAGCACCCCGGCTGCCCACCCCTGCCCGCCACCCCCACCCCTGCCCTTCACCCCTGTTTCTGGTGCTGGGCAGGCCCCCTGCAGCCCCCAGCCCCCGATGAGGGTTGGGCCGTGGCAGGGCTGTGCAGCCCCGGGGTGGGCGAGGAGCACCCGGCCCCCACGGTGGGTGCTGGCACTGCTGGCACCCAACTCCCTCATCACAGACGGGGCTGGAAAAGGCAGCGCCGCTTCGTGCCGTCGGCAGGGTGGAAACCTGCCCGGAGCCTCCTCGAAGGCTCCCAGCACAGCCCAGGGAGCGGGCGCCAGTGCCGCAGCCCCTGCCAGGGTCCCGCTGCCAGGGCCAACGGCTCGGGGGACGCGCTGGCCAAGTGGCCCGCGCCCCGTGGGGCTCCAGGAGGGCTCAGGGCAGTGCAGGCAGCACGGCACCAGGCCCGGGGGGCTCCCCGGTGCTGGGGAGGGGCGGGAGGCTGCCAGGACCCCCCTGCTGCCCACGGGAGCCGAGCTCCCCGGTGCGCCCCTCAACATGGGGGTACCGGGGGCGGCCCTGGGGCACCCCGGGCCTGCAGCGGAGCCGGGCAGGGTGCGGGGTGCTGGCGCTGGGCGCAGAGCGATGGCAGCAGCTGGGCCGGTTCCTCGATATTAATAGACGTTCCCAAGAAAGTGGCGAGGAGGGAGCAGGAATGGCCCTAAATAAGGCCGGGCGAGCGCCTGACGCCGGCCGTGGCTGCAGCCCAGCCGTGGGGGCGCGTGGCGAGCCCGGCCGGGGGCCAAGGGCAGCGGGGCCGGGGCTGCCCGGGGGCTGCTGGGGACACGGCACCGCGGGACAGGGACCCGGGATCGGGGCACGGGGGCACTTGGGGCACGGGGGCACTGCGGTATTTGGGGTGTGAGGGTGTGAGGGCACCGGGCACTGTGGCACCGGGGGTATTTGGGGTACCGGGGAGCTGATCCCCGCTCGTGGCGGTGCGGGGAGCGGGGCCCCGGTGCTGCTCGGGGCCGTTCCGGGCCGTGCCAGCCCCGCCGCGATCCGGGTTCCCGGCGGAGGCGGAGCCGCGCAGGGAGGATCCCGGGACGGGCGGCGGAGCGGCCATCGCTCGGCACCGCCCGGCGCGGCGCGGGGAGGGCGGCGGGGCCCCGGCACCGGCACCGGGGGCACCGGGAGCACCGGGAGGGGGGGGCCGGGGCCGCACCGCGCCGGGAGCGGGGCTCCGGGCAGGCGGGGGGGGGGGCCGGGGCCGGGTCCCGCCGCCGCTCCGGAGCCGCCCCGTGCCCGGTGCCCGTCCCGGCGGGCGAGGGCGGCCGGGGCCGAGCCGTCGTCGCCGTCCCCCGGCCGTGGGCATGGCCGCCCGCATCCTGCACCGCCTGCGGCACGCGCTGGGCGCTGAGGGCGCCAGGGAGGAGCGGGCACACGACGGCGGCGAGGCCGAGGACTGCCCCGAGAGCTCGGAGCTGGAGGACGACACCGAGGGGCTGTCCACGCGCCTCAGCGGCACCCTGAGCTTCGCCAGCCACGAGGACGAGGACGGGGACGAGGACGAGGACGAGGAGGACGGCGCCGGCGAGGAGCCGGGGGAGCCAACGGAGCCCACGGGGGAGGCCGCGGGCGCAGAGGACGGAGGCAGGTGCCGGGACGCGGAGCCCCGGGGTGAGGCCGTGTCCCGCGGGCAGGACGGGGCCGGGCAGCCCGGTGCCCCCGCTGAGCCCCTGTCCCCGCGCAGAGTGGGACGCGGCGGCGAAGCCCCCCGGCGGCAGCCTGCTGACCCGCCAGCTGCAGGAGCTGTGGAGGAAGTCGCGGAGCAGCCTCGCACCACAGCGGCTGCTCTTCGAGGTCACCAGCGCCAGCGTGGTTAGCGAGCGCTCCTCCAAGTACGTGGTGAGTGCGCCCCGCGCGGGGCCGTGCCGCGGGGCCCCCTGCGGCCGGGCGTCCCGGGGCGGGTGGGCGCTGATTTCTCTCTGTCTCTCCCTGTGCTGCTCTGATGGTGCTGGCGGCTCAGATGAGCCTCAGGTAACTACAGCCGGCTGGGCCTGCTCGCTCTGCTGGGCCAAACCCTGCCCCGGGGCAGGGCGGCGCGGGGCACCGCATCCCTGTCCCTGTCCTTGTCCCGGTGGCTCCTCTGCTGCGTGCGTTTGGCTGTGTCCTGGCCCCACCAGGAGGCCGTGTCCCCCTCCACGGCGCCCCCCTGACCCCCAGCTCCCTGCCTGCAGCTCTACACCATCTACCTGATCCGCTCCGGCCAGTTCGACAAGGCGCCCGCCACCATTGCCCGGCGCTACTCGGACTTCGAGCGGCTGAACCGCCGCCTGCGCAGCCGCTTCGGCTGCGACATGGCCGGCATCGCCTTCCCCAGGAAGAGGCTGCGGCGCAACTTCACGGCCGAGACCATCGCCAAGCGCAGCCGAGCCTTCGAGCAGTTCCTGTCCCACCTGCACTCCATCGCCGAGATCCGCCGCTCCCCCGAGTTCCTCGAGTTCTTCTTCCTGCAGGACCTGCGTGCCGCCCAGCGCCTGACCTGCACCGGCATGTACCGCGAGGCCCTGGCCACCTGGGCCAACGCCTGCCGGCTGCAGGAGCGGCTGGGGGTCTGCGGCTCCGGCCGCTTCCTGCTGACGCTGGCCGGGCTGGCCGTGTGCCACCAGGAGCTGGACCAGCTGGGCGAGGCGCACGGCTGCTGCGAGCAGGCGCTGCAGCTGCTGGAGGCGCAGGACAGCCACCCGCTGCTGGGGCCCTTCCTCCAGGCTCACGTCCACCTGGCCTGGAAGGTGGGCAAGGACAAGCGGCGCTCGGAGGCCCGGCTGCAGGGCCTGCAGGAGGCCGGGCTGCCCCTGCAGCAGCAGCCCAGCCTGAAGGAATGTCTGATCAAGGAGCCTCTCGAGTGAGGCCCCGGCCGGCACCGGGCTCAGGGTCCGTGGGGGCAGCACGGCGGCAGCACCAGGGCAAGAGCCGGGGCAGCGAGGGTGAGGATGGGGCACGGAGGCAGAGCGGTGTCGGCACAACCCACGCGTGGTGGCTGGGAGCAGGGCCAGCCCCTCTGGGAGCTGCCCCTCGAAAATGCACTTTCTGTGTCAGTTCCTCCGGCGCCGGGTGCTCGCTGCCCGCACCACCTGCCGGGGGGCCGGCTGCTCCCTGCGGGGGCTGCCCGAGGTAGACGGGGTTCAGCCGGCACGCACAGGCAGCGCGTTAAAGGGACAGGAAGGCTTCTGGCCAGGAGCTTCCAGTAACACATAATAAAAAGGACTTTATTAAATAAAGTCTTGGTAGGAAAAAGAGCAGGGGTTCCTGCTGTGTCTGCTCAGCTTCACTTCCCCCTCCGGCACTGCACGGGGGCACCCATCGGCGGGAAGCTCTCACGGCTCCCAGGCCAGGAGGTGGGAACGGCCTCGTTCCCTTTCACTGCGGCTGCTGGGGCCCCTCTCCCGCCCAGCCCTGAGGAGGAGGCTGAGGTGCAGCAGCAGGAGCAGCAGCAGCTCATCCATGAGGGCACGGGGAGGTGAGGAGAAGTGAGAAGGGGAAGCCAACGATTGTCACGGTTGCGCTTTCCCCTCCTCTGACCCCATCCGTCGTGGGGCACAGCCACCCCCAGAGCCCTGACGCTGCCCTGCCACGAGAAGCTCCCTCGGAATCATGCAGCCGCCCAGAGCCAAGGGGACAAACTCCAGGGGACAGCTCGCCCGTTCACGTGATGGCTTTATTTACACTGGGTGAAGGCTGGCTGAGCTCACGTTACACGCTGACAGGCGGTGAAAGTGCCGCCCGTGCAGGTCCAGCTCAGCACCGAGGTGCTGGCACCAGCCCTCCGGCAGGCCGGGCTCCGCAGCCCATTCTCTGCTGCCCCTTCCTCTGCTGCCCGGGGTTCCGCCTTCGCCCACGGCCAGTTTGGTGCAGGCTCCTCCGCAGCCCTCAGCCCCGGCACAGGGAGCTTGGTGCCACTGCTGCCGCCGGCGCCCTTGGCTAGAGTTTACTCTGGGTCGGTTTCTGCTCCACCCGGATGACTCCTTCCTGTGCGCAGGTGACAGCCAGGACCCCGTCCCTGCGCCACAGGCGCCCGTGCACCAGCCCTCGGCACCCACCTGCAGGCAGCGCCCGTCAGACCGCGAGCCCTCCGGTCCCCGCCGGGGCAGGGCCGGCCTCGGCCACGCGGTGCCCAGGAACCGGGCAGGACTCACCCGCCCAGGGGCTCTCGCACTCGTAGAGCATCCAGTGGTCAGCGCGGAAGGGAGCGTGGAACCACATGGAGTGGTCGAGGGACACCATGAACTTGACGTTGTACTGCCGGTGGGGCAGCAAGGCCGTGCCCAGGAAGGCGTAGTCCGAGATGTAGGCGGCCACGCAGCAGTGCGCCTTCATGTCGGCATCTCCTGCAAGGAACCAGCGCGGTGCTGCGGGACAGCCCTGGGCAGGAGCTGTGGCTCTGAGCTCCGTGTCCCCAGGGCCGGCTGTTACCCAACAGAACCAGTGCAGCTTTATACCCACTGCCCTCGCCGTGCCCCTGGCTCAATGTGGCAAACGGGCGCCGTGTCAGGCTCTGCCCCGTGGTGCTTCAGCCCCGAGATCCCCAGGCTTCCCGCAGCCCTGGGGCACAGCGGGGATCCGCGACCCCCCCAGCCCTGTCACAAGCGTGCTGTGCAGCCGCAGCCCCAGCCCCCGGCTCGTGCAGCATTGGGAGCCCCTCGGGGCAGTGCCCACCTATGTAGCCGCGGGCTCGCACCCAGAAGAGCTGCTTCGGCTCCTGCTGCTCCGTGGTGAATATATCCGGGGGGTTGACGGGTTTGATATCAATCGGCACATTTTCCGCTTGGATCTTGTTGAGGCGCCTTCTGTATTTCTCTGCCAAGTTGGGATTCCTTCGGACAACACGGAGGAGTGACCTCAGTGCCCCGCGTCCTGGGAAGGCCCAGGGCAGGGCTGACGGCAGCGGACTCAGCCCAGAGCCCCCCCAGAGGGGTGGGAGGGTCCCGGTCCTGGCCCCATCCTGTGCGTTTGAGAACTCCGCAGGCCGTCACCGCGATCCTCTCCCCTCCGCTTCTGCCCCCGCACCTCCCCAGGGCCCAGCAGCAGGCGCCGCGCGCCCCCCGCGCCCCACTCACTGCAGGAACCTGGCGATGAGCTCCTCCTGGGTCAGCAGCTCCTCGGGCGGCGGCACGGCGGGCATGGAGAACTGGTGCTGCAGGGGGCTGTGCTGGGACCGCTGGAAGGACGCCTGGCAGATGAGGATGGGCTGCCCGTGCTGGACGGCCTTCACGGAGCGCACCGAGAAGCTCTTCCCGCTGCGGGTCCGCTCCACCTGGTACAGCACCGGCACCGCGGGGTCCCCTGGCACACACAGCACAGCCCCGGCACCGTGCGGCGGCCGCAGCTCGGGGCACCCCGACCGGCACGGCCCCCCCCGGGCAGCGGCACCGCTCGGGGGGTCTCAGCCCTGGCCCCTCCGGCCCCCCCCCGTTCCCACCGGTGCCCCCGTTCCCCCTGTTGCCCCCGGTTCCCCCCCAGTGTCCCCCGTTCCTCCCGGTGCCCCCCGTTCCCCCCATTCCACCCCCGTTCCCCCGGTCCCCCCGGTTCCCTCGTTCCCCCCCGGTTACCCCCAGTGCTCCCCGGTTTCCCCTTGCTCCCCCCCGTTTCCCCCCCGACCCCCCCGTTCCTCCCGGTGCCCCCCGTTCCGCCCCGCCCCCCCTGGTCCCCCCGGTTCCCTCGTTCCCTCCCGTTCCCCTCCAGTGCCCCCCAGCCCCCCCGTTCCCCCGGTGCCCCCCATTCCTCCCCGTTCCCCCCGTTCCCCCCATTCCGCCCCGGTCCCCCCGGTGTCTCCCCCTTTCCCCCGTTCCCCCCGGTGCCCCCGTTCCCCCCATTCCACCCCCGTTGCCCCGTTCCCCCCGGTTCCCTCGTTCCCTCCCGTTCCCCTCCAGTGCCCCCCACCCCCCCCGTTCCCCCGGTGTCCCCCATTCCTCCCCGGTCCCCCCGGTGTCTCTCCCGTTCCCCCGTTCCCCCCGGTGCCCCCCGTTCCCACCTGCCCTCACGAAGTAGCAGTGCAGGGAGTGCACCTGCTCGTCGCGGCTCACGGCGTGCGCGGCCGCCACCAGGGCCTGCCCCACGATCTGCCCCCCGAACAGGCGGCGCGTGGCGGGCACCCAGTGGTGCCGGCCCCTAAGGGGACAGCGGCGGCGGCGTCAGCGGGGGGCGGCGGGGCCGGGGGGGGGCGGCAGGGGGGGTGCGGCCCGGCCCCGCGCACCGGAACAGGTCGGTGTCCAGGCGCTCCAGGCTCAGCACGGTGTCGCTGAGCGCTCCCCGCAGGTCCCCGCCCGCCTCCGCCATCCCCGCGGCCACCCGGAACCGGCACGGACGGCGGGGCGGGAGGCACCGCCCACGCGGCGGGGGCGGCGCGTGATTGGTCCGTCGCGCTGTCGGTCGGCGGGAGGGTGGAGGAAAACGCGGAGCCGGTTGGCGGTCGAGCTGCCAATCCGCAGAGCGCGGCCGTGATTGGCCAGCCTGCGGGAGGGGGGCGGGACCGGGACTGGGGGCGGTTCTCGGGGCTCTACTGAGCGCCTGAGGGGGGCGCTGCCGGAGTCGTGACGTCACGGCGCGCCCGGCGGTGATTGGCGGATTCCCCGCGAGGGGGCGGGGCGTGCCGGGACAGGACCCCCCGCGGCGGACCCGGTACCGCTGCCGGTTCTGGTGCCGGTTCCGGTTCCGGCCGCGGCCAGGGCGGTTCCGGTTCCGGTTCCGGTTCCGGGGCCCCGCCGGCAGCACGGGGCTGTCCGAGGGGCCCGGGGCCGCCCCCTGCGGGAGTCCCGCGGGGGCTCGGGGCGCGGCTGCAGCTCCCGGGGGCTCCTCCAGGGCCGGTCCCTGAGCGCTCGGTGCTCCCGGGCCCTTGGGGCTGCAGCCGGGCGGGGCTGCGGAACGCCCCGAGGGGCAACGAGGGGAGGCAGCGAGGGGCTGACGGGCTCCTCAGGCAGCCCGGGATGGCTGCACCGAGCCGGGGGGGCCCCGCGGCGGCTCAGCGCAGCCGGCAGGCACCGGGCGGGTCCCTGGGGATGCCCACGGGGCGGGCCCAGCCCGGGCTCCTGCGGCCCGGCCTGCACGGCCCGGCTGTGCTGGGCTCGGGGAGAAACGCCTCGCAGCCAGAGGGGCCGGGCAGGCGGCGGCACAAGGCGGCGGCACAAGGCGGCGTCCTTCCCCGCGGCAGGGATCAGCCTGAGGAGCTCCACGAGTCCCTGACCGGGCCGTAACGGGGACGGAGCCGCTGACCCGACAGCAGGAAACGCGGCTGGCAGCGAGCCCGGGGTGGCGCGGGGCAGGAGGTGAGGGGATAACAGCGTGTGATGGAGCTGAGTGATCCGCGGCCAGCGCCCGCAGGTCCCCCAGCACCCAGCTGCGAGTTGTGCAACGCCAATAAACCGGCCCGGGAGCTGCCGTGTCCCTGCGGCCGCCCCTCCCCTGCCAGCGGGGCAGCCGGGCCTCTCCTGGCTGCGGCAGGGTTTCTGACACCCCCTCCTGCCTCTCTAATTTCATCTCTCGTTTAATTTCATTGCCCTGCAGTTAGGTGTGAGCCCTTGTGCCCGGGATCCTGTGGGTGGCAATGTGTGGTGCTGGCAGCGCTGCCCGGGCGGGGAGGTTGTTTGTCTGGCCGTGGCAGCTGCTCTTAATTCCTCCGAAAATGGAACCAGAATGGAACCCGCCCTCCCTCCCACGGCCGCCTCCGCGCTGGGTGGAAGCAGGGAGCCGCTGGGGGTCACAGCCGTGCAAACAAAGCCACGGCAAAGCGCAGAGCTTTGAACATGGGGGTGGGGGACAAAAAAACACCAAAAAGAGCACACGGGGCTGTGCCCGGCCCGAGGCAGCTGCCCTGTGCCGGGGGAGCTCGGTTCCCCCTGGTGCAGCCATCCCGAGGCTGTGGGCACAGTGGGTGGCATCCCGTGGCCGTGGGGTCTGTGTGGCAGCGGGGGGCAGTGGCACCGTGCTGCGGGGCTCTCACCCCGTGCTGCCCCCAGCAGCGCCCCGCCAACACCTCGGCTTCAGGGCTGGCCCGCTGGAAGTGCCGCGTGGCCGGGGATTTCCTCCCAGACGAGGTTTTGTAACAGAATCTGATAATATCAAATCTGGCTGTCTAAACATAGCGCTGTGTTTCCTAACACACCTTGCTCCAAGCTCACAGCTGCGTTTCCACCGGGAGGCTCTGCCTGGGAGGCTCTGCCTGCCGCCCTGCCCGCCTTGCGCACCCCCTGCCCTTGGGGATGGCTCCGTGCGGCTCTGTGCAGGCAGCACCAGCTGCAGTTGGGAGCTGCCTGTAAGGTCTGTGCAGGCCCGCAGCCAGAGCCCGCGGTGCGGACTGGGATGGGGGTCAGGCCCTGGGCTCCCCCCGGAGCACCCAGCAGCTGGGGACACAGCGGGCACCAACCTCCCGCCGCGAGCAGCTGCACGGCCACGGCGTGCGCCCGAGGGGCTGCTCCCTGCACGTGGGGCAGCGCCCGGCCCTCCCACCCTTCACGGGGAGCACAGGAAATCAGTCATCCCCTTCTCAGCGTAAACATCTTTCCCAAGAGCGAAACTGCGTGGCCGGGACAGGGCCCGGCTGTAATTTACCTCCACGTGAGGCCAGGCAGCGGGGCCGGGCAGGACACCCTGCGGCAGCACCCACACCTCCTGGGCAGCCCCGTGCGCGCTGCAGTGTCTCACCAGACACAGGACCCCGCACCGGGGCCACTGGTGCCGGCCCCCAGCAGTGCTCGGAGCCGCTCAGGGCTCCAGGAGGAGCTGCTCGAGCACACAGCGCCCGCACCCCCTGCCCGGTCCCCCCCTGGCACCGCTCCCCCTCCGCAGCCCCCCGCACCAGCACTGCTCGGGCGGTGGCTGGAGGCGTTGTGTTTATTGCTCTGCCCCGCGGTGCCCCCGAGCGCAGCCGTACCCGGAGAGGGGGGGGAGGTCCCCGTGGGGTGCGGGCGCCTCACTCGTGTTTGCAGAAGTGCTTCAGCGGCGGGGGCAGGTCCAGGCCGTCGATGGCCAGGCGGTGCACGACGTGCTTCTGGATGACCAGGCGGCACAGCGTCTGCAGCGAGGGCACTGCGAGAGAGCACAAAGAGGCAGGGGCTGGGGCTGCCGTGTGCCGAGAGGGCTGTGGGGGGGGCTCCCCGCTGGCCCCATGGTTTCGGGCAGCATTTGGGGAGTTTGTGTGCCGCAGGGCAGCTCTCGCCCGCAGAGCTTCGGGCTGTGCCGGGCGCTCCAGCCAGGGGCAGAGCTGGAGAGCTCCGCAGTTCTGACCCTAATTGCTGCCCGACTCTGGCTGTTTTGCATTTGTTTTCTCTCCGGGCTGCCACGTGGGCCCCCCGAGGCTCGCGTGGTGTTTTCCTTTCATCCCCGTCCCCCGGGTGGCCTGCACGCCTGCCAGACTGCGTGAGCAACTTCTCCGGCAGCCTGCCCGCAGCACGGCTCACATGATGCTCCTGGGCCGCCTGCCTTCCCGCGGGGCTCGGCCCCTGCCCCGCGCTGTGACACAGCCGTTCCTCTTCTGTGAGCTCGCGGCGGCCCCCAGCAGTGTGGGTGTGGGGTGGCCCCCGCTCGCCGACACAGCCCGGAGCTGGCTCGCTGCCTGCGGGTCGTGGTTCCTCACGAGGAGGAGCACAGCCCACGGTGTCACACAGCCCACGGTGTCACGCTGCCCTCGCTCTCACGTGGCCACCGGGGCCTCGAGACAGCAGCAGGCAAAGCCAAGCTCTGCTGCGCCGCACCGGCTCCTGGCCTTGTGCTGCTCTGGGACGTCTGCAGCGCTTATCTTTATCTCCGTGTGCCAGGGCCACGAGGCTGCGGCGCGCTGAGTGCTCGGTGAGAAGCTGCAGCCGCCCTGGGCCCCGGCAGCTCCGTGCCCTCTCCCTTCTCCCTGCCCCCTCGCAGTGCTGCGCTCCGGCTGCTCTCCTCTGGGTTTCACTTCACTGTCTGCCCCCGAACTGATTTGTAAACCCAGAGGAAGTGTTGCAGCAACAGCAGCTGCCGAAATCTGCGGAGGGCCAGGAGCACGGCCTGCCCAGCTCGGCAGCCTGCAGCAGGGAGCTGGGTGCCGGTCACCCCCCGCACCGCCGGGTTCAGCCTTGGGATGGCAGCGGCTGAACTTTGGGCCAGTGGCAGAGGCGCTGGGTGCAGGAGGCCGCCTGCCCCGGGGCTGGAGTCTCGCTGAGCTGTCTCTGGCCTTGTGATGCAGGCAGCCGATTATCTCCCAGTTATATAAAACATCGGGGGAAGGCAGCGTGAGGGCGGCCCAGCCAGGAGCTCGGTTTCCTTCTGGCTCACGTCTCACGTAATTCTGAGCACGTGCTGGCTTTTCCTGCGTGGTGCTAATTAGCACCTGAGTGCTCGCAGGAGCCAGTGACCGCGCTGGGCTTCCCCTCCCCACCCTGCCTGGGATGCCTTTGCTGGCACCACCAGGAACGCCCGGACATTGCCCAAGTGCGGGTGGCACCGCAGGCTGGCAGCTCACGTGCCACAGCAGCATGGCCATGGCCCCGGCTGCCTCGTGCCCATGGGACAGGACGAGACGGGACAGGATGGGACGGGATGGGACGGGACAGGACGGGACCCTCAGGCTGGCTCTGCCCCAGTGCCACCAGGTCCATGCCCACACATGGGGGAGCTGCTCCCATGCCCCCAGCCCCAGCACGGTGCAGCACAGCCCATGGAAGCTACCCATGAGTGGTTCCCAGGGGTCCCACCTGTGCTCTGCAGGGACCCCCACCTGCTTCCCTGTGCCCCACGCCCCGTGCCCCACTCAGACACTGCCCGTGAGGCCGTGGGGTAACCACCTCCTCCCCACCCCGTTTCTGTGCCCATGGGGGCAGATACCCACGGCCGTATTCCACCTGGATCACCCGGACGCTCTTGGTGGAGGCGAAGACGTCGACCACGGCGTAGAGCGGGCGGGCGGCGGGCAGCCCGCGGGCGCTGGGCCCCATGTCCTCGCCGTTGATGACGATGTGCATGTCGGCGGTGCCGTCGGGCCGCGGGGCGTACAGCACCCCGATGCGGCTGCGCCGGGCGGTGGGGGGCAGCGCGTTGGTCCGGTACAGCTCGTCCAGGACGTGGCTGTAGCGGCCGGGCCGGCTGCGCCCCACCAGCTTGTCGCGGGGGATCCGCAGCCGCTCGATCAGCAGCTCAGGCGCCCAGAGCGGGCCCCGCTCCCGCGGCGCCTCCTCGCCATCCGGCGCCACGCGGTTGTGGCTGCGGGTGATGGCGAACACCCAGGAGTCGCCCAGGCTCACCAGGTCGGGCAGCGAGTACTCGGGCAGCGCGGGCAGGCTCTGCGGGTCGTGGGCCGTCAGCCCCACGCGCAGGTGGCCCGCACCAGCCCGGCTCCTTCTCCTCGATCTCCACCAGGAAGATCTCGCCGGGCGCCAGCGGCTCCTGGCTGAAGCAGAGCGCGTTGGCGAAGCTCTCCACGCGCGTGGCGCGGGTGCGGGCGGCGTCCATGCGGACGTTGGCGCCGTGCACGCGGTGGAAGCGGGCGGGGGGGCGCCCCGGGGCCGCGGGTTCCGCCATGGCCCCGCCGCTATTTTTACCCGGCCCGGGCGGCTCCGGGCAGCTGCTGCCGGCCGGGGCCGGGGGGTCCTAGTGCTCGGGGCCGGGGGGGGGCGGCGGGGCCGGGAGCGGGACCGGGACCGGGACCAGGACCGAGGGTGCTCCCCCCACCCACCTCTTCCCCCCCACCCCTCCGTGCTCCCCCACTCGTGCCCTGCCGCCCCCGGTGCCGCCTGTCCCGGGGCATGGCTGCACGGCCCTGCCGCTGCCCAGGGTGCTGTGGTGGCGGTCCCGGGGCCGCGGCACCGGCGGGGTCTGGCACCGGCCCGGGGGGGGTTGGGCCCGGTCCCGCGGCGCGGAGCCCACGCGTGGGGCTGCCACGGGGAGACCGGGCGGGGCTGTGCATTCCGTGCCATGCGGCTGTGCCTGGCTGTGCCGTGCCGGTGCCGGTGCCGTTCGGGGCCGCCCCCGCTCCGTGCCGGTGCCCCCCGTCGGTCACGCGGCGCCCACGAGCTCGGGACCCGCGCGCGGCGTGGGGGTGGGCGGGGCCGGGCGCGTGGGCGGCGCGCTGATTGGCCGCCGCGAGCCCCGCCCCCCTCCGGAGCCCCGCCCCAACTCCCCGTGCACGTGACCGGCGGGGGTCATATGGGCGGCTGTCACGTGCCCGCGGCGCTGCGCCGCCGGGAGCCGCTGCGGGAGCGGGGTCAGCGGGGGGGCACCGGGACCGGGGGGGCTCCGGGAGCGGGGGGGGGGGGCGGCGGGGCCTGGGCATGGGGGGGGCTCCGCGGCCTGGGGGTTCCCCGTGCGCGCCCCCAGCCGCGTGTCCCCGTCCCGCAGATGCTGCCGGCCGTGCCCGTGCTGTGCGCGCTGCTGCTGGCGCTGGGGCCGGGGCCGGGGCCGGGCCTGGCCGCGCCGCCCGAGCACGAGGTGCGCGCCCTGCCCGGGCTGCCGAAGCAGGCGGCGTTCCGGCACTTCTCGGGACACCTCCGCGCCGGGCCCACCGCCCGCCTGCACTACTGGTACGTGGGGGGGGGGGGGACGGGACCCTCCGGCGGATCCCCCTGGGCCGTGCGGGGGCTCACGGTGCCTCCCCGGTGCCCTCCGGTGCCGTCCCGCAGGTTCGTGGAGGCGCAGAGCGACCCCCGCGGCAGCCCCGTGGTGCTGTGGCTGAACGGCGGCCCCGGCTGCAGCTCCATGGAGGGCTTCCTGAAGGAGCACGGCCCCTTCCTGGTCAGTGCTGGTGGATGGGGGCTGGGGGGGGGGGGGCTCCGGCCCTGCCGTGCCCGCTGACCGGCGGCCCCCGCTGCATCCCCCCCGCAGGTGCAGCCCGACGGGGTCAGCCTGAAGTACAACGAGTACGCCTGGAACAAGGTACGGGCAGGGCACCGGCAGGGAGTGGCCCCGTCACAGCCGCTTCCTGCAAGGGGCGCGGGCGGCTCCGGGCCAGCTCCTGCCGCCCTCCGGCGGGGCTGAGCCCCCTCTGCACGACCCCCCCTGCTCTGAAACCCGCTCCCAGTGGGGCAGCCCCGCGGCCCCCCAGTGCAGCACTGGTGCTGCAGACACAAACACTGCTGTAGATGAGTCCCAGCAGCCCTCTGCCCCAGCCCCGGGAGCCAGGAGGGCTTCCCCTGTCCCGCAGCTCCCCGCTGTCCCCTGCAGGTTGCCAACATGCTCTACCTGGAGTCCCCGGCTGGCGTTGGCTTCTCGTACTCGGATGACAAGAAGTACGCCACCAACGACACTGAGGCAAGTGCCCCTGGCTGCTGGGAGCCCCCGGCCCTGTGCCTGCCCCTCTGGGCTGTGCTCACCCCCTGTGCCTGCAGGTCGCTCACAACAACTACCTGGCGCTGAAGGAATTCTTCCGCCTCTTCCCCGAGTACTCCAAGAACGACCTCTTCCTCACGGGGGAGAGCTACGGGGGGGTTTACATCCCCACGCTGGCCGAGTGGGTGATGCAGGACCCCAGCCTCAACCTGAAGGTGAGCGGCACCGCTCTGCGTGGGGCTGGGGGCGGGGGGCTCGGCACGGCCTCATGGGGCCCGGCCGGCAGCTGCAGCGTGGGGCCCGCTCCAGGGCCTGGCCCCGCCGCCTTTCATCTCCCCTGGGGTGCTGGCAGTGGCCGCTGGCGGATGTGTCCCTGCTGCGTGGGACCGGGGCAGCGCTCGGGCACCCGCAACCTTTCCTGTTCCCCGCCGTGGAGTAAACAGAGCCACAGCTGGGGCCACATCTGCTTCCTGCCTGACGCTGGGGCCGCTGTGACCGCCCTGCGGGGAGCCGGGACGCCGCAGAGCTGTTTCCTTCTTGCTTCGCAGGGAATCGCCGTGGGAAACGGCCTCTCCTCCTATGAGATCAATGACAACTCGCTGGTTTACTTCGCCTATTACCACGGCCTGCTGGGAACCCAGTAAGGGCTGGGGGAGCGCTGGCGCTGGTTCTGTCCCTGGGAGAGCAGGAGGGGGGCACAGCGTGGGGCAGGGCCGGCTGGGTGAGCGGTGTGGGGGACGGGCAGGCTCCCTGCCTTCTGGGCAATCCCTGGCTTGGGCTGATCCTTGGGCTGTGGGGGTGGCCCCTCGTCCTGCATGGCCCCAAGGGCTGTGGCTGTTCGGGGCTCTGCCAGCCCCCAGGGCAGGCAGAGGTCCTGCAGCGTGGCCGTGGCTGCTGGTTGGTGTTGGTGTCAGCTCTGGCAGCTCGCTGCAGGCTCTCTGGTCTCTGCCCGCAGGCTGTGGAAGGACTTACAGACCTTCTGCTGCTCCCAGGGGAAGTGCAACTTCCACGACAACTCCAACCTGAACTGCACGCTCAAGGTGGGGGAGCCAGAGCCCCGGGCGTGTGCCCCTCTCCAGTGCCTGTGAGTGGCTCCTGTCCCTCAAGCATCCTGCTCAGTCCCAAGCCCTTCTTGCGGCTCGTTGCAGATGGAGGAGATGATCCAGATTGTGGAGGAGTCCGGCCTCAACATCTACAATCTCTACGCCCCGTGTGCTGGCGGTGTCCCTGGGAGCATGAGGTGAGAGCGGCCGCAGCAGCGGAGCCGAGTCCTTGGGCACTGGTTTGCAGCGTGCGGGCTCCCTGCCTGCAGGGTCGTGGTGGGGCGTGCAGGGACCTGCTGGCAGGGCCTCCTCTTCCCTGGGGGGCCCCAGGTTGTTCCCCAGCCCCTCATTGCTCCAGAGCTTTCAGCCTGACTCCGTGCTTGGTCTGCCTGCAGGTACGAGGGCGACTACCTCGTCACCCACGACCTGGGAAACTCCTTCATCCGGATGCCGCTGAAGTTCTCCTGGCGGCAGGTGAGCCTGGTGCCGTGACACGGGGCTGTGACACGGGGCTGTGACACCCTCTGCCCAGCGGCGCTGCCTGGGGGCTGAGCGGGCAGAGCAGCCCCTCCTGAGGAGCAGCGCGGAGCTGCAGCTGCTGCAGGGTCTCTCCTGCCCCTTCCAGAACCTGTTCCGGATGCCTGTAGCCCGTAAGAAGGTGCGCATGGACCCGCCGTGCACCAACTCCACAGCCCCTACCATGTACCTGAACTCCCCGGAGGTGCGGAAGGCTCTCCACATCCCCCCTGAGGCTCCTGAGTGGCAGGTGTGCAGGTGAGCGAGCTGCGGGCCGGGCTGGGGCCAGGAGGGCGAGGAGCTGCCTGGTGCTGACGCTTCTTCCCCAGCTTCGAGGTGAACCGCAGCTACAAGCGCCTCTACATGCAGATGAACGAGCAGTACCTGAAGCTGCTCGGAGCCATGGTACGTGCTGGGGGGGCAGCTCTCCCCACGGGGCCTCCTGCCTGCCCGGGGCCGCTGCCCTGCGCGGTGCTCAGCTCCTCCTGCTCCGCAGAAATACCGCATCCTGGTGTACAACGGGGACGTCGACATGGCCTGCAACTTCCTGGGGGATGAGTGGTTTGTGGACTCCCTGTGCCAGAAGGTAACCGGGCAGAGCAGGGGCTGAGCTGTGGTCACCGGCCCCAGGGAGCTCCGGGCTGCCCAGGGCCCAGTGCAGCGGGGGGAGCCCCGGGGCAGGGCTGGGCCGGGTGCTGACGGTGCTGCTGCCTCCGGCCCCAGGTGCAGGTGGCTCGCCGGCCCTGGCTCTACACCGTAGGAGGCGAGAACCAGATCGGGGGCTTTGTGAAGGAGTTCACCAACATCGCCTTCCTCACCGTCAAGGTAGGGCTGCGAGGAGCTGCTGAGTGGGGGCACGGGGCTGCTGGCCGTGCTGCGGGCAGGCAGCAGGGTGGGGGGGAGCGGTGCTCGCTGCTGGGGGGGGGGCACTGACACCCCCCTCCTCCTGCCTGTTCCCTGCAGGGAGCCGGCCACATGGTGCCCACGGACCAGCCCCTCGCTGCCTTCACCATGTTCAGCCGCTTCATTAAGAATGAGCCTTTCTAGGAGCTGCCCCGGCTGCGCGTGGTGCTTCCAGCTGCCTGCACGCGCCGGCTGCCTCCTGCATGGCTCGGCCTCGCTGCTGCTTGGCTGTGCCACAGAACCAGTCCCTGGCTGCTGGCGGGACGCGGCTCAGCCTGGCAGGACGGCAGCCGGGGTAGGCGGCGTGGAGGGGGGCTGCCTGCGGGCTGGGGGGAGAGGAGTCCCCGGGGCTCCCTCCCTGCTGGGCCCTGCAGCTGCCTCTCTCTGTGGCTTCCTCTCTCTCCTCCTGTCTGTCCCTGGAGGCAGTCACTTCCCTCTGGGCTGGGAGCAGTCCCTGCCACTTCCCCTCCGCACTGCAGCCTCTGCACGCACGTTGCCCCAGGCGGGCTCTGAGCCAGCTGCTCCCTGCTAAGCACAGTTCAGGTGGGGGCTGCCCCCCAGGGGCTTTCTGCTCCCCTGAACCCACTCTCAGATCTCAGCGGAAGGTGACTTACAGTGAAGACAATCCCCTGCCTGGGGCACGCAGTGCTCTTGGGACCTCACAATAAACTCTCTGAACGAGGTTGTTCTGCTCCTCATTAACCAGCTGCTCCCCCCTCTCTGCTCCCTTTTGCTTTGCTTTCCTTGGCTCTCTCAGGCGTTCTGCTCCTCGCCCAGCATCCAGCAGAGCCGAGTGCTGCTGCGCTCTGTAGGACCTGGGGCTCTGCACCCTCCCTGCAGGGGCACCGGGGCTCCCCAGAACTCGGCCACCCCCAGGAGCAGGGAACGCACGGCGGCTCCAGACCCCTCTGGTGCTGCTCTCAGCTGTGTTGCCTCCCGGGGGGAGAAGCGCTGCCTCTCCCCCGGGGCTGGCAGCCGTGCACCTGGCCGTGGGCTCATCCTCCAAGCAGCGAGGCAGCGCGGGTTGGCGTTGAGTGGTTTATTAGTGTAACGAGGGGGTGCAGCAGGGGTTCCCAGAGCAGCTGTCTCCGCCTTGCTGCCACCCACCAGGGCGCGGGGCACCCTGCGGGATGTTCTGGTGGTGCCGGGGGGGCCGCTTCCTACCTACAGCCTTCGGGTCCAGCCCGGGATCTGTCCAGCGTGAAGGAGCGAGGGGGAGCTACGGCTGGCGGGGCCCTGCGCTGGGCGCTGCGGGAGGCGAGGTGGGGGCTGCGGGGGTCGCGGGGACGGCGCGGTATTTCTCAATCACTTCCCGCAGCCCCTTCTGGAAGTGGAGATCGGCTCCCACCGTGAGGAATCCCTGCGAAGGGGAAGCTGATCAGCCCGGGGCCGGCTGTGCCTGCGCCCCACCTGGGCACGGTGCCGTGCCTGCCACGGGTCCGGGCTGTCCCAGGTCGCGCTCACGCACCGCGTGGTTGGTGACCACCTCCCTGGTGAAGTCCATGCCCTCCGGCAGCGGGATCTGCACCCCCTTCCTCGTCCTCTCTGCGGGGAGGAGGCGCAGTGAGCAGCGTGCCCCTGCCCCAGCCCAGCCGCTGCGGGCAGGGGGCTGCTTACCATTGATGATGGGCATGATGGTGAGCTGCAGCAGGGTCTTCAGCGGGGCCTGCAGCGAGAACAGCTGCGGGAGAGGAGAGGACAGGAGGGAGGGTGAGCGCCCAGCAGGGGGGGCTGCCTGGCAGGACAGGCTGTGCCTGCGCTTCCCAGGGCCTGGGCTCCCCTCCCTTCCCCCCCCACTGCTCCCAGCTGTGCCTGGGGGCTGCTCAGGGAGGTTGGACCCCCCCGGGCTGGCACCAGCTCTGCTCACCGCCAGCGACTCCAGGGCTGACTGCTTGGAGTAGATGCGAAACCTGCGGGAGGGAAAGCTGCTGTGAGCCGGGGCAGAGGGGGCTCATCCCTGCAGCCCCCCCAGGACCCCAGCGCGGGCCCTACCGCCGCAGGTCCAGCTGCACGCGCAGCGCCTTCCCCTGCAGGAACACCTTGGCGCTCAGCTTCGTTTCCTAGGGAGAGAGACGCGTGGGAGCCCTGCTGCCCCTGGGCCCTGCTGTCCCCTTGCTTTGGGACCTGCAGCCCTCCCGGGGGGGGCAGTGCTCCTGCCCTGTGTGCCGGGGGCTGTGCTGGGGGGGGCAGCGCTCACCATGGCCATGCTGGAGAGCTGCACGGCTGGGCGGCCCGCGGGCACCAGCGAGATGTTGAGGAAGGCAGAGACGGAGACGGAGGTGCCCGAGGGTTTGATCACGCAGCGGGGGGGGGCCGACACCTGAAGCACCAGGCGCAGGGGCGCATCCACCACGGCAGGGTTCTGGGGAGGCAGCGGGTGAGCCAGGGCACGGCTGTGTCCCCACACACCCAGGGCCCCCCCCGTGACTTGCCCACCCCGGGAGCGAGCTCCCCTCACCAGCATGAAGATGGTCCCGAAGAAGGTGGCTCTCAGCAAAACCTCCAGGTCCTTGGGCACCTGCAGGGAGCAGAAACCTCTGGCTGAGAGCCCTTACTGCTGCCCCCAGCAGAGCTGCTCCCTGGGCAGCACCTCCTGCCTCCCGCTGGGTGCTTCTCCCCTCCCCAGCCCCTGCCTAGCGGTGACCCCCGCTGCGCACCTTCTCCCCCTCGAGCTCTATGGCCAGGACGCCCGCCTGGAAGTAGGCGTGCATGGCCGAGTCGAAGAAGTACTCGGAGAAGGCGACGTAGACCATGCGCTCGGTCTCCTTGATCACCGGCTCCACCGCGTGGTTCTCCAGCTCCTGGCTCTCCCTCCCACGGTAGAAGAACATGCCCTGGGGTGTGAGCAGCAGAGGTTTCTGCAGCCGTAGCGCAGCGAGCCCGGTGCCGTGCTGCACGGGGCGGCTCGGGGGGAGCAGGGGGAGGCAGGGCAGGACTTGGTGCGCACCTTAAAGTCCAGGTCAAGGGTGTCCAGGGAGACGGACGGATCCTGCAGGAGGGAGTAGTCGATCCCAATGTGGTCATCCACGTAGTTCTTCACTGCCAGGAAGAGGCTCTGTCATGGCAAAGCCTGCAGGACACCCTGCGGGGCTGTGCTCGGCTCGCCCCCGTCCCGCAGAACAGCGCTCACCTGGCACCGTGTCCAGCAGCGAGTTCAGCAGCACCAGGCTGGCGTGCTCCAGGGACGGGCAGATCTGAAAGGGACGTGGCTGGGGTGAGGGGAACCACGGCGGTGGGGCCAGGGCTCCTGGTGTGGCTGGGGACCGGGGCCCTCCTGCACCTTCCCTGGGGGCAGCCCCTCCTGCTGCGGGACCAGGGAGGGCCCCACGTCGCTTCCGTGCCCCATCCCCGCTCGATCCCTACCTGCTGGCTGACGAGGAAGCGCATCCCCGTGACAATGAAGGTGCTCAGGAACTCGTAGACCTTCCTGCAGGACACAACAGCTCTGCAGCAGCCTCCAGCCCTGTCCCCCCACCCCTTGTGCCTCAAAGAGAGCACGGCCTGGCCGCAGGGGGCTGGCACAGGGTGAGCTGGGTGCGGGCAGAGCCAGCCCAGTGCCCGGCAGAGGGACACGGCCGCCACGGCGGGGTCGGGGGTACCTGAGCGTGCCAGAGAAGCCCGCGTGCATCCTGGCGATGGAGGCATTGCACGTCATGTTGGAGATCTTGAGGCGCCCGACCTCGTCCTTGGCCAGCCGCAGCACCGTGTGGATGTGGACGCCATCAGCAGAGGCATTGATGGACCCGATGTCGTAACTGGAAGAGACGGGAGGAGCACGGAGCTCTGAGCAGCTCCAGGTGCCCGTTGGCCCCCCCGGGGCTGTGGCCCGGCGGGCAGGAGGGGGGGGCACTCACAAGAACCAGTAGAGCAGCTGGCGGCGGAAGCGCAGGCTGATGGAGGCGTTGTTGATGTCGAAGGCGAGGTGCTGCCGCGGCTGGAAGCGCAGCTCGGAGAAGGGCAGCTGCAGGTCCAGCACCTTCACCCTGCGGGGAGGGGGCGGTGAGCCCGGCACGGGGGTCGCCGCGCGGGGGGCGAGGGCGGCACTCACTGGCTGATGTTGTAGTGGAACTGCCCCTCCTGCCCGTGCAGGTCGGACACCGTGATGTTCTCCAGCTCCTGCTCCACGAAGCGCAGCCCCTCCTGCTTCACTGCAACGCAGAGCGAGGCCGGGCTGGCACGGGGGGGGCTGCGCCGTGCCCCAGCAGCGTCGCCCACCCGGCCGCGCCCCGGCTCCTCGCCCGCTGCCCCCATCGGGACGGCGCCCACCACCTGCCTCTCACCCAGGCCCCGGGAGCGGGGTCCCGGCCGGCCCCTTACCCAGGTCCAGCCCCTTGGAGGTGATCCGGATCCTGCAGCCGGGGGGGCTGCGCGAGGCTGTGGCCAGGCAGGGCAGGAGGAGGAGGAGGAGGAGGCTGCCGGCAGCCATCTCGCACCTGGAGGCAGAGCAGGGGGCAGCGTGGGCCGGTCCCGGGGGGAACAGAGCACCCGGGGGGGAATGTGGCTGCTGCCTGCCCTGCCCGTGGCGTGGGGGCACCCCAGACCCTAGGACCACCCCAGGGCTGCGCTGCACCCCGCACCCCGAAATCCCAGCGCTGCCCAGGTCCCCCAGGTCCCCATCGCCTCAGTGCCCATGGGCCAGCAGCCCCCTCCCCGGGGTGCTCCCCCGGCCGCCCCCATGCACCCAGGGGCTCGCCCACCCCCAGGGCGTGCTCCAGGCGGCTCCTGCGGTGGCTGCAGCGCCCGGCCCCAAACCACAGGGCGAGGCACGAGCCCCGTGGGTGGTGGGGCAGCAAGGAGCCCAGCACGGCCCGGCCCTGGGGCCTTCCCGGCAGCCATGGGCAGACCCCGGCCGCCCCCCAGGAGATGTGCTGCTGCCCACAGCCCCGTGGGTGCCGGGCTGGGACGGGACGGGAGCTGGAGCCTCCCCGTCCAGCAGCAGCAGGCAGGGCTGCTGCAGGGCTGTGGGACCGTCCAGGGTTTCCCCACAGAGTTTTTGCCTGGTTCTCTGCACGGCAGAGGAGGGCGAGCCCCCTCCTGCTCGGGGTCCGGAGCCTCCATCCTCCGCCGAGGGCCACGCACGGCCGGGGGGGCCCGGCCGACACAAAGCCGGCTGGGTTTGGGTACTTACAGTGACTTGTCCCCGGCTTCCCTGGTGTGGGGAAGCTGAATCACGTGAAGGGAGGGAGGGAGGGAGAGCACCAGTGGCTCCAGGAGTTTCTTTTGAGCTGGCTGAGGTTCCCCTGCCTTTATACAGCCCACCAGCCGCCACCCCTTGTGGGCCTGCAGCGGGGAGGAGACAGCGGGACGGGAGGCTGCCGGCCCCACAGCGCGGGTCCCTGCCAGCACCCGCAGCCAGCGGGCGGATCGGACCCCCCGGGCCTAGGCTGAGCTCCAGGCCCCGCTCCCACCAGGCACACGGCACCCCCAGTGTGCCCCCATCCCGTACGGGCAGCCACCACCAGGTCCCTCAGCATCACCGGGCATCCCGGCCCTGCTCGGCCCGGTGTGGTGAAGCCCCGCACGTGGGGCCTGGCCGGGGCAGCTCAGGGCAGTGCCACCCCCACCCCATGGGTGCCAGGCTCCTGCCAGCCCCGGTGCTGCCCGGTGGGCTCGGCCCCGGGCCGCAGTGCAAGGCAGGACCCTCGGCCCCAGGCTGGGGGACGCTGCTTTGTGCCCGTCCGTGCTGGGAGCCCAGCGGGGAGGCTGCAGCAGCTGCCAGAGCCTCGGAGCCGCTCCCGGGACACAGCCTGGGGGCTGCAGGGCTTGCTGCTGGCTGCCTGGGGGGGCTCAGCACCGGGAGGGGCACAAAGCAGCACCCCCACAGCCCCCCCGCTGCCCTCCTGACCCAGCAGGCGCTGTCTGTGGGGTGGGGGCGGCCGGGGGGGCTGACACAGCGGCAGCTCCGGGCCCAGGGGGGGCACAGCCTCCTCCTGCCGCACGCCCCGTTGGGTTCCAGGCACCGGGCTGTGGGCTCTGTGCTCCCGGAGCCCCCCACAGCCCCCCCCCCCGGTGCCCCCTTCCCCCTCCTCCCTCCCCTGCGGCCGGGCCGGGGGCTGCTGACACAGCACGGCCCAGAACTGCTGCGCCAGCGGGACCGGCACGGGGCAGGGCCGGGGACAGCCCCGGGGAGCGGGGGCAAAGGGCAGCGGGGGGGGCCCGGGGCTGGGAGCTGCGGGGGTGGGGGGGGGGGGGCGTGTGTACGTGTGTCTGTGTCTGTGTCTGACTGTCCCTCTGTGTCTGTGTCTGTCCGTGTTCGGGCCGCTCCCGGTGCCCCCTCCCGGCCAGGCGGGGCCCCGCTCAGAGCCCCCGGTGCCGGGGGGGGGTCACGAAGCCCCCGTGGCTCGGTCCGGGCGGCTGCCCCGGGGGGTGCGGGGCGGGGCAGAGGGGGGCGGGGGCAGCCCCCGGGGCCTCGCCCTGCGGCCGGGGGGGGGTTTTGGGGGCTGGGGGGGGGCTGGGGGCGGCCCCGCCACGCGGCGGCCCCGGGAGCGGCCGGGCCCGGCCCAGCGCAGGGCGGGCGCCGCCGCCCCTCAGTAAAGATGGCGCCGGGGCAGGCGGGGCCGCCGCCCCACCGCGCACGCGCCGCCCCCGGCCGCCGGAGCGCGGGCCGCGCGTTGCGCAGGCGCGGTGCGGCGGGGCCGAGGCGCGGGGGGCGCCGTGCGCCTGCGCGGGGCCGCGTCCCGGCGGCGGCGCCTGCGCGGTGCCGAGGGCGGGGCGGCTCCGCGCCTGCGCAGCGGCGGCCCGCGGTCCCGGCGCAAGATGGCGGCGGCGGGGCGGGCGAGGCGGAGGTGGGGCGGCGGCGGCGAGCGCGGCGCTGCGCGGAGCCTGCAGGCCCCGGCCTCACGCCCAGGTGAGCGGCGCGGCCGCGGGGCCGGCGGGGGGCGGGGAGCGGCGGGGGGCGGCGCGGGGCGGGCGGGGCGGGAGGCGCGGGGCCCGCGGCCGCCATCTTAGAGCGCGGCCGACGCCGCCCGGCCCGGCCCGGCCCCTCCCGGCCCCTCCGCTCCGCCCGGTGCGGGGCTCCCGCCGCTGCCGCCGCGCCTGCGCGCCCCGGCGGCCCCCGCCCCGCCCCCGCCCCCTAACGGCGCCCTCCTGTCCCCGTCCCCGTCCCCGTCTCTGTTTCCGTCTCCGCAGCGGCCCCCGCGGGCCAGGCGCGGGACGCCCCGCTATGAGGATGCGGCCCCGAGGCGCCAGCGGCCAGCACGGAGCGACGGCCCCGCGTCCCGGCAGGCAGCCCGGCCCCGTAAGTACCGCCCGGCCTCTGGGGCGCCGCCCGGCCCCGCTCCTCCCGCTCGGCCCCGCGGCTGCTCACCAGGCCCGGCCCCTCAGCGCCTCCGGGGGGCGGCCCCGGGGCTGCGGCAGCGCCTCCTGCCCGGCCCAAGCGGCCCCTCGGTGCCCGGTGCGTTCACTGCCTCGGCCCCGGGCAGTCGGGCGCGGGGATCGGCACTGGGGCAGGGAGCAGTGCCGGCGGGAGGCAGCAGTCCCTGTCCCCTCGGAGCGGGGCTGAGGGCAGGAGCTGCTGCGTCCCTGCTGGCTGCCACCGCTCGCTTTTGTCTGTGCTGCTCCCGTCCTGCCTGCAGTCCTGCCCTGCTGCAGTGGATACCAGGAACGGTCCTGTCCGCTGTACGGCTCTGCTGTGTGTCGTCTGCCGCCTGGCTGTGCTCTCTGTCCGTGCTGCTGCTCCTGGGCTGTAAGCTCTCTGGGCAGGGCCGGTGCCGTGCTGTTTGAAGTGCTGTGTGCCTCGCTGCGGGGTATAAACAATGCCATAACCACCACAGAGTGATTGCCCAGTCCCTCTCGCTGCCTAAGACACAACGGTAGCTGCATAAAAGCAGAGCTCCTCCTGTCAGCATGCTGTCCCTTGGCTTTATTCCTTTTCCCAGAGCTTAAGGATGCTTGCATTTAATGCTCATCAAAATTGATACAGTGATAAAGCTTCTTGTCCCCTTCCCCTCCTCTGCTTTATCCACAAATGGTAGAAGGCAAACCCAACGAGCCCTGTCTGTCAGCTCTTTGAGCTATCAGTGGTAAAGAACCTCTGGAAGTTGCTGCACGTGGCGGGTGCTGTCCCATCGGGGAAGATCTCGGTACCCAGCACTGTGTAATTCCTACAGAACGTGCGTGGCTCACGCCGGGAGTTCTGGCCCCGTCAGTACGGATCCGTTGTAACGGGCTGTCTGTGATGTGCGAGACACGGTGACGGCTGCGTGTGTCAATAGGTTTTAAGGAGGAGGGGCTAAACACAGTTTAAAAAGTTTGAAACACGGGAAACACGCAACGGGGCTCACGAGGTGCAGCCTGGGACCCCCGGTCTGTGCTGAGCTGTCCTGCACCCAGTGCCTGGGACGTGTTCTGGGCCTTGTCTCGGGTGGCCGTGCTGCGTGTGGCAGCCAGCTGCAGGGTGCCTGCAGGGTCACGGCAGGGCCGGAGTTCAGGAGGAAGTGTCAGTAAACAAACGTTGTGCAACACCAGAGCTGAGGTGATTAAACGCGATCGGGCACGGGCTGTGCAGCAGGTGCTTTCCCCTGTGGACTTGGACATTGTTATCTCCATAGTTGTGAGCAGAGGCTGCCACACCAGGGTTCTGCAACGCCCTGCACCTTGCCTTGCTTCCCGCTGAGGGCAGGATGGAGACGTTGAGGAAGAGGGAAATATCTTCCAAGGACCTAGAGTTCCTCAGCCCCGCTGTGCATCGCGCTGCTCTCGCTGTCAGTGCTGTAGAGCCTGCCAGCTCCCTGCTGATTGCTGATCGTTGTCAGCTCCTGCTGTTCTGCACTACTGGAACAGCTGGTGGGGTTTTTCTGGATGAGATGGGGAGTAGGGATGGGTAAATTCAAAATAATTCAGGGCACAAAGCAGAACTTTTACTTAAGAGGTGAAATACAAGGAGGCCTCCTGCTGGTGCTGTTCCTCAGACCCGTTAGAAACACTTAATGCACGACTGTGCTCCTGCAGCTCTGACTGATGTGCAGGTGGCCTCCAAAGGCCGGGATAGAGCTGGGTAACAGCACGCAGCTAGCAGGTATTTGAAGCCTTGTTCCCTGTTTGTTGCCAGCGTGTTTGGGGTTGCCAGAGAGGAGCAGTCTGTAACGACTGACTCAACAGTGCCGCTTCAGAAACTTCCCTGGGGAAAGAGGGGTGAATACGAGAGGAGAAACCTGGCTGTTCTGCAGCTGGGAACATTAAATGATGATGAAGAGAAGCTTTACTGTTTCAACAGAGTTTATTTTGTATAGCTGTTGTTATGCAAATGAGAAAATAGCAAAGGCTGAAATAGCCTGGCTGAGGCCTGACAGTCTGGGGCTGGAACAGAACGAGGAAAATAACTCAGGAGCTCCTCACTCCTGGCCTGTGGTTCTGTGAGCCACCACAGTCATTAGTGAAGCACTGGGGTTGTTTTGTATAGCAGAAGCTTTTTAATTAATGCCTTTTGCTTAAATTACGTGCAGTTACGTGTGTGTAAATACCGATTTTAACTGTCTCAAAGGATAACAGAGCAGTATGGATAGCAGTGCTGGCATGGTGGAAGGCAGTAGATGTTCTCAGAAGAGTTTTTTATTTCTTAAGTGTTCAGTCCTGCTGAATGGCATGAAATGCTGCACGTCTAGGAGAGCTCTGGCTGGAAAAGGGGAACATTTTCAGTGCTGTCCATAAGAGCTCCCTGAGCATCCATGGCTCAGCATCCCTTACAGCTAGCTGTACCCAGTATAGCAGGTACTGCTCAGGGCTCAGTGTTTGCACTGGTTCAAGTCGTGTTATCGTGAGAATGAACTTGGGCTGTTACAGCTGAGTGGGCCAAGTGAATCTGGGCTCTTTCCTGCTGTAACGTGGACTTTTTGTGTATTTTTTCTAGTGTGGTTGCTGAGAGATGGCCAATGAGAATCACGGAAGCCCCGCGGAAGAAGCATCTCTAATGAGTCACTCACCTGGCACTTCCAACCAGAACCAGCCCAGCTCCCCCAAACCGATGCGACTGGTGCAGGACCTCCCAGGTACTGGCTCTGCTTCTGCGAAGGCCGGGCACGGAGTTCTGCAGGGCCTGGGTAGCAGGGGAGGGAAGGTGGAACGGGGCTGCCGAGAGCGTTAGGAATGGTGCATGTTTCAGAGCGTGCTGTGATAGGGACGGGGACGTGAGGAGTGCGGCTGCTCCTCAGGACTGGGCTTGTCCTGACTCCTCCTGTCCTCTCAGATGAGCTGGTGCAGGCTGGCTGGGAGAAGTGCTGGAGCAAACGGGAGAATCGCCCTTACTACTTCAATCGCTTCACCAACCAGTCTCTGTGGGAAATGCCTGTTCTGGGACAGCATGATGTCATTGTAAGTAACCGCGTACCTCAGGAGGTTGTGCTGACACTGGGGTGGGTGTTCTGCTGGGAT